GGGCTATATTCTGCGAAGCACGGAACCGCATTGCTCTCACCTATGTTCGGTGTCTCTGCCATGAATGACCGCGAACAGGCAAGGGGGAATGGCCCTACGCGCACCCTTCAGTAAGCTAATTGTCCAGAAATGAGAAGCTACCTAGGCACAGTCCCAGGATACTGAACCACAACTACTTGGTGGGCTCTGATATAAGATTGCATCGATGACACATGATTTGACTGGTTGCCCATGATCATCATTGTTTCAAATTGGAACGCTTGTCACCATCAAAGTCCATGGAACTTTGAAATCATGCGTGGCTTGACTTTCTTGCTCCAAGTTTTATAGAAAGTTGTCATATTGTACCGGCCACAAGCGTGGCATAGGAGTCAGCAGATCAATGTCCCAAACGCCGTAGGCAATGCATGATTCGCGAAGCAAGTAATATGAGATCCATGACCATCGTAAAGCACGTGACAGGCATAACCGTAAGTTAGCCAATTTTTCCGTTCCCTAAATTGTCCTTGTCCACTCCGAGAACTCGAATGGAAAGAAATTCCAGTTGGGCCATCCACCGTATGAGACTAGATGGCATCGCTGTTAACTCGCTTCGAGCTGAGAGGCCCCTTCTACAACCAAGCCGAGGGCGTCGTGGCTCCTCGCTCAAGATACGGCATAGATGAACCACCATAAGACGGATATCGGGGATAGCCCTGCATGCCGGGTTTCTCTTCTACACAAACGGACAGACCAACACAGTCCTGCCCCAGGGTCAGTATGTCCACTTCAGAGACACACAACGAAAGACCATTTGTCTGCCCCCAGAGGAGAAAAGTGCGGTCATCCACTACCCGGCGCGTCGTCATCCAGTGAGAGCTGAGCGTGCAATGTGGTATGCCTGTGCAAAACCAGGGTATAGGCCACACTGAGCGACACGCCGCGCTATCTGGTCGGGATTAGTCGATGCGCGGCGGGGTGTTGCTGGCGGGTGAGCGCCGTTCGCCTTCTTTGCGAAGCGTCTCGATGATCTTGAGCATTTCCTTCCGTGCGCCAATGGCATCTATGGCCTTGTGCGCCATGCTCATGGAAATCTTCTCGCCGGCATTTACGGCAAGAAGTCGCTTGACCAGAAGATGCCGCATGAGAATACACACGAAGACGCCACAATCGCTGCCATTTTCCTGCTGGGGACAATCTTGCAGGTAGTGGAAGCGAAGAGGCCTCCCGAGGACACTGGACAGCCTCTTGCAGCAGTCCCAGCCCTCATCGTTGTTGGCGCCTTCCAGCGAGTCGTAATGAAAGGCCACCCCATCAATGATGCTGACAAGTAGAAGCGACCAATGTGAGCCACCCTCGGCCACGGAGACGTTGCGGTTGTCGTTGATGGGCAGGAAAATGTGCGTGATGCCACGGAAGTCGGGTAGGGCAGACCGTACACTGTCGGTGTCTTTGTTCTTCATCAGGAGGAAGGCCATGGATGGTCTGAGAAGCACAATGCGGGCTTGTGGGTACTTGGTGAGCACCTCGTGCTCCAGGAACTCCTCCCAAAAGGCAATGTTCTAATAGACGATCAGCGTGTATAGGAGGAGAAAGAAGGAGAGGCGGCCACAGTACGTTGTCGGTAAGCCAGTCATTCTTGAGAGCCTTGACGTCCTCAAATGTCACTAGACCGACTGTCAGTAACGTGGAAGAATTGGCGAACCGGGGCCTGAGTGCATACGGCAAACGTCATGATCTAGAGGGTTGGAAGGTTTAGTTAGTACGGAGGCAGCCTTGCGCGTCGCGGGAGCGAGGACAACTTGCATGAGAGGTAAGGCTGGGTGGGCGAGGGCGAAGGAGACAGCTGCGACATGGTCAGTCTTATCTGGGAGCCCCGGCCGGGAGGGCAGGCAGGCGTACTCTGTCGCCGAAGCGGGACAACCTCTCACGAAACGGCATGGCGGTAGACTTCCGAGTGTCAGTACGACGGCCTCGTCGGTGAAATTTGGGGGCGTCCAACATTGTTATCACCGTGTGTGAGCAAACGGTCGATGGTCGGTATTGGCGCGCGTCGCGGGCGTGGGGCGGTGCTGTCTGTCCGGATGGATCAAGGTGAAGAACGGGACAAAAAAAGAATCGACGGTCGGGGACGGCGGCAACGGAGCGGTGCAAGTTGTGAAGCAGAAACACCCTTTCGACGAGGCGGCGGATTACGCTCGCCGACTGGAGTGTTCCCGAAAGCGCAACTATTCGCAGGTCAAACGGCGTTGGGGTCCGGCAGGAAAAGCAGTAGTGAGACTTTGCGACGGGCAGGCTGAAGAAAATCGATGCGTCGCATGGGGAAGTGAAAATTGCGGGGAGGGGGGGTTCAAAGAGGACCCAGAGGGACCCGCCCACCCCCACATCTGCTCTGTACAGGGCTCCAGTCCAGAGTACTTACCTAGAGAGAGAGAGAGCACATGCCCAGATTTCTCCGGTAGGCAATGCTTGGGACAATGGAAGGCAGACCACTCACTGGTGGACGTGGGATGAAGTCTGTCGTCTGTGATTGCTGAGGCGCAGTGAGGATGACGACACTGTGCTGCTGGCTGCCGGGCTCAGTCACTGCACTGCATTGGATGGCTGCGGCCTCCCAACCCTGGAAACGCCTCGACACCAGCTTCGCACGTCGGTAGCTAACTAGATAGCTACCTATCTACATACCTATGTACTCAAGTAGGTACCTAGGTATGCAGCCAAGGTACAACAATACCCGTGGACGTGTTTCCATCGTGCGGCATGGCATGGTGGATTCTGCCAGCCCTGGACGCCTAAGTGCCCAGGTGGCCCCGTGCAAACCATCCCCCCTCTCCCCCCAGTGGGAAGGGCTAGGTATTGCTGGATGGGGATTCACTCAGCCTTGGACCATACGTCACTCGGCCATGGAGCACCTCAGTGCTTACAGGCCCCCGGGGCCCTCTCGGGTTGCATCTTGTCTCGGCCGCTGGAAACTCCCGATTGGCACCTCGGCTTCCAGCTTGCCAGGGTCTGTCCACAGGGCTGGGCCGCGCCCTAGTAACTGCCCGGGGTGAATGAACAGGGCTCCCGCATCCACCCACTACCGGTACGGTACTCCGGGCTAAAGCAGAGCCCCGTGATATACTATGTACAGCGATGGCGCTCACAAACGCTGTTCACAGGAGAGCGTTAGTCGACATTCGCTGTGGGTGACTTGACGCATGCGACCGCATCTGCAATATTGAATACTCATGTTCTAGTTCACCATGTTCTACGCTGCTGGCGCCCTCCTACGCTGGCAATTGTACGGATCCGACGCGTCACCCTACTGTCAAGTGCAGTTCGGAGCCCTTTTCCCGGACTTGCTGTCGAATTCTTCCTATACTCTGACTAGTTCCATGGTCCCCCACAGGGATACTCCGTGACCCAGTCATGAGAAAGCCCAACCCTGGAAGTGCTTGGCACCAGCTGGAGGTGCGCGTGGTCTCATGGGCCTCAAGGGCCATGGATGCTGAAGATGCCTCGCTGGCCAGCCCCATTGGTTATGTGTCCCGAGCCTTTAAGGACCGTATTCTGACGTGGCCTCTGCCAAGCGCAGGCTTGTCTTTGTTCGGAGTGACTCGATAGTCGTGGCCATAGGCATCCAACGGCTGTGACAGTTGAAGGCCCAAGTCTCGGGCTCGTTCGCGACGCCTCGCTGCTGTCTTGCAATTTCCACTATGCACATGCCGAGGACGCGCTCACTTCCCATCGTCCTTCTTCCCGACGAAGGCAGGATTCTGCTCCATGGTGGCCGAGATGAAACCTCGCAAGGCAGCCCACCGACTGGATGTGGCGTTTGGTGGTAGAGCATCCCCCGTCGCCCCTTGCGACTCGGTGTTCATGCCCTGTGTTGAGTCCTGCGACATGGCACCCACAGCGTTCAGCCTGGCCAGGTTGCCCTGGAAGCGCTCGACCTCACCCTTGACGATCTTCTCCTTCTTCTTGAGGGCCCCCTTCCGGCTCTTCAGGCTCTTGAGCCGCATCTTGCCCTCCTTCAGCTGCTGCAGGCCTTCCTCCGTCTCGCCGCTATCCAGGAGGTCTGGCAAGGCTTTCTTGAGGGAGTCGAGGTCGGTGACCAGCTTCTTGCCAGGGCGGCGCCGCTTCAGGGGCTTTTTGTTGGTCTTCTCAATGCGCGACACGAATGACGAATGCTTCATCAATCGCTTGTCCTTCTTAGAGTTGGCAAAGGCATCCGAGGTCTCGACGGCCCCCGGGCGGAGGGCCGTCCGGGGCGCGGAAGGCTGCGTCGCATCTGATTTGGCTGCGATTTTGGTACGAAGGGAGCGACGCTTGGAGGGCGCTGTAGGGGCCTGTGGTCAAGATGTCAGCAGCATAACTCCGGCATGGCACTTCCCCTGCAGTAGGTACTCACCATGTTAACCACGGGTCGGCTTGCAGCAGGTGGTCGTGGAAAAAGAGGCTGCGGATTGGCGCAAGGAACTTTTCGGTCGGCGAGTATTTGACAGACAAAAGCTGCGGCCGGGCGAACCCCGAAATTGTACCACAGTAGTCGAGTTAGTCAAGTTAGTGGGGGACGTTGAGCTCCATCCATGCCTAGCGGGGCCAAAAGTTGCCGCAGAGGGCTCTCTTGGCTATCTACTTTCTGCCTGGCTGAGGTAAGTTGGTGAGAACTTAGCACTGCTCCTACACTTGAGAGGTCATCATAGAATCCCGACAGTGAAGCTGTCTCCGTATTGGGCTGCTCCACGGGTTGCTTGGCCCGACTGCAGTATATGTTCATACGTTGAGGGTGTGGCACCTCAAGCTTTCCGGGTGCTTTCCTTCACATCCCCGGGGTGTGATGGAATCTGCGTCGTCAAAGGCAGAGGCGCTCAGGCTCCAGATTCTGAAGGCAGAGAGCGAATTGGAGGCACTGCGGTCCCAGCTGGAAGAATTCGAGGCGCAACCCGTTCCCCAGAATGCAAGCCCGGGCCCGGTCTTCAACGCACAGTCGCGCGACTGGAAGTGGCCGTTGAAGAAGGACGAGTACGCCCGGTACGGCCGCCAGCTTATCCTGCCTACTGTAGGCATCCAGGGGCAACTCCGTCTCAAATCAACATCTGTACTCATTGTGGGTGCGGGAGGGTTGGGGTGTCCTGCTGCAGCCTATCTGGCAGGGGCTGGCGTGGGAACTCTGGGTATCGTCGACGGAGACGCCGTCGAGGAGTCCAACCTGCACCGTCAGATTGCCCACAGCACCGCCAAACTGGGCCAAAGGAAGGTTGACAGCCTTGGGCACTACTGTGAGACCCTGAACCCGGAAGTCTGCATCGTCACACACGCAACCCATCTCACCCCCGACAACGCCGAAGGGATCGTGTCCAAGTTCGACCTTGTACTGGACTGTACGGATCACCCAACCTCACGATATCTGATCTCGGACATTTGTGTTCTCCTACAGAAGCCTCTGGTGTCAGCGTCGGCACTGAGGACAGATGGCCAACTGATCGTTCTCAATAATCCAGCAGAACCGCAAGGCAGCTTGGGAGGTGGTCCTTGCTACCGGTGTGTGTTCCCTAAGCCACCGCCTCCCGAGAGCGTGGTCAGTTGCGGCGAGGGAGGTATACTGGGTCCTGTGGTCGGCGTCATGGGGGTTCTGCAAGCCCTCGAGGCCATCAAGCTCATCTCTGCTGGGGTTGGTGCCCAACCCAAGAACCCCCGTGCGCCAGCCTTGCTCCTCTTCTCCGCCTCCGGGCCCACGACCTTCCGATCCATGAGAATGCGTGGCAGAAGAACAAACTGCTTCGCATGTTCTGCGTCGTCCACCCTATCCCTGGCGGCGCTCAAATCCGGGCTTCTCGATTACGTGCAGTTCTGCGGCGTCGCGGCGCCAGTGAGTGTGCTGAGACCCGAGGAACGGATCGCAGCGGCAGCCTACAACAAGCTGTTGGGCCAAAACCCTGAATTGCCACACATTTTGCTTGACGTGCGTGAGAAGGAGCACTACGATATAGCTAGCATACCCGGAGCTGTCAACGTGCCGTTCTCGTCGTTTCAGCTACGCAAGACGGATTCGGAGCATCCAAAGCCAGATTGGCTACCAGGGGACCTTCCCTATGATGCCCCCATCTACGTTGTCTGCCGGGTCGGTAACGACTCGCAGCTGGTCACCCGAATCCTCAAAGAGATGGGCCTGGATGGAGGAGGTAAGCGCTTTATAGGAGATATCCGAGGGGGGATGCGAGCGTGGAAGCAAGAGGTAGACGACACAACGCCGTTCACATGACAATACAGTGGAAAAGCAAGGCATAGTGCATACTGGTAAGAGGAGTTCCCATTGATTCGAAACAATTCTGATGTCCTGCACACTATGATACACGGATGGAGAGGCACTGAACGCCGAAGCCCGGCACGTGCTACCGTTGCCTTTTTCATATACCTTATTTCCTGCTACTCAATGAAACTCATAAGCCCACCCGGCTTGATGACTTTGTGCGACCGCGACCAAGGGGGAGACTGGCCTGCACGTGCTGCTGGCGAGGGTAAGTAGAACAGGCGATTCCATGGTCCACCAGCGGCATGGATGCCTTGGGACAAATGGCTTGTAATATACAACATCTGCACGAGATGGCCTGTCCTGGGGTGATGACGCCGAACTCAAACGCGGCTCGGGTGGTGGAAGGCCCCTCCCCCTAGATGAAGCTGGTCCGTTTCTTGTTGAAGGCCCTTTGGTCTTTGAGCCATTGCCTGTACCCGGCAACACTCGAGATCTTTTCGCCGTAGTAGTCAGGAACTGTGTTGCAGCATTAGCTTGAGACGCGCGCCAGGGGTTTCTTGCCCGTGTGTGTGACCGTGGCGGGCGGGCGAAGGACATACCTGGGTTGCCGACGGAGCTGACGCTTGGGTCGACCCTGTTCTTCTTGATCCTCGCGAAGAACTCGGCCTCCTTGATGGCCATGGGGGTCTTGACACCCCGCTTCACCATGTAGAAGATTGTGGCGCCCAGGCTGGGACCAGCCAGCCAGCCCAAGGCGGCGGAGCCCATGGTCATCAAGCCCAGGGTGATGAAGGGGTCCAGAGGTATCTTGCCCAGCCAATCCATCTCGACGTTGATCAGCACCAGGCCGGCTATACTGCCGCCCACGACCATGGTGGCGACACTGCAGGCCAGCTGGAAGCGTCTCCGGGTCTTGCGCAGTGTGAAGAAGGAGTTCCAGTCGAGGGTGGGCGTGGACGACGGGGCGGCCGAGGGGGCGGTGGAGGCATGGCGGCGGGCGGCCGACTGACACTGCAGGCAGGCGGGCTCCGTTGGCAACGGCCTCAGGGCGGCGGTGGAGAGCTGTCTCGGGGAGGCCTTGGCCACGAGGGGACGGCGGGCCAGAGAAGGCAGGGCGGCGCCTCGAGCGAGGGCAGACGGGAGCTGCAGGCTGCGAGAGCCGAGAGCGCCGAAGCGCACGAAGTGTGTCGTCGATGTCAGCATCGTGTGGTTTCGACGGTTACGTCGGTGTCGGGATTGGCATTGGCGACCTTGGGGGATGGTTGGGTTCAGGGTGGTCGGACGGCGGGCAACCCACAAGTTGAGGCTGGACTTGGACTTGACGTTGAAATTTCCCCGATTCCCGTCAACGCGGAGCTCTCCCCAAGACACGCCCCAAGCTCCTGCCTTGGCGGCCGCCCGGCAGCCTGTAAATTAGTTAGTGTCGCTGTCGGTGGCCCGTGGTAGGCTGGCAACTGGTAGCTAAAGCCCCTCAGCTACCTAGGTAGCACCTGCGGTAGCTACTTGCGCAGTAAAAAAAGCTGGTGGTATGCACGGACCGTTCTGTGACCTCGATTTCCAGGTTACGGGGGCCTCCACTCTGTCAGAGTTGATGTCAACCGTAAACATGACTTGACTTGCTTGGTACTTAAGAACGAGGGCGCGCGCACACACACACACACACACACACACTCACAGCAGAGCGTACGGCATGATTCTACACAGAATGGATTGGAAACTGTAGCCTTCCACCAGAATATACAAATCACGATCCCCACTACTACCAACAGCCAGCCCGCCGTCACTCATTCGGTCAGGTTGTGGACCCCCGGCTTTCTTTCCGTCAATGTCCCGTCCAACTGTATTTCCATCTTCATGCGCCCAGGCTCAGCTTGACGAGATCAACTACCTGCGCTGCCACACCGTAGCTTGACTGGAAACCGAACCCTCCCAGCCCGTACGCGTGCACTATTCTCAGATGCCCCAGCTCCTCATCCGAGACAGTCTCCCGAACGCCCGGTGTGAAATAATCGGTCCATGCCTACCTTGCAGCTGTACGCCAGCGGCCGGGGTCGCCCTTGCAAGCCCGAGAAACTCGGACCAGCTGACCAGGTCCCATTCCATCTCTCTTGTTCCGCGAAGCGAAAAGCTGCGCATGCAGGTACGTGATCAGCCAAGGCTTTGATGGCACAGAGGGGGGTTGAGACCTACGGAACCCAGTCTGCTCCGGCCCAGTTGCTGGTATATTCTGTCTCATGGTCTGCTGGCATATGTTGAGCGATGACTACGATGTTCGTGTAGCCGGCCCGGCAGAGCAACATGGCTGTTGTGAGCCCAACAACACCAGCTCTGATAACAGGTCAGCAATTGGGACTTCCCGTCACCATGTGGCAAGCTGCCAGCCATTACCCTAGGACCGCAATCGGTGCAGACTCATTGGTTGGTAGTGCCATCCCTTTAAAGCTTCACAGGCAGTCGTGAGTACGCCAATACCGTCAATCCATTTATACACTTCGAAACTCCATAGCCACCGTCCGATCGCCGGGAATATAGTTTATAAGAATAAGCACATGCCGATATAGGACCATCATTAGCTCATAGGCGGAGCCGGCAACGCGGGCAGGTCGTCACACACAAAGAGGTTGCTACAACGAGGTTGCCCAATCACAACATGGGCTAAAGTTACGTACAGGCTTACAGCATGAGGGGTATTCTGTCCGGAGGGTCGACTCCTTGTTTTCCCATTATTGGCTGTAGTTGCGATTCGCACACTACCTATAGATGGTCTATTGCCTTAGCAGCGAATTGCGGAGTCCTTGGGTATTGCATTGCATGCCAATGCGTATCCCTCTACCTCTATCTCTAGGTATCTGCTGTGAGCATGTTCAGGTTACTGTGTCCTCCAGAAATCGCCATGGCTCGCATACAGAACGACTTTCTTCAACTTAACTATCGAATCCTTATGCGCTTATTAACACCTGTCTGCTTTATCCATACCCCAACGTATCTTTCCCCGGAACTTAAGACTGATCTCTCCATATTAGTTCCTACGGGAGTCGACATTGGCCATCCTTGCGGCTTGGCACGTCATCCCTGGACCAGCTAACTAAGATAAACTAAACAGATAACTAACTAGCTTAGCTAGGTAGACAAGCATTCGGAATGCCTTGTGTACGTACAGCTGTACATTGAGGATGACTGCAATTGTCAATTGAATCGTCATGTCTTCGATGTTACCCGTGTATATGAAACCTCTAGAAATCCCGCCGGCCTGTCCATCCCGACCAATTGTTTCGAGCGCGGGCGATGCTCGAGGCGGACACGGGAGCTTATTCGAGGCTCATTTCATCCCCGTAAACAACACTAAAACGGAGCTTCGTCCCGCCATCTCACTCAGCCTCCCTTCCATGGTCTTGAGGAAACCCCCCGGAAAAGCCGCACCAGCCTCGACGCGTGCGCCCGATCGCCGGCAAAAGCCATTCACGGAAGCCATGAGGGCTTAGTGACCCAGGAAAGGCCACGGAGATGGACAAGCGGATGGACATGGGGAAGGGGAAGGGAAAGGGCAGGGACAGGGACAGGGACAGCATGCGCATTCAGAAACGTCCATTGCGAAGCTCGATCCAGGTCGTGCTGCCGTCCCGAGTGCGCCCGTACACGCGCGGCAGCGGCCCTGCGCTTGCACCGCTGCGAATCGCCCTGAAGAACGACTCGACTGCGTACATCACGGCCAAGGATGTGCTGCCCACCAGCACGAGGAGCGGTGGCCTGAAGCTGCAGATGCACTACGTTGTACGGTGGACAGACCTCCCGGCTGCCTCGGTGCTCATCCCCGCCACGCACATTCTCGACCATGTTTCACCCCGGGCGCTGGAAGACTACGAGTACCGCCTGTTGCTGGAGGCCGAGGCGGCAGAGGCAGGGCAGAGAAACGAGGCCGAGTCGGCTGCAGCAATGGTCGCTGCCGGGGCGATGAGCATAACGGGCGCGTCTGGTGCGCCGCAGGCGAGGAAAAGGAAGCGTGGTCGTCCCAACAAGGCTGACCAGTTGATGAGAGAAGACGCTGCAAGGCCTACCAAGGAAGATGTTTCGGCCTTGCTCCCGGCCACGAGGACGACGGGCCCTTCCCTTTCCACGCCGCAGAAGTCGTTGAGCACGGCTATCCATGAGCTTGGCGTCGAAGAGGATGTGGAAGACGAGTCTGAGGACGCCATCTTCAAGCAACTATACAGCCAACACGCTTCGCCAAGTCTGTGTAGTGACAACGTCGATGCAGAGGGTTCCGATGCAGAGGAGCCGGCGCACAGCCCTCCCGTCGAACTTAATGCTCATAACAGTACCCTGGTGCTCGACACCAAATCCACCGTGACCCAGAGGCCATCCTCCCCAAAGTCTATGTCTACTTCTCAGTTTCGCATAGAGATACCACTAAGCTCTCATGCTAAAACCGCGGGCCCGAGCGGTTTCACGCCTGCTGGTCGTAGCGCGGGAAGGTGGCCCTCAGATTCACCTGTTCGGGTCCCAGCTACTATCACTCAACAACGAACAACGCGGGACCATCTCGCACATTCTTCGCGGAAGAGGAAAAGGAAGAACAGCGTTGCTCCAGCTAACGCTCCAACTGACGAGTCCGCTTATGAGGTGAAACGACTCGAAGACGACAAGATTGTTGACGTCGATGGTAAGAAAGAGCACTGGTTTCGGGTGAGATGGGAAGGCAACTGGCCACCGGACCAGAACCCAACGTGGGAGCCCATGGCCAATATACCGAGGAACTTGGTGAAGAAGTACCTCAAAAAGAGAGGAGCCAAGGCCGATTCCGTGCATGTGGGTTTGGACGAGGTCGATGGGGGCCCGATCATACCGAGGAGGAAATATTCAAGCGTGGCAGAGGCATTCGCTGGGGAAATAGAGGATGCCCCCCACGGGCAGAGTCCTCGCAACACTGGTGATGACTACGCCGGGGAAGAAAGGCTACTGGTTGATGAGCATGAGTCGACCCCGATGCCATTTCGATTTTCCGTACACGGTACGACCAGCCTTGATTTCGCCGGTGCGTTTGGTATGTTCCATGGCGATGGAAACGGTCAGGACAACCTCGACCCACCTCTCTAGCATGGACTGTGAGGGCGTCGCTTGGATGAGCACGAGGGACCGAGATGCCAGATACAGCATTCTTTGGTGAAGGCAGCAACCACATTTCTTTTGCACGTAGCCCAACCTCTCGGGTGGTGGTATGACGCTCGCCACCATGACCACCGCGGTTCTGTCACTTCACTTTACAGGGCATATCTTCCAATCCAGCCACACAACCCTACTGACCTCGAACCCCCTTTACAGAATGAGGTCGTGTAGGTACTAGTAGAAACCCGACACGGGCTACTTGTATTCAGAAAAAATCAGATGAGTATGGTACGACACCGGCGCAACAAACTGCGACCTCCCGTTCTCGTCATAGGCTACAGCAGAATGTGGTAATAGAATCCCTGGCTATGTCACATGATCTTTCGAGTGGTTATTCGCGCAGTAGGACCCCAGACCTCAGGGTCTCTGATCTCACCGTAGTCATCAATTTAAACAAAGTCCTTCGGAGGCTCCAGCACTAAGCATGCTATGCACTGCTACGAACCTCTCCCGTTGGAGGGGTGGATAGTGACATACGCTCGATCACGAGAAGGGCCGATATGTGGTCTGAAAATGCGACTTCTGTCTAGTTGTTCCTATGTACAGTTCGCTGTGATGTTCATCCCTTCCGTAAAACCGTTTCCCTGAGAAAAATGAAAGTTTACCATCGGCAGAACCCTTCTACCTGAATATGCCGCAAAGTCGCTCAGCGCGAGTGCGCCGTTCCCTTTGCGCCTCTTCCACCATCATTGTTGATGATTACTCTCGGTCACCTCGACACAACGGCAACAAAGGAGAGAGATTGCAAAAATTGACTCCAAATCAAGATCAGGTCACCGCAACATGTCATCCGTGTTGCGCGTGAAGCTCCCGGGCAGGACGAATCTTCCGTGTATTCTGCAGCGATAGGAAAAAGCTACTCGCTTGAACTGGGATGATACTTGGCGAGGAGGTCAAAGAAGTCCTTGCGCCAGTCCGGGCCATCTTCGGGCTTCGGCCAGCTCTCGCCATCGACGAGTTCGGGCAGATCCTCCCATTTCATACCATCAGGAGGGTACTGGTCGTCAGCAAAGTCTTTGGACTTCCGGTACGCCTCGCTGCGTTTCATGTCCTGATATATGGGCCAGTAGCGTTCTTTTGCTTCGCTGAGTGGGATTGCCTGAACCGGCTTTTCCCAGATGACCTTGTCGAGCTCCGATTTGAGTACATGCGAGTGATCATCTCTATCGCAGAGAGCTTGGATCGGCCCCTTGTCTCGCGGCAAGACCAATTTCGAAATCCAACGGTCCTCAGTCATATTTGGCTTGCGATCTCTGATCTGGCCAACGTACGGCCAATCGCGCTCCCAGCCCTCGCGGCTTTCCTTGAATTCGGTATAGCCGTACTTTCTCTTGTAGTGCTCCAACGAACACGAAGAGAAGCCCTGCCGGAGCTCGTCTTCTGACATGAAGATATCTATGCTCCAAGTCTGTGGCTTAACATCGAACTCCTCAGGCTCGGGATCGGCGGCGAGGATATCCATTGTCTCAGTCTGGCCCGTAGGGGGGGCACGGTCGATTTGGTGGTCGGGATCAGATGAATCGCGCCCCGGGTGGTTGTTGGTGCCAGCTGGCACACCTTGATTGTGAACAAGGACAGTCTGCTCAGTGGAAATAATAGTCTGACCCGTTGCCAGTGAAGAAATGATTTCCAACGGAGTGATTCGATACCCTGGGTGGACTGGCTGAAGATCCGATGCCATGGGTCGAGGCGCAAATCTATTTGCGCCTCGCTTCCTGATCGCCATCCACTCTTCCAGCAAACTCGGATATTCTTGACCACTGGCAAATCTGGCCAGCGAAGCAGGTGCGCGCAAGTCATCCAAAGACCCTTCACATGGGTCATCGAGGTAGTCTAGGCTACCTCTTTTGTCTTCAAATTGCGGACGACGGTGGATGAATTTGTGGAATCGCTTCGCGTACTCGACCCTGCTAAAAAGCATGAAAACGACCTCACATCCATCGATCCACGCGTCCTCGAGTGCGTCCTCTACAGATAGAAAGCATTCCTCGACGCCCTCGAAGATCATATGACAACGGTCTCGGGGAAACCATCCGAGCTGAAGAAGACGCGACTGCCCATATATAGGGTCTCGCTTGAGAAGGCCCGGGTGTGTCGGGGTTCCGGCGAGACTGACACGTGCTTGCTTGCCTTGGACCCTAATACAAGCAGGGTTCTTCTTGGCAAAGTCCACATATGCATGCGCGTCCCTCCACTCGGCGAACACAACGAATGCCGTATCCCCAGTGTCGAAAGCAGTGGTGTCTATGATGATGATATGCAGGATCTTCCCGCCACGGACTAGTGGCATCAGGTACCGATACGCTATCTTCCGCGGTAGGCCAGATATGACGACGGAAGAGCACTCGTAGTCACGTTGTCGGTGCTCCCACATAATCATTGCAGCTGGGATGTTGGGTGTGTACTGAACACCGTACTGGAAAGTTGACGAGATGTGGCCTTGAGAATCTTTGTGAAGTTTCATGGCAGCCTGGCGGTCTTGCTCGTTGTCATAGAGCCGATCCACAAAGTCCTCATTCGGGACGAACCTGGGGCATCGTTTCATCTTATAGCGCCCAGCTGGCGTTGGAGTTGTCATGGGAAGAGCGCGTGCGGCCAGTTCCGAGATAGGCTGAGATTCGTGGATGATACGGGTTCCATATTCGTTGTTCAGACTGGCGTCGCCGACATCAAGAGGCTGTGTGTTGTCGACTTTGTCCCTGTTCAGACTGGTGTCGCCGATGTCGTAGGTCTGCATGCCCTCGTCTCTGCGTAATTTCTCCAGATACTCTCGTCTAGCTTCTTCTGAGCTTTTGGGCAGCAATTCGTCCGGTCTTCGCTGGTCCACATAGTTGTCATCATCGTCCAGGCTGATGAGCGTACCTTCTCTTTGTTCACTGGTGTCTGCTGGCACATGGGTTGCCTTGAAGATGGCAGCTTCCTGCTCGCTCTCCAGCTCCCAGTTACGGCATATCGAAGCATGTGAGCTGCTTGAGTGACAGCTCGAAGCATATGGGCTGCTTGAGTTGTTTCCGAAATATGCGACAGCCTGCAGATACACGTTCCTGAATGGATCGCAACCCGGTTCTGCCTGTTCGGCAGTTGGAATGGCACCTGCTGTGGGAACAGCCTTAGGGGACTGCATAGGCTTGTCAGGTTCTGCCTCCATGTAGCCATCTGCACAGCTTTGTGTAACTCTCGATACGCCATTCACTATACTGCTGTTGCCAGCACATGGCCCGAATGGCGACATGGGTGGACATGCCCTGCCATTGTCTTCGACAGGGCTACTACAAGCCTGGTTATGTTGTTCTTGACGCATGTTGGTGACAATGTGAAACATCTCCATGTTCACCAGACGTTCAGGGACTGGCATTTGTCGTGAGGTTGCAGTTCCAAATTGCTTGCTATCGGCAGGCAAGGCTTTGAGTTCTGTGGTGCCTGTGGCACATTTCTTGGTCTTTTGCGTCGTATCAATGTCTCCGTCAACTTTCATCAACAGCTCAAGCTTCTGTGTGAAGCGAAATGAAGCTATCAGATCTGCCGTAATGATTCCCAGGCGCTCGCTCCCTCGAACGCTGTCTTTGACATCGGGTGTCGGGTTCTTGTCCTGGGTTGACTGATACTTGTTTTTGATATTTGCGCAGTTGTCCTTGTGCGCTTTGCAGACAAGGCCTAGAAAAAAATTGACACGTTGTCTCTCGCACTCCAGGAAGTGCTTTCGCTCTTGTATGCTACAGTCGTTCAGACCATCGCCGACTAGTCGAGAAAAATCCTCAGAGTAGAGGGTGGCGGAATATCTGGGGTAGTCAACTTGTGTCACGGTCGGGTCATGGCCTGAGCCTGCCGACAGACTGTTGTTGACGCCGGAAGACATCTTGAGAAGGGAAAGCGTCGCTGCCCTCGTGCTTCAACGAGTGCTGTTGCTATGTGTCTCGTGTACGCGTGTATGGGAGGGAAGTGAGAAAAGCGGTTGTCGGGAAATTGATATTTGCCCTTTTGGGTAATAATCTGAGAAGACGAGTGAGTACTACGTCGGTCTAGGAGTTGGGAGTAGGAGGAGTCGTGTGAGTCGACGGCCGTTGTTGTGAGCCCCGGATATTGGTGTTTGACCAGACAGGGGAGAAGTGCAAGGCAGTGAGAGAAACACATTTGACAAAACCGATACCTACCATTGGAATCCGCGGTATGTGATTCTGCGTGGAGATGTCAAGTACAACCCAAGTGAAGTGATGTGCCGCTGCGCGGGATTGGGCGTAGCAGGGGTGACAAATATCGGCTTGGTTGCTACACCTTACACGCTGTAGAGCTCTTGCCTCCCTCTTGCGCAGCGGCGTTTTTCATATCCCGATTTCGATGGGCGAAGATAGAAAGAAGGTGCGTATAAATTTGTTACCACAACCTTTCCTCCAATGCGGAGATCAGGAGTGAAGTCTGATCGCTGGTAAAGTCAGTTTCCAGGGAAGAGATATGGAGGAATGTAGGATCTCATCCTATTGCTTGATCAGGAAGGCTATGGCGTGACTTACTGTGACGAAAACTTCGCCTGTTACTAGATGCCGAGAATATTCACCGCCAAGCGCGAAATTTTTCAAGTAGGTGCCTGCGAAATAATACTTCACCTGCTGGGAAACAAAGAACCTTGATTACGAATACCCCAGGGAATTTTGGGGTTGCACCAGCCGATTGTTTGCGTTGTTGGGCCACTGATTTTCGAAGTACTATAAATGGCACGGGCTCTCAAGTGAGGGAGAAAGAAATGCCCGGCAAGAGCTGAATGTGCAGATGGCGAACAAGCATAGAGGCAGGTAACAAGTCAAATAGGTTGACCTTACAGCACGTAAACGTAGATCGTTCCTTCATGGACGAACTACAGCAGTCTTCCCCCAACTCACAGGCTGTATAGACATTGGGTTACGTGCAGGCCTATTTCCCAGCACGTCGACGTGATGTACCTAAGGCCGGAAGGAGGGATTCATTTACTATCGGGAAGTAGGTTTCACAGGAGACGCCGGTAAAGCGCAATCCTGGAGTGGCTTGTTTTAGTGACGAATCGCATGCCTGCGGAGAAACACCGAGACTCGAGACAGAAAAGTACGGACGACAATAATGGAAACAGTCTACTGTATCATCGCCAGAGAAACTCTTGAAATTGATAGATGTGAACCACCCACACCGCTGCTACATGCAGTGAAATTATACTCATGTATGTTACTAACCATCGGTGGCCGATACATGGGGCGTGCGATAGATCTGTCAATGTAATATGGTATTTACGGTATCTCATTGACACGTGAACGATTCCACATTAATGCTTAATGGTAGGCAGCCGAAAGACGGAATAGCTCCTTGCTTCGTTGTTGAGAACAGGGTGTCCAGCTGTTAGCATCGTCACAGCACGGTAAGCAGGCTTGCAGACAGCATTGTATTCGTGAATATACAAAAATCATGGGAAATACGGGGTAATTAGCTTGCTCCGCTTGGGGAACTGGCATGTACGCGGTAGAACAAACCAACATGCGTCATGAGAACGTATACTACTACCCCCTATTATGTTTTTGTAATCCTTGATGGCCATATTAAGTCAGCTTCCATTTTTAATTCCTTCGAATTCAAGTAGAGCAATATATTCAATCAATATCATACTTGGACGTAGCCGAGCTTTATTCTGAGAAGAGGCGATCCGGGATGAGTCTAAGAACATAAACGCACCAGTTCAGCTGTGCACCCACCGCGATAGCGATGACGCCAAGGCGCCATTAACTTTGCGGCAGGCCTCAATAGCTACAATCGACTATCTAGGGGTCTCCATATCTCGTTTGCCAGGCGGCGAGCATTGACCAAATCTGGATGAACCTGGTCTAGGGATGTTATACCGACGAGTCTCATTGCCGTTGCCAATTCCTCGGCAAGAACTAAGAAATAGTCAGTCACGTAACCGAAAGAAACCTCTCGTCGATGGAAACTCACTTTCTATGCACCTCTCGACACCTCTTGTTCCATAAGCGGCCAAGGCATAGAAAAAGGGCCGGCCAACACCCACGCCCTTGGCACCCAGGCAGAGGGCCTTCAGTACATCAGCGCCATCTCGCAAGCCGCCATCCACAAAAACTTCGAGGTTCCCGAGGACCTCAGGGCAGTAGGCGCGAATCTCCAGGAGGGTAGACAATGCGTCAGGGGCTGAATGCAACTGTCGTCCGCCGTGGTTGGACAATAATATGCCTTGACATCCATAGTCCATAGCCAGTTTCGCGTCCTCGGCGCATTGAATTCCCTTCACTACTAATGGGCCACCCCATTCTTTCTTGATCCACTCCAGGTCGGTCCATGCAAGCGAAGCGCTGACCTGGTTCTGCCGTACGTGGGTAACGATACCTAGACCAGCCGCCCTGGCCTGCTCGTCTGATCCCATGGCTAAAGCCTCCTCGGCCAGCTGTCGTCGATCTATTGTGCGTTTTCCTAGAACAGGAGTATCGACAGTAACCCAGAGTGACCTGAAACCCGCGACCTTGACTCGATGGATCAACTTGATGGCAGCCTCGCGATCTGGTGAGGTATAGAGCTGGAAATGAAGCTGAGGCGCTGCCGAGACGTCTCTACTGTCATCATGTCGCTCCAACGCCTCTGTCAAGGAAGAAGCAATCTCTTCGGTGGTTTTGGTTGACACAGTACTGATTACACCATGGATCCCACTGCGTCGGAAGCCGCGTACGAGTTCGACTTCAGCATTAGCATGGGCGCGACCAAGGATCCCCATGGGAGAGACGTAAAATGGAAATGGACACCGGTGACCGAGGATGGAGGACACTGTGGAGACGGTCTGGACATCACGCAACACCCGAGGACGAAACCTCACGGCCGACCATGAATCCAAGTTGGCCGCCATGGAGAGGCCCGAGTTACTTGATGATGAAACGTAGGACCATGACCTGGCTGGTAGCATCATCTTGGCTGCAACCTCAAAATCGCCTGTCACCACACATTTTGAGAGATGGTGCAGCCCCTCTCCAGTTGGAAGTGAACGAAGTGCTTCCTCATTTGTCGGTGGTGCGAGTGCGCCTATCGTCGATGTATCAATCGGACCGAGCAAGCTCCCAGTCGGCAGATATTGTAGGACGTCCGGAGAGTGAATGCGGCTGAATTCTATAGTCGCATCCCATAGACAATTAGCTGGCCGTCCCGTGCATTGGCCGGCTGGGATTGATATCCATACTCGGCCGCCTTGAGCCAGCAGAATAGCTGCCCCGCCCGGGTGTTGATCGAGATACGAGGTCACGTCGTACACCTGGGCATTGAGAACCACCCAGCAGCATTTGCTCGTGTTTCGTTTCGCAACATCTGCACCGTCCATCATTGCAATTGCCACGTTGATAGCCAAACAAGTGAATATAGAAAAGTACAGGTAGTCCCAGAGTGAAAAACATTGACATCCCACCTGAATTATTAGATGGTAGAGTCTGGAATTGCCGAACAAGCGGAGATCCCCGCTTCCCCGAAATGATGTGCTTGCTCCTCTCCCGAGCATGATACGAACCGTCTTCGGAAGTGGCAGAATTCGTTGGAAAATAGAACTTGCGTGAGATGCAACCTGCCCTGCTGCAACCAGCTTAACTACTTCGCAGAAGCCTTCCAAGCCCACTACGTTACCCAACTTCCATGACACCTGCCATTAAGCTGTACACAGAACAAGAATGGGTCTTACGTTACTAAAGATTATACCAGTCTGCAACTTTTGCGTATCCCGTCCAGAGCAGTCCAGGTCCGCGCCTTGTGGCGGATGAGCAGTAGGCGGAAGTAGCCGAGCCCACTTACTCAGCGTCGCACGTACATCATGTCCCGTCACATCACAATATGTAGTTGACTGGATAACGACTGGAATAAAACGCGAATGCAGCAATCAAAGTGCATAAGCGAATATCGGGTGCACTCTCTTCCTCGTCGAGCAATGAATCACATGCTGTTAGTGCATTCAACAGCGGTCATCCTAGAACGATCACTGTTGGAACAAATGGGAAATACGGCTACGCACTCTTCTCTTACCACTGTTACATATCACTGAATATTCTCTTCATCACCCAACCCTTCTGTGGATGTTCGAGTCTTCGCTAGGCTACGCCAAATTGCCGGGGGCTTGAGGGTATGATAATATCTCAATGGTTGTCCTGGAACGCTTAAGGAAGACTTACGGGCCTGTAATGATTGAGAGGCAGTATTATGCCAACAGGCGTCAAACGACAAGGCCACAACTACGCACGCCATAGATACGGATTGGATTAGAACGGTTTTCATCACGATTTTCCATATAAACGCGCTTACAACTCCTAGAATTGGTAATGGGCCACGGACAAACTGAATATATTAACAAGGCACACTGGTATCTAAGGAAATGATTGCTTCACGTTTTAGTCCACCGACAAGAAAGGAGTCTAACTGATGTTCCTATAGACACTGCGAATAGTAATCGTTCTGGAATCTGCAAGTTGTCCCAGCTGCGCAGCCCGTACAGCCATTCCAGTTCTTGCCAGCGCATTGTCCATACTTAGCAGCAAAGCAAGCCTGTCCACCCGACGGCGATCCTGGGGACCCGGGATTGGATCCTGATTGACCTATACACGTTGTCAGAACATCAGACATCTACCCAAATTGCGTCGAAAAGCGGTGCCTTACCTCCACTCGGATTCTGGGGCGTCGTTGTGATCAACACAGGGGTACCGACAGTCTTGGTCTCGTCGATGCTGCAGATGCTGCCGCATTTCCCGTTCGTGGCAGTTGGTTTGAAACCAATCGCTGGATCGGTATTGTTGTAGACAACATCTATCCATTGGATTTGAAGGTATGCCTCGGAGCCGACGCTCATGTTGCCGCTCCAAGAGCCCCCGTCGCTCCAGGCATTGAAGATTATTTGGCTAGGGTCCCGAGGGGCTTGGAAAGATATAGTAGAAACCTGGACTCAGGTTAGACACAACCGACACAATTAGCAGACACTGGATCCCCCGATGCCGAGAGCGACAACGGGACGGTCAGACTCAATACACACGAATGTGTTCTTACCAGTTGACCATTGACAAACCAGTTGGTGGAACCGGGAGTCCAGTCCATACGATGGTATTGCCAATCATTCCAATTCACCTTTCCGGGTTGGGTAATGTTTTTAGTCGCGCCAGCAATGTCGCCGTTAGCATTCCATGAGGGTTGATTGGTATATTGAATCGAGGAGCTTGGATCTCGCGTCCGGACCTCGAGGTCCGCTTCCTGGACGCTCTGAAGTGACTGCGCCCCTCGGTATGTGAACATAGCAGTGATTGCGCCGCTGGCCCCACGCGTTCTGGCGAGCATACGTATACTCAAGTAGTGATAATTCCCAGAGCCTGACTCAAACTCTGCTGCCGACTGGAAGTCCTGATGCCGTACTGTCCTCATAGTCATGTATGTCTTCGATGCCGCCTTCGTATCCTTGTTGTTTTCGAAATACACATTGCTAGGGGAGTTCACCATGAGGACAGTTGCATCGCTCCCCGTGACGTCTGAGTTGCCTCTCATCATTAAGCTGTTATTCCAACGCTGCAAGGACCAGAAATTCGTCCAGTCGGCACTTTCGAAGTAGCTGCTTGCCACACCGGCATCGCTAGCCGCTGACGGATTTTGTGCCGGTCCTGGGACGTTGACGTACTGCGACATGTTCCGGAAGTCGAAAAATTTGTGTCGGCTGAACCAATTCTTCGTTGTAGTGTTGGTAAGGTAGCAATTGCACTTCGCGTCACTTGTTGTTGGAAACTCGGCTAGAACAGTCGACAAGATAACGGAAGTGACTGCCAGTGCAATCCACAGCTTGCGAAGAACTCCCATGTTCGTTGATGTTAGTTGAATTCAGATAACGGTCTGATGCCGATGGTATCCACTGATGCTGGCTGCGCCTCCAATTCGATGGTCCAAACCTAAAGACAGCTCCCTTCCGGATATAGATGGTCCTGTTTCGTGATATCTGAGCCTACATGGGCGACGAGGACAGTGTGTGACAGGATGCGAGGCAAGCCACCGCTTGTTCCAGTAGTTTATATGCCAACGAAGTCTACTACGAGTGCCAATAATAAGAATGGTAATAGTGAGGGGCGAGACGCACAAGGTTGTTCCATGTTAATAGTTGTTGGTCAAGAATAGGGCAATTTGTCCTGGTTATTGCCCGGTTCGCAACTACGATTCAACCGAAAGGAGAATTAAGGAAGGGTGACTAGGGGAACTTGGCTACAGGCATGTTGCAAGCCATATAGTTCCTGATTAACCGAGTCGAGTCGAGTCCAACACGGCAGCAGTCAAGCTTTCTCTGCAGGGGTTCTGTGCGGGGAGTTATGCCAGATCTGGATCGTCATGATTAACAGCAGGTTCCAGAGGACCGGGTAAATCGTGAAAGCTGCCAAGGATGTCAATGCCGACACGTTCATATTAATTACTGCAACGGCAATTCTCCACAATGGGAGCGTGGGCAAGCCTGGACAGGTGATTGAAGAGTTTGATACTGAAACGTCGACCTTGGGAGTGGTTGAACCAAACGGGGAAATCAAAGTCAGCGAATAGCATAAGCTCCATGGAGTTGAGTATCCCTGATGCATGCAGCCTCAAGTTTTTCCGCTCTCGCGTCGTGCATACGCGGCACTTTGAAATCGAAGGCCACAACCATCTCAAGCAGCTAAAAATACCTGCTGTACGACGTAGACGTATATTGAAGTGTCATTAAAGCAGGTGTGCTGCCAATGACTCTTCGAGTCTCTTGTGGATTACGTACTGGTCACTTTCGGCAATTGCCAAGACCGCAGTGCTCCTCTGTGAATGAAGCTGGCCAATTTTAGGCACACAAATGAGCGTGGATGGTATAATGGTGCTTGCTATGTCGGCTTCACACAGTGGACGAGCGACCAACTGGTGGTCTCGATGTCTTCAGACAAGGTCAATGCCAGCGTTACAGGTGGAAATTAACTATGTAGGTCGCCAGCGAGTATGAGATGGCACGAAGTCCTACAATCTGGTGGGATTTCAAGGCAATGTATGTTCCACCGAGTCATTTTGTCCAATACATTCAACGGGCTGCTGTGCTGCACATATGTCATACACAAGGTGGTAGACCATGAGCCAGGAAATATACGCGAACCGGCACCAACAGGTATATTTACTATGCTAGCCGGTACTTGCGCAACTATTACGGCCCATATGTAGAATAACCAGCCTAGGACTAGCAGGGGAAATCAGGCGATATCTGCCCTCCATGTCTCTGTATCCTCTGCGGCCTAGAAGTTGAAATCGGTCCCAGTTTCGCGGACTTCATGATCAGGTCTTGAATCCCATTGGCTCGTCTCCAGTTCCGCATACTTGGTCGTAAGACCCAAAGCAGTACTTATATCATTCGTTTAAAATGACGATTGCCTTAATTGATTATCTTCACCCTGACGCCTGGCTTGAACAAGTACAATTTATATGACTGCAAGAAAAAGGCCAGCTTCAACTGCTGTGCCCGTCGATGTTCGTCCATGGTCCACATTAGCGTCATCCGTGATCGCAGATTTTGGATCATCGTCGTAGTTTGAGGTCTCCATCTCTGGCTCCATGCGACGGTAGATTGTTGACTATGCCTCTTCGCTGACAAAAGCTCCGCCAGTCATCTCCCAAAGCCCCCATTCTTCTTGAACCCATGGTACCATTCTCCCTACAAAGTGCGGAAAGAGGGAGAATATTCAGCTCGGACGAGACAATTAGTCGAGTTCCGCACATGAGACTCCTCGTGACCCTGGCGTATGGAGCGGCGGAAATACTGGATGCGAGCCTTGGTGGTTAACCCAGCCACAACATATGGTATTCGATAAAAGACCATTGCGCCTGACCAGCGATATGGGAAAAACACATTAGACTTGGTCATATTTGACTAGACCCTCAATCGTACAGGGCAAGGAGGTCTGCGGAGGGTAGAGTCGTTCAGTGTGACGAGCACTCCCATTATATTCCGGTTCGAGTGTTGGCTTCATTTTCTCGGACGGCCGACATAGTCTCGGTATTGTTCTCAATCAGCCATCAGTGTCGACCTCACACATACTTGGTGAGAACGTAAGATGTCATATTGCGAGAGTGTTGTTACAGGCTGTCGTTGCTTCTGGTCTCTTGTCCCTGACTGGGTCAGGTGTTTCTGCTTGCCGGACAATGCATTCACCACGAGAACCATAGACAAGATCTGCACTTCCTCCTCGGCTGGCGTTGTTCGATGTTATCTCTGGGGAGCTCGATGGTGCGGAAGCTGTGAAAGCTGAGCTTGCGTGGCGTTTGCATGCCTGCTTCGACAAAGTGGCTTGGAAGAAGTGAATAATAATCATTCCCTTCCTGGTCTTCCTGCTTATAGCAGAAGCCTAAATGCGAACCCCCTTCGGATTCCACGTCCATTGATGCATCTGTTGAGATAAACCCAAAACGGGCCATGCCCGGCCACGTTGGTAGCATTATTGGACGCTTTTCGCGATAGCACTGTGAAAGTAGCTGAGTCGTATTATGGAGATGAGGCACCTGTGTCTGTAATGGTACTGGTACTCGCAGGATTTAAACCCTCAAGGGTGCGGGCAATAAAGCTTCTACATAGAGGTGGCACGTTTGGTCCACGATCTTCTACCTGGGATATACTTACTTCATTAGAAATGGGTCGCCTCTCAGACTTAGTCCGCTATGTCTGGGCCACATCGTGCAACAGGCAGGCTGCAAGGTTTCCTTGGTAAGCCAACTTCGAGACGATTTTGTGGATGAATAGATAAGAACGTAGGAATCTGTGACGGTACTCGCGACGATTTGATAAGACTAGGCTTGCTAAAAGGTTTGCAATCTGGTTTCTCGTAACCTTGTGATGCAAACCCACAGTTCATGATACGGACATAAGAGTCTGGGCAAGCGTTGCCAAGTACCAAGAGGTTTTGCGTATCTCGGCGTTTTAGTTCCGCCTACACTTGGGGGCATCGAAGTAGATGCTCCTCGTCGCCAAGCTATCACTAATGTTGTTTGACGGCTGCCAGACACGGCAGAACAAAGTCCAGTGCTCTTTTTATAAGTAGTACCATTCAAGGTTTACGCATCTTCTTGTGAGAGGTACATGTTGTGGCGCCTGTTCGGGCACGACCTTGATATAAGCCTAACAAGCTAGCGATGCCCTGACCTTGGCGCTCCATAAGTTGATGCCGACGAAAGAGATGTGTCCCTGTCTCCTGGTTTTCCCGCTTGCAATTCGATGGCCGCGCCGTTCACGCCGCCAGGCGGCAAAGAAGAACCGTCGTACGAAGGGCCAGCCGTGTATGGGGGGCTCGGACCTTGGTTGGGAACCTTCTCGTCCCGGCTGCGGCGCCTGAACTCACCGAAAACGGCGGATGCGGCCCATAGAAGCCACATGACGCCAGCAACGACTGAATATGCTATGATGACCGACTTGTCAGCCCCTGCGAGTTGCAAGCCAAGGCCCCCGTTGATGATGCCAAGAGTTACGGCTACGCGACCGACCCAGAGATGGGCTTGAGACCAAGCTGTCCGCCGTCCCAGTCGCTTGAACCTGACATGGTGGGCCCAACCGAGAACGGGCTGGAAGAAGACGACTGCGAGCACTACCAGTCCGATAATCGGATGGGCGTTATACTGCGATTCTTGAAACTGCATCTAATGTGAGCCAAAAGAGCATGTGCAGTGTCACTGGTGCCTTCGACTAACCAGACTCGACCCACTCGGTGGAAGACGGACCATTCGAACAATATAGATACCCAGCGCAGCAGCCACAATGTAGATGATGTATGCCACAGCCTGAGTGAGCGCATGGATAATCCAAGCAAACCGTCCGGGAATGACCCGCATGAGTATTGCTCCAATGGGGAAGAGCACAGCAAAAGCCAAAGCGGCCAGGATTCCGTGGACATTGCGATAGAACATCGCAGACCTGGTGTCGAATATAACGCTGTTACCAAACTGGTCGTCGAACCCGTTGTGATCATCGTTGCTGCCGGTCCCTCCACCGTTGTTCCAGTCGTACCCATTCCCATCTCCCCCACCATCGTTCCAGGGACCCCATGCATTAGCACTCACCACTATGAGATCAATTAGCCGTGTGCTGATTATCAAGTTTCCCGTGATGATAAAACGCAATGAACATACCGAAGGAGAACAAGCCCAGTAAAGTTGCCAACATCATTCCTTTGGAGAAGACCCTGCTGACGATTGAACAATGCTATACTAACTAGTTTCGTGAACCAAGTGCGGCTTGAAAACGGGTTACTTAGAAAGGTGCTTGAATTGGGGCCGACGTGAGAAGGCCGTTTTAGATTTCCAGAGAAATTGTTTATGTCGACTTACGTATTGCGTATTGCTACGACCATCGTCGGACCTTGACATGGGGATGTGCGAGCTTTGCGTGGGCGGCAGCAAGCCGGCCGATTGGGTGAACTCTAAGGTTGCTGGGACCGATAATGGGGGGCGGGGGGGTCGACCGGTTAGTTCAATCGGCTGTGTATTACTTCGAACAATATCATCCCCAAAGCCGGCATATTTGGCCCCAAACCCAAATGCCTTTCGCGCCGCCGAAGGATGCCGACCTTTTCAAGTCCCCGGGGCCGGCTTAAAGCCGTATAGAGACTCCGAGAGTTGGAAGGCGGGGCTAACGAAAGTCGGCCTATAATCAATTTACACCAGCACCCAAGATGTACGGCGCGCAGTCCGCCACTGATCATCCTCCTACCCATGACATAACTGATCAGTTGCCTGTGCATCTAAAGTTTGAGCAAGACGGGCTCGTCCTTTCGGACAGCACGAAAAGCTGACTGGTGGCTGACATCACTTCCGAGTTAGCGAACATAACAGGAAAGGTGGCCTAGAGATCCTCTATTGCGTCGGCGTTAGCATGAGAATCTTGAAGTAGCACCGCGTCGCCGATACTGGAGTCGAAAGACCTAAAGTTTCTTATTAAGGCACTGCAACTAGCACATGCTGATGAATGTTTGGTGATTGTTTGGGTGCCCCTCGGGTTGGAAAGTAGGGTTAGTGCAGCCACGCTGCCAGTGTGCTGGAAGAGATCCCAAGTCCCAATACCAAGGATGGTCCTACCTGTTCTCAGCTGGATCAAGAAGGTGGATGTCTACCCACACACTGTGGACTAGCCTGCACGTTTGTGAAGCAATTCTTGGTACATATCTCGAGTTTATCGCTCCTATTCCAGACGGCGCCCTAAGCTGTTCTGTTAAGAACGAAACTACGTGGGAAACTATCCAGGTCACCCGACCGCCCACGGACAGATACTGAGCGCCAAATTCCTGTATTCGCCGACTATGCGCGATTACTTGCTGCGATGGTGATATCTAGTGTTCCGCCCCCTACCGCAAATGCAAACCCAACAAGCCTGTGTGTGCGGGGGGCCACCATACTCTATGTGTGGCCAAGACGCCGAGAGCCGCGAGAAATGCGGTCAGAATTCATGGTTGCCCTTACTACTACTCGTCCTCAAGAAACTCGATCATGACGGTGCCCTGTTTGAGTCCGGCCTGCTCGATGGAGATATCTAGCTTATCGATCAAATCCCCACCTGGCTGTGCTTTGAGCTCGAACGGAACACCCTCCTTGCCATCGAGTGGCTCAGCCTTGAGCCACTCGTAGATACGACGCACTGGATCTGCAGTTTCAAATCTTCGAATTACACGACCGGCAGGGTGCCTGAATTGGATCCGGGTCGCGGTGGCTGGGTTGTGCTCTGGCTCTACATGAGGGTCATTCGACGAGATCAAAGAGAAGGGTGATGCTGTGGCTGATGTTCCTTCACGCTTGGCGAGATCGGGGATGGACTTGGTAAGCTCGTCGGGGTCCTGCTCGCTGGGTCTAGCTTTGGACGAACTGCCATTGGACTCGAGGCTGTTCTGCAGGGCCATCTCCAATTGTTGTTCCTCCGTCAGACGGTCGAAATCTACCGGTTTGGACTTGGGCTTGGTCTTGGGGACAGGATTCTTGCTGTTGGCTGCCAGGCTGTAACGATCAAGGAATTCGATCAGTTCCGAGTAGAATTCGGCCTTGCCGGGGAAAGGAGGGCCGGACCATAACTTGACCTGCTCCCCCGTCCGAGGGTCGATGATGGCAACATATGGATAGTTGTCGGGGTTCTCATAGCCCTGGCCAAAGTAGAAACCGATGTACTCCTGGGCGCGAGGGCTGTCCTTATCGTACTGCAGGAAGATGAAGTGCTCCTTCAACAAGGCCTTGATGTTTTCATCTTTCCAGTGATCCCGATTCAATGTTTGACAGTTGAAGTCGCTCATGTCCTGGACGTTAACCATGATCCACCTCTTCTCATCCTTGCCCTCCTGCCGCGCATCGTCCCACGAAAGATGCGAGATCAGGTCGTACGGAGGCCGAAACATGTCGGCCAATCTCTGGCTTCGGCCGCCTGCCGGGGGTCCGCCAGGGCGCGAGCCCATCGGGACGGGTGGCACACCTACACCGGGGGCACCTGGGTCGTCCCACACCGATGCCTGACTGAAAGGGTTCCTCGCTGGACGCGCTCAAGTCAGCAGACTGTCATGTTCAAGAATGCTTCTTGCTACTCACAAGGCGGTTGCCGTCTGCGGCGGAGCTGTTCCAGGACGGCGGCTTCCCTGTCATCTTCCAAACTCCACGACGGATCCGGAGCCACCAGGGTCTCTGTGGTGCGGCCCATGGGCGCTCGGATGCCCTCTTCGTCGCCGCCACCACCAACTGTGCCCTGGCCGTACATCTCCTCTTGCAGCCTCCTGGCCATGTCGGCGTCGTCCTCCTCCTGGGCAGCGCGCGCCACTGCAGCGATATCGTCGTCGCCGCCGTCGTCGTTGTCGGCCTGGCTCATCTCTACATCGTGGTCGTCGCCGTCGTCGTCTGAGTCTATGGTGATGACGCCCTGGGCATCCTCGCGGCCGGCGAAGGCTGACCGTCCGCCGCGGGTAGAACGCGAGGGAGCGGGCGAGGACTGGGCGGCGGCGGCACTGGCGGGGTTGGTGAAGTTGGCGGCCAGCTCGGGGCTCTCGAAGAACAGTTGTATGGCCTGCATAGGGTCGCTGCCCGATATCTCGAGGTAGCCCCGGGCCACGCGCTCGTTATCGATGCCGGTAATGGTCATGAACTGGGCGACATCTTCGTCCATGATGGGCCAAACACCTGACGGGTGTGCAGTAGACCTGATATTTGCGGTGGGAGGGAGGGAGAGGAGGAGAAGTGGAAGAGCGAGGACGTAGGATGCTCTGAGCAGGAGAAGGCAGGATGGCGGGCAAAGCCAGCTGCGGTTGAGTTAGGCCGTGCTGCTTCGGAAGCTGGGTTGTTTGGGCGTGGGCGTTTGGTGAAGCTGGAGACGGGTCCAACTGTAAGTACGAATACAACAAAGGCCGAACGGATTTGGCGGGGCAGCGGGCGAGGTGGTGAAGTTGGTGGGCATGGGCAGGCACCGCGCGGGATGGGATGGGATGGGATGGGATGGATCCGGTTTGATTCGGTGTGTTGTGATGTGGTGTGCGACAGGTGAACAGACCCGCGTCTCTGGTACGGGCAAGAGGGGAGCTTGGGCGAGCAGGAAGGACGATGCGTCACGATGAGACCTGGGGGGCAAGACCACCAAAGTCGCGATCATTTATTCATTGCATTCAGTCAGTCAGTCAGTCAGTCACTCATTTTCATTCCCACGCAGAGGCCGGAACCTTAGCAGGTGGTGAACGTGCCAGGCGCCCTGCAGTGACGCAACCACCAGGTACCGCCAAAGGTAGGTGAATTAGGTACCCGATCTAGGCACCTGGGTCCCATTCCGGCGGGGGAGGGCACTTGCGACAATGTACATTGCCTAAGCAGGTACTCAGCTCGACATGTGACCGAGGTACCGGTCTGGCACCCTTGGCGCAGTGATGTCTCTCTTGGCGCGGGGCGGACGGTGGATGGGACGGGAGCTGATGGCGGAGCCCCGACCGACGTCCAAATCCACCTTGTACTGGCACGGCACGGCACGGCCGTACTATCCAATGTCCTGGACGTTGCATCAGCCTACCTACCTACCTACCTACCTACCTACCTACCTACCTACCTACCTACCTACCTACATGCCTGCCTAGGCACCCAATTTGGCTAGGTCCCTGTCTAAGCACTTATACGCAGTAGGCATGACAGCAATGTACCTACGCTGGCCGTGGGATATATTTCAGCGTCGAGGCTCGGCCTCCGCCCGGAAGCTCATGGATATCCATGGGGCGCTCCCTGAACGGGCATAAGACCATGTTCCTATGCCTCGTAACTAATGAAATAGGAGATCCTGGGGGAGCCTAAGGACAACGCTGGCACCTTGGTCCATGGATACCCGCTGTACTCAACTTGGCGGAAGGCAAGAAAGAAGCCAGTTAGTTCCCTACGAACATCAAGATGCAGCGCTGCACGCGCACGAAGCTCTACGAACGCACCCGCCGTATGTTTCGCCCCGTGTGTGCCTCGCACCGAGGTTGACGGGAATGCAAGCACTTGCACCGCGGGAGTTGACGCGCCAGGCTTGTGATTGAAACTCTACTATCCATTTACTACACACCTGATGCCCGCCTGGTGAGTGTTGATCCGACTCTAACATTGTCTTGCCGCAATCCATCACCCCGGGCTTATGAATCAGGCGTGGAACGTGTCCACGGCCTGCTTCAGCAGTTTCTGTACATCGAGTGACCTCTCCGCCACGCCCATGGCCCCCAGTTTCTGCCTATAAGTATCACTAGCACCCCCGAGTGTGCTTGTCGGGCCAAACACCCCCTTCTCCCACGATTCCGCGAATGCAACGAGTGCCTTGGCCCTCGCTGTGCGCTGGCTCTCGAGTATACTCACGTGTTCCTCGGCCACAAGCATGTGAAACCATCTCGTGGCTAGTGGCGCCGCATCCAAGTTACTTGTCGCGTCGCGTGCGGCTGCTGCCCCCAGCAAGTCGATGGCGCCGTCGAAGAATGTGTCTCGAGCAATCGAGGGCGCCCTCGCTGCGCCTTCGACATTCTTTAGAACCTCGCCGAGGACTCCATGGGGGTTGAGCTGCATCTTCGGGCGACTGTAACTCCCCATTACGACTTTCAATGCCGCCGCTGTCGTGTTTCGCTCAAGCTCGCTGACGTCGTGACTGGCATCATCTCCAGGCACGAGATATTCAGAAACGACATCTACGGCCTCCGAATACATGTCCAAATCGTCTCGTACTGCCGCAAAGTCGGCCAAGGCCTCAAAGGCGTGCGGCCGGTACTCGTCATTGTTGCGTTTTGCCTCCCGGATCGCAATCTTCTTAGTCTGAAGTCGTAGACCTGGATCGCTACCCCAAAGCTTCTTGCTGTGTCGTATGAAAGTCGGGTAGGCAGCTACAAGCTTCTCCTTGCCTTTAAATGTCTTCAACGACAGAGACTTGTCCAGCATTGGCCATATCTTCTTCAGGCTGCCCTCACTGAGCTGGCCGTCCTTACCGGCAACCTTACTCAGCGCAGTGATCATCGATGCCATGGTCAAAGCTCCGCCGTGCTGCAATGCCCACTTCGAAGTACTCAGAGCTTGGGAGACGAAGCTGACAATCTCATCAACAAAGCGCATCACGGTATGCTCGCCCCCAGCGTGCTGGGACCAGACAGCGTCGAACTCTTCCGACACATAGTCGTCGCTGTCATGCTTGCCCAGATAGGCGAAAGGCAGAAGGCGGGACTCCAAGTCTGTGAAAACATCCGGCGATATCTTGGCAATGGCTAGGACTGCGTCCGCAACCTTCTGCCGCCTCGCCTCGTCTTCTGCCGCATTGTAGAGTTCTGATAACCTCAAAGTAAAACGGTCACTCGTCTCTGCAGAGGCAGTTCTCAGCAGGTATGCTGAGCTGCGGGCATAGGCCTTGCTGACTTCGTGGTTACGGTCAAGGATCTGCGTCTCCATGACCTTTAGGAGCATGGCGTTGTGCGGAGGGAGCAAGATGCCATGTCGTAGCGCGAGTGTCGCAAGAACCTCGCTGCAACCCACCTTGGTCTGCATCCCAATGGCTGCCTTGATCGACTGGGCGAGTTGTGGTGCAAGGTCTCTCATGACCCCTTCGTCAGCGAAGCGTAAACAGTTTGATATACATTCGAACATGGGCGACCGTGTGGCAGCATTACTTCGCAATTTATCGATCTCTTCGCGATCCTGATCGCCAAGACGCTGGTAGTGGTAATTGATGGCCTCGGGCTCGACGGTCCCCAGCAGCCCTAGGCAGTGCGTGACTATTGTGGGCACGAACGGCTTCAACGTCTCTCCTCCATTCTTCACCACGTCGAGAACGGTCGTGATGGACATGAACTTGACTTCCTGTACAGAGTTCTCGATGCCCTTTTCCGATAACAAGAAAGGCAGAACCTGTGAGATCATGGCTTTCGCAGAGCTGGAGGCATTATTCTCAGTAAGCTGAGTTACAAGCGTCTTGGAAAGCCCCATGCACAGCTTCAGCGCAGCAGCCCTGACGGAGCCCTTCTGATCATCAAGGACTTTCAGGGCCATTTTCCAGATCTCAGTATAATACATCTCATATTTCGGGAAGGGCTGTCCATATATGAGTTCCGAGACAGCTGCGCAGCTGGCCTCTCTCACCCGCCACTCACGACCGTCAAGTATACTTTTTAGCAGATCGGCCATGATGGCATCGAAATGCTCGTCAATTACTGTCGTCGGCTCCTTGACGACGGCCTTCCAAATGTCATCCATCGATCGTCTCACGTTGGAGTTGGGATCGAAGCGGTAGCGATATAGCTTAGGATAGATCTTGGGATCGAGCTCTGCGTCAGACAGGATGTTGCTCAAGCCAAAGCGGCCGAATGCTGAGCGGGCTGTCCAGGTTGCGGCATTGGTAGCTAGAGCCATAAATTTGTAGATCAAGCTCTGATCGCCGACCTCATTGGCGAGGCTGATAATGTCCTTGTATGACGTGACAGACTTGCCTTCTCCTGTTGGGAGTGCACCAGCGTCGAAGAGCTCGGTTTCATCATCGACTTTCAATTGTGTTTTAGTTCCGGTGAATGTGGCGACTAGATCTCTAATAAGATCACCTCTGAGAGAAGGGTCTCCCTTCTCATACACCAATGACAGGCCCCTGGACGCGGTCTCTTGGACCAACTCATCTCGAGCGTTCAGGAGGCGCATGAAAGCAACCTGGCACTCGCGCAATCGCGCTTGTACATCTGGAAGGTGAGAACAGTACTGAATGACACAGAAAAGCCAAATCCCACTGGCCTTGAGGAGTGATGGCTTAGTTGTCTTACAATCGACAATTAGCCTTTCAAGCACCGAGGAGACTCGCTCTGACCGTAGCCCTAGAGTCATAGGCGACCCCGGCTGCGCTGACCCAGATGGCTCAACGTCCAGCCCAAGTTGGATGGATTCCGAGTCCCAGCGTGATACAGCGGCAGCGATTGCTTCACCCGTGGCAAAATGGACTTCGGTTCGCTTGATCTCGTATAACCCAAACAACGTCTCCAGAGCCTTGTCTACTGCCTTCTCCGTTGCGGCAGTTGGTATTACAATTCTTCCGAGAGCTGATATAGCTTTCTCGTTCTGCGACTTCGCTAGTTCATGAAGGGCATCAACGTGCTCGTCAAACGCCGATGCGGTCTTCGGAAATCCCATGTTTGCGGTCCACAGCTGTGAGATGGCCATAATCGCAGTGTCCTTGATGCTCGGATCGGACATCTTCAATGTGGTGGTGAAGACATCTCGTAGGAAGTCGGTGTGTTCTATGATATCGGTAGGCTGAATTTTGCCATACAGGGCAGCTCGTGACAAGTAACTGCTCAGGAAGGCCACGCAGCCTTGGTACTCAGCCGCCTGGGAAGCCGATGGTTGTCCGCATGATTCTATGTAGCCACGCATCTGCGTGATCAATGAAGCTGACTGCTCACTCCAAGGCCCTAGAATGCCGAAAGATTTGGACGCATATTGTCGGATCTTCTGGTTGTTTGACTTGGCCAGTTTAAGTAACTCGGGGGCCCTGTATGCTAACTTCATAATGACACTGTTGGTAGGTGCAAATGATAAAATGTCAGACACGCAGGTGATGCACTCCTCGGCACCAACATCTGGATGGTCTCGAAGGCCGTCGAGCGCTGCATGCAGCACCCTGAGAAGAGGGCTGTGTGAGGTTTTGGACATGTATTTTCTCAGTATTTGGCGAGTCGAGAGGTCATTATGGATGCGTGTCTCTAACTGGGACTCCCAATCTATTTCGACCTTCGTCTCCTTCAATGCGGTCAAAAGGATCAGCTGTAGCACATATTTAATGGAGACAGGGAACGCCGTCAGTCGCTCGTTGGGGAACATGGGATATGCAGATGCACAGTCGACAGCCATCTCATCATCGCTGATTCCTTTTGGTGTGGTGTCAAAGAGAAATTCGGCCATGTCGACCCAGTCTGGCAGAGATAAGTCACCATCTGGATGCAGTTTGGTGGCCCACCAAGGATCCAAACCCTTCTGGCCCTCTTCCAGGACATCGCGGCGTTCAGGCCCCCGGCCGGAGAGAGCCAGGATATCGATCCACCGCGCTTTGATGTTGTTGTAAGGGAGACAGTTGTTGGCAAATCGAGCAGCTACGTGCTTGGCAGATCGAACGCCTTGCCGGTCGGGAAGAGTCATATAGTCCAGTAATAGAATCTCGAGGTCCTGATGGCCAACATCATCATTTGTCTTGAAGAGCGCCATCATGCTAGATAGGGCACTCTCGATGTACACCACCACATCAGAACTCAAATCTGATACCAGTGAGTCGAAGAGCCATTTGAGGAGCGAGTCTTTCGCCTTCGGCTCGAATCGACTGCCCCTCGCTAGAGTTCCTATGGTCTCATAGGCAATTGCACGCAGCCTCTGCTCGCCTTGGTGCTGTGATTGGCTTGTGGTAGGATTTGGCTCTGGCCAGCCCTGCTTCAATATGTAGTCCTTCAAGAGGAGAACAAGGCTTGGCCCCATTTTGGTATTTGTGGCACTTGCGTTGCCATTATTTCTGGCAATCCAAGCAAGATATCCCAAAAGGGCTTTGTGCAATCTCAACGCCTCCAGTCCGGCCACTGGGGGCGACTCACCGGATGATAGCGCAAAGTCGGCCTGAACTGCTTCCACCACCTGTTGCTCAAACGAGCACGACAAAGCTGACTTTGACAGGATTCGGAGGATCTGGATTCGATGCGATGCTGGTAGCTTCAGGTGTGCCTGAAAAAGGGATTGGACTGTCTTGCGGTCCTCCAAGCTGATATTCGAGCGCTTTAGTATATCCTCGGCTATGGAAGTGATCCTGGAATCCGCCGAGCCAGCAGCGGAAATGGTTGGCAAGAATCGTTCCTCGTCCGTGAATGCACCACTTGCGAGCAGAGCAACTGCCTTCAATTTGCATTCCGGCAAGCTGAGGCTGCCTGGCTCATCGGGTTTCCAGATTTTGGGATCACTTCCCCGAAGAAAGTCAATGTCTTCTTTCATCAACCCTGACGGGGAAGAGGCAAGAACGTTTTCCAGATCTGAGGTCGGATACAACGCAAGATCCTGTCTCAGAAGGAGGAGTTTCCCAAGACGCTCAGAGATGTATTTCGCATCAGATGGGTCCGAGAGTCCAATAGTTTCCCGAATAGACAGATCTTCTTGACTGCCTCTTGGTGGTATCCTGATCTCAAGCAGCAGACGAAGAAAAATGATAAAGAATCCAGAAGCGCTCAATAGGTTGGTCTCCCTCGAAATACCGTGTGCCACCACTGGAAGAAGCTCGCGGCGCTTTTGCTGGCTGAGCCGGAGCAAGCCCTTCTTCACCAGGCCCAAGTCCAGCTGTTTCACCACAGGAGAGCTTGTTGATTTGTACTGCTCCAGAAGACCAGCAACGGGCAAAATGACGCTGCGCGGAATTTTAGTCTAGAACACGATGCATGGGCGAGTCGGCATACCCCGGTGGTTGTATCAACTTCGTCACGCTGATGTATGCCTGGAATGCCTTCCAGCGGGAGACTCTGGTTAGATTCGTCTACGGGCACAGACAATCTCCAGGGAGCTTACCGCATCGCGAACGCTCTTGTGCGGGCTGCCCGCTTTGTCGAGAAGCAGGACTAGCTGACTTTGAAGGACCTCGGATAACCTTCCTTCGTCGCCAGAGGCCGTGGCAATCTTATAACGTATTGTCGCCACTGCCTTCAGGTCGGCAGTGTCGGTTGATGAAGCCATCACAGGGTGCAAAACGTGATGGCTGGCAGCGGAATTGGGGGCGTGTGTCGGGTTTCAACTCAAGAGCATCTTACAGGTCCAACTCTATTGTGAAAGGTGCTGTTTATAGCGCACGCGATCTCATCGGTATTTATCCTGCCGGCAACCCAAGTGTACCGGATCTTCGCTAATGGTTGATCAGCCAGCAACCGCGCACGCAAGCGACGTTGACGGAATCTTAACTGCCTTGGGCCTTGAGCCGCCACACGTGGCGCCAGCGTGGTGGGGCATTCTGCTTACTTAAGATGACTGGAACTGCTCCTGCTGCAGTGCATTTTCACTGAGCGTTTCAGGCTGCTGGCTGGACAAGACATATCAACATCCTGATGGCTCCAAAGAGAGGTCGCAAGCTTGCCCCTGCAATTAGTTATAAACATGGGCCTTTGGCCCTTGTGTCCTAGGTCCAGTGCGGTGCGCGCGACATCCTTCCAACATCTCGTGGCTTCGGGCTGATGCCTCATCTCGAAAGCGATCTAGTTAACATCTATCCCGGCATCTATCGTATGTTTTTCGGCCAAGCACTTGTTCTCTGGAGGGCTCTGTCAAACCCTTCTGAAGTAGTTCAGAAATGACACCCAAATGCCAACCTTGGAATACTATAGGACTAAAACGACAAGCAACCTGGCATGGCCTAGGACCTCCAGGGAAGCACGTCCCATGCGCCACGATGCCATCATTTGCTCATTACCAATGACAAGTGCTCTTTCATCATGTATGGGTCGCCTCTCATGGTTCTCAGTAATGTCACAAAATACTGGACACGATTGTAGAGCAAAAGTGAAACCAAGTGAGACTGTTGGTAATGTTGCGTGACATCAGGGCCCAATGTTGCGAGCCGGGGCTTGACTTTCACTACATTCATGGCCAAGGCCATAATCACGGACAGGAGGATACTGGAATATATCCAATACGGGCAGTCGATTCAGAGGTGGCAAGGTTAGCTTATCGCATGGAGAACAGCTGGGAGAAATGGAAACAACCCTTGTGCTGATCCACTTAAAAATGCACCTGATGTCCATGCTCGATGAGGCATACTTATGACAATTCGATTGCAAGTATTTGCAGGTCAGCTAACATACGTCGCGGCGCCGGTCGTCTGAGCGGTTGATCTTGGGGATCACCGAACTTTATTAGTGGCTGCCAAGATACCCCTCAAATACGAGTAAGAGACTTAGGCAGCTTAGATACCTGATCGCGAGCAAGTCCTAAAAGCCCTGGAACCGCAGGCGTGGCTTCTTGGAAACTGTACACCACAAGATGCCTGCCAAAGCTCTGACAAGGATGAGCTCACAAGCGGACCTTTTTTTGCATCGTGATGCCAAGATTCGAAAGATCCTGGATTTCCTCCTGGCGCCATGCACGACTAATAAGTACATAGACTGACCTAAACATCTTAACCTGAAGCTCGGATGGCCGGCAGCACCGTTGGATGAATGGGGTTGGCCAGTCAAAATCCCAGGGTAAGGGAAATAATTGCACTATCCGACGCCGGCCGCGAAGCGTAGGCATCTGCTGCAGGACGTTGAGCAATCACGTCGCTTATCAGCGACTCCATCTGATACTCGTCTGCATGGCAGTCTACTATGTATTTGGCACTAGTAGACAAGTTTGGTAGCACTACATGCGCCTAAGCTCCGTCTTGAGAGCTCTTCCATTACTGTGGTACAGCTTAACACTGCAAGGACTCGCGGGGTTCCCGACGAAGTTCTGCGCAAGCTATCTTGTCGTGATGTTCCCACGTGTGCCCGCAAGGTTCGTCACATTGCAGACAGCTCGATATCGAGGTGCCATTCTGCCTAGCGAAGTTTATGGGAACGGCAACTCCACTATCAATGCACCAGGGAATTTCATGTATGTGAGTGAAAGGAAGATTTCCTGCTGCTTTTGACGCAGCCGGTGTTAGCTTGCACGCGCGTGATTGCGCGAGAAACGAAAAGCAACTGGGCTTGACACGGCTGATAGACGCGCTTACCTGCACCTGCAGCCACAGCAATCACCCATGCTGAGCAATGTTATGGAGGATTTGGGTTGAGGCTGCGATGCCAATTAGCGGCAGCAAAGTGTCTCTGAATAGCAGGTTCAGGGGGAGTAGGTTGGTTGACCTGCGCAACGTTTTTTGGGCAGCCCAGTGAGTGAGGACGTATCTGCATACCTACTTGAGTATATTAGGTACCTGCTTGTAGGCATCCGCTGAACGCGTAGAAAACTTAATCGTGCGGGTGAATCGGCTGGAGGTGCGCTCCGGCCGAGCTGTGAGCCTGGCTGGAAGTCAGGCAGACAGGGGTTGTGCAGATCGTCGCATTTCCCGGGGCCGAGCACCAAACTTCTGATTCGAGATTCGACCCAAGATTCGTACCTGGCCTATTTCCGCACGTGAAATAGCATGAATCGTGGGTATCGTCTGCGGGCAAACGGGAGATTGGACCATCATGCGAGGCCAGCCCTTCTCGGTGGCTAGAAGAAAGCACACTGTCGAAGTCGTACCTTTGGTCAGGAAGTATTGGTATGCCCGTATCATTTTCCATAGCTTGGGGGTTTGAAGTGTAAATATGGCCCAGTGCGTCGACAACTACTACCTATAGGCCTGATGGAGGTTTGATTGCATCAAAGAGGCTAGCGAAGAAGCACTGAAAGGTGCCAGGAAACACGTTTCGTCTCAAGGCCTGCAGCAAACGAGGGACTGACCCCTGAAATCCCGGGTTGCCCATAGCAGTCAGCCTCTTGATCAGTGACCACCAGAGGCGCACAAGCGGGCCAGTGTGTGACAACCAGCAAAACAAGCAACTTGATTGAGCACAACAAACCAGGACGCTTCAATACTTGTCACGCCGGGAAAGGTTATTCGTCTTTGGAACGTATGAGAAATCTACACCAAGACTTATTTCGGGCGCAAATAAATCACATACCTGGCCTGGCCACGCGTATGGATTTGATATCAGTACTGTGCTGAACTCACGCTACCTACCTGCGTAGCTGCAAAAGGCAGCCAGGGTCAAGCCTTGCGCCGCGGTGTCATTTTTTCCCTCTCCCATCAGACCTGCCGCCAGCATGCAGCCCGCGCAGGGCGCCTTGGCCCATCGTGACCTCATTGCTCCACATATAACAGTCATTTGGAAATCGACGTTTGTCTTTCCGTAGGTTTCGAGGGTGCAGACGGGGCCTTGTGCAATCGTGGGCTGGTGCGCTGGTGCGCCAGACCAGAGTGATGCTGAATGTCGCCGACACTCGCCCGCTCCTGGGGCTTAATCGCCAACTTGTGTATTTATAATAGTACAGAGCTGAGCCGCTGGGTTGTTGACGGGTGGATCTGAGGCTGCCAAATTCTCGGGCCCTGATCTGCAGGTTCAGCCGATGGTGTTGGACTCCTGCACCGATGTAACCCGCACGGAGGTACCTGGGTCCCTTGCGCGGGGACTACTAATGTACTGTGCGTCTGTATGCTCCCATTAATGCGCGCTGCTTTCCAGGGCACAGCGATCCTGGTTCCTGCCAGTACGTACCTTCCTAAAAGTACGCAGCAAGGCCAGCGGCGAGCTTCATGACTCGACCGGCAGCAGTAGTTTCAAGGGCGCTCTGGGATGCCCAGGAGCTGTTCCGATCGGCCAACGACGCAAACTTTTGCAGCCTCTGGCAAGCTCGAAGCATACTACACAGTAAGCTTGCAGCACCCTTCTGGGGCATTGCCTAGAAGTCCCGCGAGCTCATTAGGGTTTAGAGCTTGCAGCATATACCGGTGGCCTCAAAGCTAGCTTCCCAAGCTTTCCAGTAGGTTTACCTCTCAGTGTTCCCATGTGCGAGACATGTTGGATGAACCTCATAGGGAGAGAGGTCATCCATCCTTTTCAGCGGGCGCCAGGACCACAGGACGGGACGAGAAGGCACAATTGAGCATGCATGGATGCAGACAGTTCTCTCACACTCGCCTGCTCCACTCTGAACCGGCAACGCCATCTGCTCTCGCGTCATGGGCGACAGCCTCGACGGACGCATGGACTGGCCGGCGACTAGCCGGCCGATACGGAGTGCCACCCACTTACAAGATCTGGCGCGAGACACAAACCACTCATGAGTACATACACACTCAACACAACGGACGGACCCGGTTAGAGATAAAGACATCCAATGCCATGGGCAAACGTGAACCCCGCGGGAGGACTTGCGATAGTTAGGTCGAAGAAGCCTCTCAACAAGCCAAGCCCAACTCAATTGTGCTTCCTGACTGGGGCTCTCTCCGTCCGAGCGAGGCGATAGAGTTTCTTCTTCCCGGACTCCAGTCCAGCCCACTCCAGAGCCCAGCTGCTAGACCCAGAGCCCGCCCAAGAAGAAGGAAGAGGAGAGGCCGGCAGAGCCCAGCAGAGCCCTACGGGCACGGGTTCCAAGGTTGCAGGGGCGGCCATGTCACTGGAGAGGTACTCGCAGCGCTGCTCCAGTGTGGCAGAGGCCCGTCCGAATGACGCCAGGGCCGGCCTAGTGAGTACCAAGTCGTGCTTAGCGGCACTCAGAGTTTTTGCGGTCCCTCTCGCACCCTTGTCGCGCTGGGCTCAGTCAACTGTCTCTCCTCCACTCCCGACCCCATTCCCTCATCTTTTTTCCACACCACACGCAAACCGAACCGGCACCATCGTTGTCTGCGTCTGCTTTTGTTTCTTGCTGTTTCTTCCCACACACACACACTCTCTTCTTCTCCTCTTTTTTCGTTCCCTCTCCTCCCAACCCTAATCGACCTGTCTGTCACCACCTCCTCGGTCCGCTACTCGAATTCGTTGCGTGCGTTTTGCAAGAAGCATCCTTTCGTGCCTGCTTTCGTTCTGTGTGCGCGCGGCCTTTCTCGGTACCCGGTCCGTCCCTCGACTTCCGCAATTTCGTCGCGAAAAACTTCGTCAACTTTGCGGGTCTTTCTTCCCATCTCGTCTGCCGCCCTGTAGCCCACTACGCCTTTTCCGAGAGCTTAACAGTAACGAGTCCCTGAGTGTGTGTCGTTTCGAAACATCGTTCGCCTTCGGTGTTCCTGGGTCTTTCCGGTGTTTGTGACGGCGCCCGTGCTCTGCTACTTTTCTGCCTCTGCATGCCAGAAGGAGTCGTTTGGTGCCCAAAAGTGAGTCCTCTGTGTTTCTTTTGCCTTCCTCGTGCACCGCGAACGACAGCGCTCGAGCTCCCAATGGATTTTGCATTGCACACCCCGGTCGGCCCTTGTTGGACGAATTCTCTCCTGGTCAACGACCTCCCACTAGTCGGCTCCAGCATCCTGCAGTTCCGAACTACCCCGGACCGAGCCTCAGCAGGAAGTTGAACTGTTGCGACCTCTCGCGACCTGGGATATGTGGAGTCAAGCGAATGCGTCCAACAGCAGCCATCGCCCTTGCTGCCGTACTCCGGTCCTACTACTTGAATGGCCTTTGTCGACCTTGGTGTCGTGACTTGGTGCTGTATTGTATCCTTTGGGCTGGTCCTCATCTCGATCGAATATATCTCCCGAGGATTTGTGTGGCGATTGGCGAGCGAAAGAACACGTCATCGGTGGCATGGAGGATAAGGGATCTCAATGCCAACAGCCTTGGCTGCAATCGATCCCGTGTGCGAGTTGCGGGTCAGCAGAGAGATGCTCACTTCTGGGCGTGTTTCTGCGCGCAGCTTTTGACACAGCTCCCGAAGGCCTGTTCCATGCGCAAGCGGACTCTACTACACCATCCAGCCCCATGGCTGATCAGAACTGGCGAGCCTGGACATGGCCATACCTGGCTAAACCTTTGTGGTCTCGGCTATAGTCTTTGGTCCGCGATGCTCCAGAGGAACTCGGTTCCAAGGGTGGTTATGGCTAGGAAGTCGATACGGTCGCTTGTGTGGTTTGATAGTCGACTGTTGTTGATATCATCACCACGTATCGCAACCCCGCTCCAGAGTGTTGATCAACAATGCGCAACTGGGTTGACAGTTTCCGGTTCCTGAAAGCTGCCCTGCAAAGTTTGGGCTTCTACGAGGTTCCTTTCTACCACACAAGACCCTGCTCACTCACGACCGAGCTTATTTCAGCGTCTGCGCCCCCAATGTCGACAACCTAGGACTTGATATGGCAAGACTTCAAGGTCTGGACCCCAGCAAGAGACACAATGCCACCGAAAAACCCCTGTGTCTGGGCTTTGAAAATGGAAATTGGGGATCTGTGGGTCTACAAGCCGATGCCCTGGTTCAATAATCCAGAGTGGGTGGATGGTCTGGAGGGGGCACCTAACCAGCTGGACTGTGGTTGCCAGTTCAGGCCCTCACAGCCCGTAACTACAGCAAGCAAATGTGCAGTTGGACCCGCCTGCCTTCGCCGTCTGTACAGCCTCTCCGAGTCAAGACCTTCCTCGAAAACCCGATAGCACCTTTGGTTGTGTAAACCAGATCTACTACACAACGTGATCACGAGCCTCCACACGGTCGCATTTAAGGAATAAACCCACGCCATTTCAGAGATTTCTGATTTGTCGAGCACCTTCATCCAGGGAAGGTCTTCAATGGGCGACCGTAATAATTACGCAGGAATCCAGAGCTCGCGCGCTGTCACAGTATACAATGCGAGCACTTCTAATGTTGTTTTGTGTCGTTCTGCTAACTCCTCGAACTGTCAAGGTTTTACGGATTTGAACGTGCAACTTTAGACCAAGTGTCTTACGACTTGACGTTTTCCTCAGTCATCTTGATTCCTCCATCACGGCATTCTCGAGCATTCGGTCTGGTGATAGGAAAGCTTTGATACGGTGTCCTCGTTCTCCTCTGCCCTTCCGACAAGAATCTGGGGCGTTGGCGTTCGTTTTCACAGGATCTGGATATAAGTTCGTAAGTAAGCCTCTCCTTTTCATCACTAGCGAAGTTTTTGGGATCCATACACGTCCACTTTACCCACGTATTTGCATCTACTGGAGCCCCAGTTGTTCTTGCCAGTATTGCTTGACTGCGTGGCAACTGTTTGCATGATGGTCCTGATGAAGCTTGCGCCAATGCACGGATGAGCTCCTGCCTCGCAAACCTTTTGCTCTGTTGAGCAACGGCATACGCAACCAAAGGCCCATTGCAACTTCAAAGTCTGCGACGAGTTGAATAACCCCGCTCCCGTGAGGGCGTAGTCGTACGCGGCCGAGCACTTGTAATCCTGGCGTCGTAGCTTGATTACAGACAACTCGTACCAGGCAGCAGCTTTCATCTCGTCGACCGTGCTGGCGCTTCACCGCTCGATAGCAATTCCGCCAGCCGTTTCCCCTATCTCGCTATCTCGCCACCACTCTCTTTACTCGCGCACTTTCATTCCTGATGGGTTGACAAAGGCTTGCCACTGACATGGTATAAATCTACAGAACGTTCTCGCGAAATTTACCTCTTCTTCAAGATTTGGTAATTAGTTACAATCTGTAGGTCAGCAAAACCGGCACATTCCCTGGATCCCAGCATCCCACAGCCATGTTATTTACATACAAGACCCTTTTTTCCCCTTCCAGGTCTGCAAAAGCAAACTGTTGACACCAACCTAGGTAGGACAACAGCTTGTTGGCGTGATACCTGGCTTTCTCCCGTTCTCATCGCGAGTCTTCAGCACCTTCATCAATTTTCCGGTATGTTGCAATCTTATCAGACGTATTCTAAGCCCCCTAAGCCCCTTTCTCGCTGGAATGACTAGTTGGATCAGCGACATGGATCCCGTGCCTGTCCTTACCAAGCAACTGCCCGGCCATTTTCTGAACTGACAATCATGGTAGTTCAAGTCGGCAACATCCATCGTCGACACGATCTCAAATTCCTTCGGTAACTATGTAAGTGTGATACTATTTTTGTCGTCATTCCCCTCTCCAAACCGCTTTGGCTTGGTTTCAGCCGTAGAATCAGCTACGATCCCTTGGGTGAGCCACGGGGTCTACATGCTGTGTTTCCCGCTTACCCAACTTACTGCGCACAAAGTCGGCTCCCCTTCTTTTGCTGGCTATCGCATTCACCAGATGGCGAAATTTTCTTGAAGCCGAGGCCCCGCCGGGCAAGAATGAACACTTGTGCCATGAGAGAAGCAGTCGTCTTTAGCGATGGGATGCCTGTCACGCTGGATTTCGACATTGGCAAGTGCTAGTGCTCGATGTACGGCCTGATCGAAATCATCGAAAATTCACCTGCAATGAAAACCCACTAGTGGGGCTAATGCAAAACTTGGCTTTTCACCCCACCCCACTGTCCGTTCGACAAGATCACTAACTTCACCAGCCGCACAGTTTAGTCACACAAACATCACACGGCTTTGTGAGTTCGACCTACCAACAAACCAAATACTCTAGTGCCCCGGGAAATTCTCGATCACGTGTGAACAGTAAGTCTCGAGCTTTCCTTTTCAAATCCGTTCTGCATCCTGTGCACTGCCTCAAGAGAGGGCCTGGTGGATCTGCGGGAGATCGCGGGATTGCCATGCTACGACATTGAGTTATTTGCAAAAATCCAGCTATGATTCAAGGACTCTTTCATCTGAAGTATTTTCCTGCATGACGGCGACTATACAGGTGGTCACTTAACAGTTCCGTTCTTAAACACGGACCACCTTCGAGCAGTCGCCCCCACTTCCCCAAACACGGACCACTCCTGAACATGGAACCATTCACGACTGATATCATCCCGTCTCACTACGTCTTACCGCATAAAGAATCATCTTGAATTTGTCCTCAGATTGCAACTGACATGACGTACAGCCACTTCATCATGGACAACTTCACCCCATACAACGGCCAGCCGCCATCCAATGGTTCTGGTTCTCAGGGCGACGGCGCCTCGCAAGGTGGTATGCCCCCTCTGCCTCCCAATGGTCAGGGTGGTGGGGACGCCGCCGGTGGCTTCGGTGGAAGTGATCCCGCTCGCCAGACCCTGTGGTAATTTCCCCATCATCTCGTACCACGCATTGATACTGATGACTGTAGGATGGGTGAGCTAGCTGGTTGGATGGATGAGCAGTTCGTCCGCTCCATTTTTGCCTCTGCAATGAACGAGACTGTGCAAGTCAAGATCATCCGCGACCGTCACTCTGGGTAAGTTCTCATAATGCAAGATATGTGTCATGAGCTAGTTCTGACTTGTAAACAGTAACGCTGGCTACTGTTTCGTCGAGTTTTCCACCACCGAGGCCGCCCAGAAGGCGCTACAGCTAAATGGCTCGCCCGTTCCCAACACCGATCGCCACTTTCGCCTGAACTGGGCATCCGGTGGTGGACTGGTTGATCGTCGCGATGATCGCAGCCCTGAGTTCTCTATCTTTGTTGGCGATCTCGGCCACGAAGTCAATGAGTTTGTTCTGGTCGCCTTGTTCCAGGCTCGTTTTCCATCGTGCAAGTCTGCCAAGATTATGACCGATCAGCAGACTGGCCAGTCGCGCGGTTACGGTTTTGTGCGCTTTAGTAACGAGCAGGACCAGCAGCGCGCTCTCGTCGAGATGCAAGGCGTTTACTGCGGCAACCGACCGATGCGCGTTTCGCCGGCCACTCCCAAGAACAGGTCAGTCTACATCAACGCAACTAATACCGATATTCAGTTAACACGCTCTAGAAGTCACCAGGGTGGTCAGTTCCAGAACTTTGGTGGCCACCAGATGATGCCTCCCTCGGCTGCCGTCCAACCTCAGACCATGGGAGGTCCATGGGTCCAGCAGCAGCAGGGCTTCGGTTTTCAGCAGGGCGGTGCTGGCTACAACCCCATGGTCATGAATCAATTTACTGACCCCAACAACACCACCGTCTTCGTCGGCGGTCTGTCCGGATACGTTACCGAAGATGAGCTTCGCTCGTTCTTTCAAGGATTTGGGGAAATCACCTACGTCAAGATTCCTCCTGGCAAGGGCTGTGGCTTCGTCCAATTCGTTCACCGCCATGCTGCAGAGATGGCCATCAACCAGATGCAGGGTTATCCCATCGGAAACTCGCGTGTCCGCCTCTCTTGGGGCCGTTCTCAGAACAACTCAGGCGTAGGTACTCCATACCGTCCTGCTCCTCCTCCCCCGCACTATTTCCCTCCTGGCCCTCCTGGTCCCCCCGGCCCCGGCTTTGGGGGACCTGGTTTTGGCGGCAACGGGCACCAAGGACCCCCTCCTGGTGGACTTGGTCCTCAGGTAAGCTCCTGTCCTGCTTCCACCAGTACGAAAGTTGCTAACGTCAATCTAGTAAATGCTTTCTAGCATCGCATTCCGGCGTCCAGCGTTCTGGTGTTCGGGTTGTCGGTCATCTTCTGCGTGTTCGTTCGGTCTCGGCTTTCTAAGTTTTCTCGGCGATGCATGAGTTGGCATCACGTTCATTTTCCTTTCATTGCGACGTCGTCTCTGCAACTCACGAAACCTGATACGAAAATGCGAGGTTGCATCAAGGGGGTATTGGGTTTGCCTTAGGTAGCGTGTGAGGGCTGCTAGCACGTCGACCATGATACATTTTGGGACGAGTCCTTCTGGCAGCAATGTTCGGGGCATCATTCCATTCACCTCTCACTTTGAAGTTGGCGTATGAGCATCTGCCTTACAGCATCGGATTCGGAGCACCGAACGGGATCAACCGTCGTCTGGAAGGCGTTTTGAGGCTGATTCGGTTGGCACATGGCCTAGGAAGGATACTGGTGTTATAGCCCTAGTCATAGCTAATGAGTCTGAGCTGATATGGAACTCAATTTGTTCTCAACACGCGCCTGTCTGTCGTGTAGATGCTGCAACCTTGGTCAATGGTCTCCAAGGTAGCTCAATCGTCGAGTGAAATGATGTAGACTTAATGCTAACTGTGGCAAACGATCTCTATCGAGGCGGCGTTCTAACACCGACCTGATATCGACAAGCGTCTTGGAATTCGCTGTAGCGGCAGTCTGAATCATCACGAGTTGCGCCGCTGCGTTTTGGTTGATCAGCAACGTCCTCATGTTTACTCGTGCTGGTGTCACAAGTTGTTGACACATCTAACGGTGGACAGCTACTTGGATATACATAAGGTGTACGGTATGGGGAGGTGGTTAAATCGTGTTGTTGCATCAAAAAGAGAAAAAAAAATCGAAACACAAATGCTATCTACCTACTACTAAGAACGATGCTTATATTGCTTCCTTTAAATTCGGGTAATTCTAAGCTTTTGTTTAAGTTCTAATTCAAGGGCCACAATATGGTCTTGGTAATCTAAGCCAAGAGAGCCAGTCCAAACGACACAAAGCAGGCATATGGAGATAGTTGCGAATGTTGATTGATAGTCTAAAAAGAGCAGAAGTTATCTAGGTAGCCAGGACTTCAACGCAATGTAAAGAACAAAGCGACTGCAACCTCTCTCAGGTCTAGCGAGAGCTGCAGATTGGCTGACGTTCAAAAGTATCCTAGCTATCAGTCGAAAAAGAGTGCTCTCCTCCGATACAAAAAGATTCGATGAGGTAGGACCCAGCGTGGATCGAACACGCGACCTTAGGATGATTGCTGTATTCCGAAGAACTGCAATCCCACGCTCTACCGCTGAGCTATGAGTCCCCAATGGATGCGTTACAACGTCCTGATTGGTGGTTGAGAATTCGTCCTCTATTGTAATATGAAAAGTATCCACTTAGTCGTAGATCCTAGCTCGAACCTATACAGCGACGGCGGTCGTCACACAACTACTATCAAGGCTTCACATTCAATCATATTCAGATGCCATAGTACTGAGTACTTGACCACCGTCTCTGACCCTTGTAAAGCCAGAACTCTATTAAGGGCTGATTAACCGTATAAAGGGTTTGACTTTGCTCGACTCATGGGTATTGGAACAGATCTTCTGCCGCAGGCGTACTGTGACTTGAATTGTGCCGTGATAGCTACGATTGCACCGCGACCACTATATACCAAAAATGCTCGGCAACTTGTAGTGTGACCAATGATATTGGTTGAGATAGCATACGATCGCCTCGCGTTGCCAAGCACATATCCCAAGATCACATCCTCCATCCACGCCCTAATCCAGAGCATTGTTGATAAGTCTTTACGTATTCCTACTTTTTCGGATGTTATGATCGTACTGGATGACAGAAAGACCTCCATCTACATCCCAATTGTGGAAAATAGTGTCTACGATCGATTGGCGACGGCCGCCGCGTATTGAGAGAAGTACACACAGCTGGCCACTCTATACAAAGTTCGTCTCTATTTCATGATCTGGGTATAATACGCTGCTTTTGATGTGGCAAAAGAATTTCGCCGTCTCGTTCCAACCGCAATGGCTGATAATAACACTTGCCTACAACATGGCCCACGCTTCTTATCCGGTTGCTCTCTAAACTGAAAATGAGTACGCTCAAACGCCATTCAAGTGCAATCGCCTACATGGATCAATCCATGCCCTCATCCTCATCTAAAGGCTCAACCCTGACGAGGATCTCTTCTAGCAATCCCTCTAAAAAGGTCCCCACCTCGCGGCCCATACCCACAGGCTCGCTTTTGTCCAGGCGGTCAATTTCTTTGCACACGTTGGCCAGCTTGTAAACGTGCTTGCGTATCTTATCATGCGCTGCTTCGGCCCGCTGTCGCTGCGGCGTAACGACGTGGTCGTTCCGATACAGCTGCTGAAGGCGAATCTGGCGTCGCTTGAGAGCCTCCTCGAGCGCCGGGAATATGACGTCGTTCAGAGCATCGAGCTCGCCATTGGGATTGGAGGGTGCTGGGGGGGGAAAGGACTCGGGAGGTGGTGGAACCTGCTTCGGCTGTGCCTTGGACGGGAAAGCTGCCTGGTGTCCAGGTTGCTGGTTGATGCCTTTCTCGGGTGACTGCTGCGACGAGGCGGCCCGGAAAGGGGGGATTTCTGGCAGATCGATAACGCCAACCTTGGATGGAACGCGTTGCTGCTGCTGCAAGTGTGACTGCGAGGCCCTGGGATTCAGAGCTGGCTGGGGGCTGCTAAATTGTGGCTGTGAAACGGGGGTTATGTTCAGCTGAGCCATGTCCCGCTGTAGCTGCTCCTTCAACGCACGATCAAAGTCAGCGGATGCCATGGTCGGCGGCGGTGGCATCTGTTTTGATAGTGGTCTCGGGGTGCTGGGGTCCTGCATCTGCTTATATGGCGACGCTGGTAGAGGTACTTTCGTAGGTGATGATGGAGTGACCCCCTGGACGGGTTTCCGCTGGGGTGACGTTTGTCGTGCAGTACCAATCGATGGAGTGTTACTCGCCTTGAGCGTACTGGGAAGAGGTGGGTTGGCAAAGTCTTGGGTCTTGGTGGGCGAGTTACTCCTCGGTCTTTCGCCATAGTCGCCGTCTAGGGGTCTTGATGCCCGCGCGTTCCTCGTCGACTCGTCCATAGGATTCAGGCCAGGGCGGTGGACCAAGCCGCCTCTATCGCCAACAAGGCGCACCGTGCCAAAGTCCCACATGTCCTCATTGACGGGTTCTCGCTCTCTCACCTCGTCAGCCCCGTCCAGCGACTCGTCGTCTTCCGACTTGTGCGTGGCGCTCCAGCGACTGTGGCGCTCAATCAACTCGGTCAGATACGAGGTCTTCTTGGCCTTCCGGATGAAGGGGTGCTTCAGGAGGTCCCTGGCCGACGGCCTCTCCCTGGGATCTCGCTGCAGACATAGCTCGATAAAGTCTTTGAACGCTTTGGTGAAGTTACCCTCCAGCCTCGGGGGCGGGTTCTTGGGGATCAGGAACAGAACCTTCATGGGGTGGATGTCGGCGTATGGCGGCTCACCATTGGCCAGCTCAAGCGCCGTGATTCCCAACGACCATATATCAGCCTTGTGGTCGTAGCCGGATTGCTTGATTACCTCGGGCGCCATCCAGAAGGGTGTACCGACAAATGTGTTCTTCTTGGTCATGGTTGCCGAGAGCTGGCCAGATACGCCAAAGTCGGCCAACTTGACTTGCCCGTTGGACCCAAGGAGGACATTGGCGGCTAAAGGAAACAGACTGTCAGCGAGCAAACCGGCAGGATATAGGCGCGAACTCAGCCTGAGATGCCGTACCTTTGACGTCTCGGTGAAGCTTCTTGTCCGAGTGCAGGTACTCGAGGCCGAGGAGCAGCTCTCGCATGATGATGGCTATGTAGTCGTCTCCAATGTGGCCGGGCTTCATGAGGTCGGCGCAGCTGCCGCCGGAACAGAACTCCATGACGATCCATAGCTCAGCGCCCTTGGCATAGGAGCCGTAGTATTTAGTTACATAGGGCGACTGCAGCTCGGAGAGAATGGCAATCTCCTGTATGATGTCCTCGACTTCATCTTCGGCGCTTTCAATGTCGATGATCTTGATAGCGACCGCATGGCCGCTCTTCTTCTCGACACTGGGCAAGGCGGTCAGCATATCTTTTTCGGCCTTGTAGTTCCCAGCCAGCGGGCGATCTAGCCAGCCACACGTACCCCTTGTAGACCTTGCCAAAGCTGCCCCCTCCTATGCAGTACTCTTTTGTGTAGAGGAGCTCGGGATCCAGCGCCTCATTGCTCTCGTCGTAGCCGTGCTCTGCCATTGTGTGTTCTGCGAGGTGGCTGTCGTCAACAGCCGATGTATGTGTTATTTCGTTACGCGTCAATCGTCACTTCGTAGCCCTCTCTACTCGTCCCTCGGCGGGGCTCGTCGGTGCTGACCGGGGGCACGGCGAGGATGGGGTCGAGGAGGGGGGGAAACAAATGAATGCAGTCGGCGTACAGCTCCAGACAGGAGCCGGCGACCCGCGTCTTCTCGGGCAACGGTTGATCAATCAGCGAGGACTGGCCGCCTCAGTCCCTTGCGACGGTATTTCTCCTGGCGAACCGAGTCGGTCGATCCAGGCGACAGCTCGACGTGCTCGACGTGCTCAGGCGCCGGCGCGTGTCTCCTCTGGGTGGGTATACCCTTGTGCTGTACTAACTTTTATGTACCGGCGAGACTGGCCGGGCGGGGTGGGCAAGAGTGCGAAAGAAAAACGGGGTGTGTTTCCGAGATGCTAGAGAACGTCCAGAGGCGGCCAAAAAGAGGGCACTGGCGGTCAATGCATGAAGCTTGAAGGAGCGAATGGGTACAGTACCACCAAGATGGGGTAGTAGAGGAGCAATCGTGGGAAACAGAGGGGTGCCTGTGTTATTGTTTGTTGTCATGTCTGAGAAGACGCTGGGAGCGAAGGATGGTACAGGTATTACGCATTACGACCATCCTGGACGTACCCAAGCGACCTCACTACCTCACACCTAACTGGACTCGGCCACTAACCACCTACCGTACACCGGACTATGTACACCCAGGCATCTGCCTCCGCTACGGGCTATCTGTGCCTTGCCTCCAGCTCCAGCTCAAGCTGGAGGTACCCGACCCTACGGACGAGCAGCAGGTCCCAGGGTCTGTCTGTCTGTCTGTCTGGTTCGTCGTCGCTCGACCCGGGGTGATAATAACAAATCGGCCACCCCGTCGTCGAACGCGGGCCATCGATTGGCTGCGGCGCTCAGCTGCACGCATGCAACCTGATCGACCGAGAAACCGCGACGGCACGACTGAGATCAAGCAGATCCGATCAATCATCATTGATCAATCCCCCGCCGGGGCGTCCAACGCGGCGCCCTGATAGGCCCATACGCGCCTACAGGCCAGCGCCCAGGTTCCCCCCGGATGGCAGACTCAGCCAGGCACACCGACCGGGCTTCCAAGGTGGCCAGTAGCGCGAAAGCCCGTCCTCTGGTCCTCTGGATCTGGGAAAACAAGCCCGCTGTTTCACCGCAATGTGGGGGGAACCGCCATCATCCAGGCAGGCTAGCTTGGCATCTTGCTTGGGTATCACTTGTGACCCCCGTCGGCGTTTCGATCAACAACAACAACAACTTGGGATTTGGAAGACGAAAACAGCGGGCAACCCGACAGCCAGCTAAGTTGGTTACCAGTCACAGCCATCAACAACTGCGTATCGCCGTCTGTATAAGTACGTACATGGTCACATCTCAATTCATAGTAACTGCGCATTCCTCTCGTTGGGCTAGATATCAGGTACAGAACTATACTATACCAGGACACGTCCGATATCCACTGCAATAATTGTCTGCTTGTGATCAAGACATGGCCATACTGACTCCCACCTACCCGCCTTGGGTGCATTTTGAGTTCAACTTGACCATCTCTTCGCTCCTACTCCCTCAAGCTACACTGTCTTCAGATCCGCTACGAGCGACTCTCGACGGACATCCGCTTGTGCTCCTCCCCGGTTGGTCGTACTGGCGCGTCGACGCCCTCCCCGATGTCTGCAGTGAATGCGCCAAGGACTCGCCGTCTTGCTGAACCTTGTCCTCAGATCCAACTTCGAGGCGAGTACCGTACACGTCTGTGCTGCCTCTTCTTGAGTGGCCACTTTATTGACCGGACTTCTCCGCGGGCAAAGTTGGCGATGTCCAGATCCCACTGTTCGCCCTGGCAGTCATCGATGATGCGCACTTCAATGGTGAGCAGGTTGGCGATGAGGATGACTTGCTGGATGACAGCCTTGCACACGTTGACGGTTGCCTCGTATACATGAGCGACACCCACTGTGAGGCAACGCCTTACATCAGGCCAGCTGCGGAATTCCAGCTTGGTAAACTCCTTCAAAAAGTTGACTACCCACTCGACGTGCGCTTTGCCAACATGCCAGTTCCCACCGCCTCTTCATTGGCTCCCTGGATCTCTACGACAAGGCTGGGGCAAGTAGTAATTGTGGCAGCAGCGTCGGAGCAGCTTTCGAAGCTCGGTCGTGTTTGGGGACAGTGGGCCGGTGCTGGCCTCGTACATCTGACTACTATAACTGATCATTGACGACATTATGGCAAAATCGCCGACTGATCGCTAACTAGCTTAGATGCAGCCTACGTTCACACCGCAGTCGACGGCACCGTTGAGCACTGGGTAGCCTGCCTGGTGCGCGTAGGGATTGATGTATCGATCCCTGGCCGTGGCTTCGTGTTTATCTCGAAATTTGGGAGATACGATGGGAAATCCGAGGGACTGGGCAGGATCGCCGAGGAGCATGCGAAGGTATGCTTCATGGTATGTAAGTGAAGTGTCCACCTTTAGCGACGATGACGATATCGGGCTTGAAAATTTTGGCATGCTGGAGCGAGAGGCCGCAACGAGTGTACCGACTGCAACAACATCAGTGATGTTGATGGCTTCCCGAAGGAGTTTGTTCTACCAAATTGCGTAGGCCGCCTTCTCCTTGCGTGGTGCCTGGGGCCATTGACGCGGATCTTGCTGCGGCGATGGCACTCTGCTCACTTGCTGGCGCTTGGGGCGGAAATCGACTCAGCTTGGCGTTGGTGCGACCAGGCATCATTGTCGGTGATCTTGCGCGAGGGCCTCTTCTCCTCGAGTTGAGAGAACTTGTGTATGAGCCCAGTGGCCTCCATGATCTCGCCATCACCAATTGATTCAACTTATGTGTGGCGGGTGTAAGACATTCAGACCGCGGCGATGGAGGAAGGCTGGGACTGGTCGATGAGCTTCTCAATCACCTATTGCTTGACGAGGGCAGGATCGATGCCAGAGGCGTGAATCTTCTTGGTACCTTGGAAGATGGTCTTGGTGTTCTTGATAATGGGTTGCTAGCGGTTGTGACGTATGACATCGTGGAGTAGGAAAACTGGATCACCTATTGTAGGCAGGACAAGTTTGCCGTACTTGGTGGAACCAAGAGAAACATATCCATCTAAACTATACCATTCTCTTAAGCAGAACCGGGCAGAGCCGGGCAAACGGCTTTAAAGTTGACCTCCGCGGCCTTTAAGGAAAGCTCGAGCTTTCTTTCGTACTGGAGGCCCCTAGTTATACTAACTATCCAAGACTCGGTTGAAGCGAGATAAGTCTCGTTAGGGTGGGTAATCTCAGCGTGACGGTCAGCAGCAGTTAGCATACTGCCTTGATTAATAGCACACGCACCTTTCGCATTCGACGCCCGTCTTACTCGTTACAATAAGCCTTCTTCATGACGCCAGCCATAAATCGACCTATGTGAAAATTCTGCCCTGATACGGCAGAGACGAGCTCATTCTGGTAGATGACGAGAATGTCTATTTGGTGATGGGGGCGGTCGGGGCTCGCCGGCTGCGTGAAGACCTTGTTGAGCTAGGCAACCTGGCTTGTGATGTGCGGCTCGCGGTCTTCGATTAGTATCAGATTATTCCTCGTCTCCTACTCGGTGACGTGAAAACACGCGCTCTGTCTTGGTGGAAATGCGGTAACATCGCAATTTTGATCTCGAGCCAGACTTTGCCAGTAGCGCCGGGGCAGTCTCGCTAGTATTTTGAGTGATGGGGAGATCCTTAGACAGCGCCATCGAAACGGTGGACCTGGTTAGAAGCGGAGTCTTGTTCGAGTCATCCTGGAAGATGGTGCCAGGAATAACAGTCGACGAATGATTCTCGGGAGGGGCATAGCAAAACACCTTTGAAGGTGAGTCCATCAGGGTTCTTGTCCAGGTTCATCTCGCCATAGTACCCGATGACTTCGGTGCCTCCGAAATGCGCCGCCATACAAAACCAGACACTACTGTGCCATGGTTTGCAACGTGACGTTTCGCGTTCGACTTTTCTTGGTCTGGTCAGATTCTGAGATATCGGGCGAGTAGAGCATGCCCCGGGAATTAAAGTATCATAGACGGCGGGGGATTATGATAGAAAAGGGAAAGGGAAAAGATGAGTGTCTAGGAAATAAAATATTCAAGAGTTACCATTGTGTGGGTAAATAAAGACCTTGAGACGTGCTGGTCTTGTGATCCGGCGAGCCCACCTCATCAAATCGACAGCACTTTCGTTCGCACCCAAATAATACTTTGGACCGATTGTTGCAGAGTTGATTGTTGTGATGACAATTGACGTTGCACGTTCATGGGTTGCAATTCTGCCTATGATTGCGAGCCTGGGCAGGCCGTGGATATTAACAATCAAATAAGGCATAAATTAACCAACTGGACTTGGCGGTCTCACTCATGTCTTGCAGAGCATTGAAATTGTCTGTGGAAATATACCTGAGTAGCTGTATATTATGTATACTAAACATTGCCTCGTGAGGCCTCTTGTTTACTCCTTATGATCTGATGGTCATTGTTGTCTCAAAGCCAGCAACGGATGCATGTCCACCGATCATCCATTTTCATAACTTTGATATCCTGGCGAAAGGAGTTAAAGAAGTGAGACGTTATATTTTTAAACCTTTGTTTTTATGATATCTAGGGAGTGAGCTTCGTGTGTAGTGAGAAGCTTGATTGGTGTAGTAACGAAGTCATAAGAGCCATGAGCAGTTACAGGATCTGTGCCTTTGGTATTGGTATTTGAAATAGAAACAGCGCCCCCCCTTGGCTTTGTATTAGAGCCGCTTTCAAGGGACCGGTTAGATCATGGCTAACATATCGAGCTGGGGATAATTGGAATGGAGTAGATTTGGGGGCCGACGAGAGAGAGAGAGAGGGACGGCGGAACGATGATAATGGAGGGCCACCCGGAACTCACTATATCAGCAATCGATAATTGGGTGATATATAAAGGGAGTCATGAATTGTTATAGTCGTCCGACTATAACAATTCAAAAGGAGAACGAAATCCACGAGGATTTAGCAAGGGCTAAGGATATCCTCTGTACGCGATAGAGCAAAATGTGAATGAAGATGGTCGAAGTCGACACAATGCTCTGCAGGACTCGAGTCACAACTCTCCAAGCGAATGGTATATTTGCTAGATCCCTACAAGCACGACTCCTCCACTGACGGGAAATCGAGGCTGCAAGGTTCAAGTTCTGCAGTCCCAAGGACTCTTCAACAAGATTAGAAAGTCATGTGACGAACACTTCAGAACTCTTAGCCCAGCACACCATGCCAGGAAGAACTGACATTTATCCACCCCAATCACATGGGTTTCTCAGGGTTGGTCCAAGAAAGGCGCTTCAGACTCGCGGACGCTGTCAAGGGCGTCGATTGTTCAAAGCACCAAGCGCCAACTCAATTGGTCGGCTATAATGGTTGGTGACGTCAGTAGCCTGGCAATGTCCTGATACTGTAGCCCCGGGCCGCGGGAACCAACCATGAATTAAGCGAAACATACGAGAGATCCAGTTACCGCGCTTGGTGCCCACTGAGTTGGAAGCGAGAAGTTTGCGGGCCCTCACTCTTTAAGTTCCCACGTTCTATATACTGGGTACCTAGGTACAAGGTAGATAGGCAGGGGTGCCGTGTGTGTGTCCTACCCCGCCAACACGGTGTTCTCTTGTGGGACGCTCTCAGCGATGGATCAGATTGAGTTTGCCCTCATGTAGGCGTCGGCTTACAGACATATCAATGGAGGAAAATGGCGCCCATGTGAGCAATCTATTGTGGGTCTAGGCTTATAGCACATGAGCTGACTGGTTGCAGGATCGCAAGCCGTCCGAGGCCTCTGCGGAATCGGGCCCGGCGCGCTCAACGTCGAGTGAGACCAGCAAGGCAAGCCATCATAGCGGAAGCTCGGGGAGTCTGCTCAACCGCAAGCCGACAGGTTACACCATACCTGACCCGGTCTCGGTCGAGGAGCATGGGAGGACCTGGAATGCTTATAGAGAGGGCAAGTACCTGCTTCCGAATGATGCGCTCGAGCAAGAACGCCTTGATCTAGCGCATGAAATGTGGCGACTGCTCATGTTCGGAGATCTTGCCTGGGTTCCGTTCGCGGACGAGCCGCGCGACGTTTTGGACATCGGAACGGGCACAGGCATGTAAGTACCTGGCCTTACATTAGGTGACGACTGGATCTTTGGTGCTCTCGTCTCTGAAGTTGGACAAGCCTGCAACAGGCGCCGGCGAGGTGCCTTTCATGGGCGTCAGATTGTAAAGCTGGCTGACTTTGCTCTGCGAAGCTGGGCCATCGAGTGGGCTGAACATCATCCAGCATCGCGCGTTGTCGGTACGGACATAAGTCTCATACAGCCTCCGGAGGAGAGTATACCCTCAAACTGTACCTTTGAACGGGATGACGTCGAGGAAGAATGGGTTTTTGACAGGCTGTTCGACTATATACACTTACGGTCGATGCTCACATGCTTCAATAACCATACCAGTGTCCTACAGAAGGTATACGATAACCTGCGCCCGGGCGGGTGGGTGGAGTATCATGAGTACGATCCAGAAGTCTTTGGCAAGGACGATGCGAACCAAGAGGCTCTGATGGCCTCGGCCCTATGGCAATGGTGTCAGCGACTGTTTAGGAGTGCCAAGCGGTTTGGCCGAGATATGTTGATCGCACGCCGGTATAAACAGTTGTGGGTATATTGAAGTCTCAATCCCATTCTGCGTAGACGCTGATACAGGATCACAGCTTATTGGATGCGGGCTTTGTTGACGTTACGGAGAGGTACTGTGATGCTCACCCTTTAGAACTCGCGAATTGCAATTCTAAGCTTGCGCAGGATAATACTGGCCCCTAATAAACCCTGGTCGACTGACCCTCGAGAGCGCCGGATCGGGCAGTACATGCAAGCCAACAGCCTCGAGATGCTGGATGCTGTATCTGCCAAGTTGCTACTTGGCGACGGCATGTCGACGGACGAAAGCGAGCAACTGAACTCTCGTGTCCGCGAGTCCTTTGCCAGCCCAGACCTTCACCTGTATTCCCGCATGTACGTTGTATACGGAAGAAAGCCCAGGGAAGGCGAATATGTTCCATCGAGGAGCCAAGCACCAGAAGGTACGGAAATTGTACCAAAAGCCGAGGTCAAGACAGAGTTGCAACGGGCCTCTCGGGTAGAGAGCATAGCAACGACAGATTCTTCAACTGAGAAGGCATTCAAGGCCGACGGTATCGTGGCAGCCGGGGAGCACATGCCAACGGAAAGCCGTCGGGGCATGGCTTCAGAAGAGTTACCACCGACCACAGATGCAACTGCAGCAGACACCAGTGTTTACGCCGATCAGCCCAATTCCCTAATTGGAGCAAGTCGTTCCAGCCGGGGCTATGGAGACTAACTTACAAATGTCCCACGTGTTTCTTCACGTGGCTGAGGTTAGGACTAAACTTGACTGCCTTTTTGGGCACCAGCAAGTAGGACTAGCGGTAGGCAAGAGTGTAGGTTTTGTTTTCTCAAAGAGCTGGGATTTGTTGTTCTGGGGCTTTCCCCTACAATTCCGCCACCCACCATTGCGGATTCGGAAGAAGGGAATTGGGACAGAAATTGGAACGGAAATCAGACCGCATTCAGGTTTGATGCTCATCAGCTTCTATCTCGAGGCAAACGGACACTCGACTGGGCTATATCTCGGTTTCGAGCGCCTGGGGCCTACGCAGCTCAGATCTCAGGAGGGAGGATACAAATATCCAAAGCAAAGTGAATTGACTACAAACGTGCTGCTTCTCGTGAAAGGGTATCGTTGCATCTCCAAATGATCTGTCCTGTGATGCCAACCAAACGCCAGACATATGCTTGTTAAATATAACAAAAGTAAAAAACCCCATGATGCACGCTTTGTCGTCAATGAAAACAAGTACATGCGAAATACTAAGCCAGCCCTGAAAGCAAATACAAACAGAAAAAGACGACATAAGGTGGCCCAATGTCAAACTCACTGCTGTCCCTGGAAGTGTTGCATGAACTGAATCGCTTGCTCGATAGGATATCCAATGAAAACCGGGCCGGTGAAAAGCATCTGCGGGGGGTTGCCAGCTTTTGGCTGCGCCAGATCATCCGCGTTGAAGAAGGTCGGCTGGCCTTGGCGGGCTCCGGTTGCAGGTGTATAAGGCTGATGGCTAGGATACGCAGCCGGCCGCTCCGGAGTCTTCTCATCGTGTTTGGGCATGGTTGGGGTTGTGCCCTTCGCCTGCAGCTTGGTGTGATCAAAAGGACATTTGCCGGCCTGGCGACCAGGAGTTCCTGTATCCGGGGCGGGGGTGGAGGGCATAGGCACAGGAGCAGGCGGTGGTGACTCGGGGCGCTCTTGCTCTTGCCCATCGGCCGAGGGTGTGTCGTAGATAGGTACTGATATACCCCAAGGTCGACTTGGTGATTCACCTACGCGCACCTCCTTGAGAGGGCGGTCGAAATGGCTCTGCCGTTCGTCGTCATCGCTGGGTACCTCCTCCATGGCAGTGCGGTCAGGATCGTCGGTACCGATAGCGCTGACTGTCTGTGCCCAAGTCTCGACCCGCTCATTGGATCCTCGTTCCACATCGCTCTGAGGCCGGGTGTCCTGCTCTGGCAGCATGGGCTGATGAATGCGGCCGAGGCCTTCGACCATATTGACCAAGTTACCGTACTTGGCATCGAGCTTTCGGATATGGTCCTCGTTCTTCTGGTACCTCCGTAGACACACCTCATGACTGCGTGGCAGCTCATGCTTGTGAACCTCGAGGTAGTGTGCGATCTCCTCGGGAGAGTGCTGATCCATGTAGCGAATGGGGCACTTTGAGGAGGCATCTTGCCCAGGGGGCGCCGGCATGCTGGTATTCTCCTCATACATGGCGGCGCAGATGGGATCGCCAGAATGATGGGGGGTTGTGTCCGGGGCTTCGGCGCGGCTGCCGCTCGTTGCCGGCTCGTCTGCACCTGAGACCGGTCTAGTGAACGGACAACCCAGGGTCCCCTTCTTGCCCTCGACAGTGAAGTCCTGCTCCAGAACGGTGGAGGCGGCGGTTGTCATGGTGGTGCGGGACAGGGTGTCGCGGCTGGAGCGGCTGCTTCTGCTGTGGTTTCCCAGGGACGAGGCGGCCCGCCTGCCTTCTCTGATGATCAAAGCAATCTGGTGCTTTGTGGAGTCTGCGGATTTGCGTTTGAGGAGGGGCACATAGTTGGTGTTTGCCAATGAGGTATTGTGGGGGTCAGGCGGGATCTGCAGGTTCACGAGCGTGTCCGAGATTTCTGGCGCCGCGGGTGCATACCTGTCGGCGAGGTATTGGAACTAGGCGCGGGTGGGTGTGTTAGCCTTGGCGTGCGTGACATGCAAGTGGTTGGAGTGACGGAGCGTGGCAGAGGTGATGGATGGCTTGACGACGATGTGGATCAGAGAATTTGGTAATGTTGTCGGTCGTAGCTACCGGGTCGGCAGCTCTTGATCTAGAGCTAAAGTGTCTCATCATAGGAGGAACATCGTACGCCATGTGTAGGGTCGAGGTACTGGAGAGAGAAAGAGAGAGAGGGAGGGAGAGCGGGAGAAGTGCTTGCTCGTCGCTGGGGGTGTCTTACCTGTTCGTGGGCGTAGCGCAGCTTGTGCTCCAGGACCACCTGGCGGTCATTCAAATGCTGGACCTCATCTGCGAGAGCGTTGAAGGACTCGACCAAGGTCTGCGTGAGATGCTGTGCATTCATTCCTGCAACCAAAGATGCAGGCGTCGGTTGGCCCCCTTTGTTGCTGGTCTGGTCGACCGGAAGTGGGATTGGGCAGACGGGAGAATGGGTCAGGAATACCTTGAGGATGGAAGAAAGAAAGCTGAGCGAGCGAAGCGTGGGCCGATGATAAGTCCGGTGGATGGATACACTGGATACCCGTGGGCCACTGCTTTCCAGTCCACTGGACTATCGTCCATGGGGGCGTCGGCGCAGAATAACTACAGGTCGGACTTACGGAGTAGTTAGTTGGCTTAACTTAGCGTGCAGAAGAGTTCCCAGCTGAAGTCGCCGTCCTCGCCCGATTGCATACGCCCAGCCCAGCCCGGCCCAGCTCTACTATGGTAGGTTCGAGGCAGCTAGAAGCCCAAGCATCTTGAGATCTTGTTAGTTCGGGGCAGGCCATTGGAGTCAGTCAGTGGCTGAGGTCGTGGGTTCTTCAACTCCCGACCCCGTCTAGTATGTACCACGCAGACCTTAGACCTCTGCCAGATGTAGTTGCTTGAGCTCGAACGCTCCGCCTGCTGGGTAAAGCATTTATTTGGTTGTGACTGTCGCACCGCTGTTGCTGCCCTCCACAGCCACCCACAGCAGAGGAGTTAGTTACATGTCCGTCCACCTCAGACGCCAGGCCGCCATTAGCCGGCATCCTCCGGGAGATGCATTGAACCCCTCCATCCTCCTCCTCGTCGCTGCTGTTACATCCAATGTAACGCCTAACTTTGGCTTGGCTCTGCATCGTGAACAAGCCCACCTGGTAGTAATCATCAGCCGAGTTAAATCTCAAAACTGGGCAGAGCAGAACGTCTTGATTTCCGAAGCCAACGCCAGAGAAGTCTGCCAGAGCAGTGACTGGAACTGTTTGGCGTTGCGCCGCCCTCTAGTCTCGCCCCGTGCATCACATAACCGCCCACCGGAAACGTGAGGACTCTCGTGTCTCACAGAGCCACGCGCTATCTTGCCTTCGAGAGACTTGGTTGATCCCCTACCCTGGATCCGCGAAACCCTGGACACTGAAGGGAACGCACCATGGGAATACTTGCGCGCCTCATCTCCAAGAGCCGGCCTCATCTTGTTCCAGGTACTCAAGTTACAAACCTGACATTGGCGCATTTCCGACGTGGCTGATGCTCCCCCTTTAGGCAAGCTGCTCGTTACAGAATTTTGGTTCGAGGTTCCTCTGGACTACTCGAAGCCTGCGGGAAAGAAGCTCAAACTGTTTGGTAGAACGGCTTCCAAATATGAAAAGCCTATAGTCGAGCCGTCCCCGGCAGAAAAGGCCAAGTCTGCCCAGAAGCCATTTCTTGTCTACCTGCAGGGCGGCCCTGGGTTTGGAAATCCTCAGCCTCAGGACAGCACCTTGTCTTCGCACATGCTCGACAGAGGCTACGAGCTGCTGCTATTAGATTATCGCGGGACTGGCTTCAGCTGTCCTGTCTCGGCCAGCACCTTGGCACTCGTCGGTGGTCCACAGGAGCAAGCCGACTACCTGAAGCACTTCAGGGCCGACAACATTGTGAGAGATTGTGAGGCTGTTCGGAAATTTCTCACCAAGGACTACCCTCCTGAGAAGCAGCAATGGAGCATATTTGGACAGTCTTTTGGTGGCATGACTAGCCTGACCTACCTGTCCTTCCATCCCGAGGGCCTGCGCGAGTCTTTTATCACAGGAGGCTTGGTGGCTCTGGACAAAGGAGCCGAGGAGACTTACCAGTCAACATTCCAGAAAGTCATCGAAAGGAACATGGCCTATTACGAGAAATTCCCGGCGGATGTCGCTGACGTCAAATACCTTGCCACCAAGATTCGTGAAGTCGGAGGAGAGGAGGGCATCCCTCTCCCAGCCGGTGGGCGATTGACAGTTCCTCTGTTCCTCACCCTTGGCATCAGCTTTGGAAAGTACCACGGCTTGGACATTGTGCATAATCATATTGTCAGGATGAAGGGGGATGTGGATCAGTTTGGATTCTTCACGAGGGGCACCCTTAACGATCTGCAGCAAGCTATGGGGTGGGATGATGCTGTTATTTACAGCGTCTTGCATGAACCAATCTGGTGCTATCGACCAGGCATAGCAAGCAACTGGGCTGCTGAGCGGGTTGGCAGGTCACTCGAAAATTTCAAATGGCTTCGCCGTGACTGGGCTGGTCCTCAAGCCTTGCCGCAAGATGAGCCCCTCTATTTCTCAGGAGAGATGGTCTACCCCTTCTTCTTTGACACTTCCGACGAACTGAACAAGCTGAAGGACACAGCTGATATACTTGCCAAATATGACCAGTGGCCGAGCCTTTACGATGAGGCCCAGTTGAAGAAGAACACTGTTCCGGTGTACGCAGCCATCTATGAGGACATGTATGTATATCCCGAGGATTCTAGAAGGACTGCATCCATTATTAAGGGTGCCAAGACGTGGGAGTCCTCGGTTCACTTCCACGGGGCGCTGAGAAGCCATGCAGCGGATGTCTTCAAACAGTTGCTGCAACTGCGAGACGACACCATCAACTGATGGTGGCAAGCTTCATGGGAAGCGCGGGATCGCGTCAGACCTGTGGTTACTGTGTTTATTGTGAAAGCACAAACGCTCTCATAGGTACTCTACTTGTTCCTCGACTCATTGAACACGAACCCGTGGTGTTACCCACTAGAGATAGTTTGTTAACCCTGGATGTTCTCTACTCTCTCTCTCTCTCTCTCTCTCTCTCTCTCTCTACTCTCAACGTTCATTCTAAGTTTAGAGACATCGCCTGCACACACAGTACTATGCACCGACCCTCAGGTCAGCCGTGGCGGACGCAAATGACGATGCTCTACAATATCACAATCATGATCCAGGAAATGGCCATGTAATATATCCACTGCTACATTTCTATCCAACATGGGGATGAGAGTGTGCCACTTGAAGTGCTCCTCCTATAAGTGCTCCGAGGATAACAAGAAACACCAGTTCTGATCCCTTGTTTCAGCCGGAACTTCTACTTAACCTTCAGTATTTAGAGTAATTAACCAATAGCTTGGTCGCAACGCTCTTGCATTAATCGATCTGGCTCGAGTCTTTGTCAATATCGTGACCTCTGTTGTTGCAGGTTATAGTTATGATTATGTCGATCTGGAGGTGTGACGTGTGACGGAGAAATCCCGCCACTTTCGGCATATCATTGCCTGCGGATGCCGAGCCGTTGAGGCCCTACTGGCTGCACGAGAGGAACCCTGCCTTCACCAGGTTTCCCCACGACTTGTGCGGCATGTTTACTACAAGCTTGTAATAAAGTCCGGGGTCGGTGCTTCTCAGTCAACTGTAGTAATCCGCCTGCGACGCGGTTCGTTACGACCTGAGCAACATAAATTGCATTCGCACTAGTACTAATGCGATCCTTCTCCTGGCGCCTGTCGCCCCTTTGGGGGCCAGAAGCCGATATGAGGCCTGGTGAGTATATAAGTTGCTATGCTTACCCGGTAGGTTGGGACCATGGACCGCCCACCCCGCGCGACTCCTATCTCATGAAGTGACAAAATGGTTTCTTTGAGGAAGCATGGGTGGTGGGTGGTTGCACTCGCGGCTCAGCATCTCAACGCCCAGAAGCTATTAGCGAGTCTTGACTATGGCTCGTTTCAGGGCACGTACGATGTCCGATATAATATCTCGTACTGGCAGAAAATCCCTTATGCAGCACCGCCGGTGGGCGGAAACAGGTGAATAGTTCGATTCTCTATGTTGCACATCGTTTATATTCAAATGTTACAGGTTCCGAGCGCCGCAGCCTCCCCTGCCAATTACCAGCGGAGTATATAACTCATCTCAGACTTTTGACATGTGTCCGCAGAGAGCAGTCTGTAGACAGACCACTGAACCTGATTAGACCGAATTCTAACTAGTGTAGGTGAACGGATCCGAGGATTGCTTATATCTTGGGTTATACAGCAGGCCGTGGACGACGTCGCAACCTTTGCGGCCCGTGGTCGTAGTATTCTACGGCGGCGCATTCGTCCAGGGCTCAGCCTCATTTACAATCCCTCCATCGGCCTACCCGGTGTTGAACGTCTCCGACTCCAGTAATATGATTTTCGTATACCCAAACTACCGTCTCAACGCCTTCGGCTTCCTTCCTGGCAAGGAAGTGGCAGACGACCCACACTCCAATGCCAACGCCGGCTTATTGGACCAAGAGGCTGCTCTCATCTGGACTCAGAAGTATATCAAGCAATTTGGAGGCGATCCAACCGAGGTCAGCATCTGGGGTCAATCTGCTGGTGGAGGCAGCGTCGTCGCACAGGTTATTGGGCGGAAGCACGATGTCCCTTTGTTCAAGAGAGCGCTGGCTTCCAGTCCGTTCTGGCCCAAGACCTACAGCAACGACGATCCCGAAGCACAGGCGCGCTATGAGACACTGGTTAGCTTGACGGGTTGTGCTGGGCCAGACAGTCTGAAATGCCTCAAAAGGGTGGATGTATCCGTGATTCGAAATGCGAGTTATGCCATGGTTTCTGGAAACATGTATGGACCAACCTCGTATCCATGGAGTCCCGTTATCGACGGGGAGTTCCTTCGGAAGCCCCTTTCTGAGGCCGCCAAGTCCTGTAGTGTCAACAACCAGCTTGGCTTCTCTATGTACAATACACACGAAGGCGAAAACTTTGTGTCATCCAATGTTGTATATGACTCCTGGGTTGTTGATTTTCTACCAAAGTTCTCAGCAGCCGACCTCGACCGCCTGAACGCGTTATATCCAGTCGCCGGACACGCAGAGTCAATCCCAACCTATAACGACTCATACACCCGTGCCGGACTGATTTATCGCGATTCCGTCCTGGCTTGTCCGGCGTATTGGACGGCGGGTGCAGCACCGAAGGGCAGCTGGCTGGGAGAGTACACCATTTCACCTGCAAAACACGCCTCCGACGTGAGCTATGTATGGTTTCCCTCAGCTATGACACAGACACTTTGATGTTGGGCCCTTTGGCTAATAGTCCGTTAGTGGAACACGGTGAACGCCATCCAGCAGACCGACCCCCTGCACTATGAAGGATACGCTGGTCAGTCGCAATCACTTCCATTATGGTCGAGGCAGTATGCTGACCTTCCATGCACTCCCAGGCGCATTTGCTTCTTACTTCATGACAGGCGACCCAAACGCGCTGAAGCTGACAGCAGAGGACGTTGCTGGCGTGCCGGCCCTCAAAACGGGCCAAGAATTCGTGATTGATAGCGCTGGATTCACAACGAGGAACCTCTCACAATTTATGGAGAGGTGCGACTTTTGGAGAGAAGTCGCTCCAAGGTTGCCTGTATAGAGTCAGACCGCAACACAGCATATTCCATGATAACATACACGCTTGTAGTTTCCTGAAGTTGATTTGATTTGATTCGATCACTGCCAGGGATTTTCTCCAGGACAGTCGAGATAAATATGAATTGTTCCTCAACCTTGATATCGTATTGGAATCTAAGGACGAGTCATATGCTGTGCAGTGAGAACTGGTGTTATGCCGCTTTGGGGAAGTCCACTTCTAACGCAGTTGTGACAAGAGGGCCTTGTTGTCCTCACTGAAGATGCGCCGACCCAGTTGCACGAGTATGGGATCGATACGTAACCGCACAGGAACAAAGGCTCCCCCAGCCGTATAGTATTTACATATATGCTCTACATCTAACTATACGCCCAACCCTCCACTGTATGAATGATGTGTTTCAGTATAACCCGTCGTCGTCGCTGCCCGTCCCTTGTTCAAACCTCATGACAGCCTTTCCTTTTCCTTTGCCCTTGCCATTGGAACTCTGGTAGCTCCCATATGCCTCCTCATCCCCATCGCTGTCCTCTTCACTGTCCCCCATGACCGCCTTGCCCTTACCCTTGCCTACGACGGCTTTGCCCTTGCCCTTGCCAGCTGATTTTGACTGCACGTCTGACCCAAACGCTGGGGCAGTAGTATCCTCCATATCGGGGTTGCCCTCTATAGCCTTCTCCCGACCCCCTTCGAAGGTAGCCCTCACCTTTTCATAGTGTGCCAATTCGCCGGCGCTGACACTTGGCACTAGCTCGCGGTTGGCGTCGAGGAAGTCCTGCTCCATGACCATGACAGCAATGTCCTCTGCGGTGGCGTGGTGATCGAAGAAGTTGGCCGTAGAAATGGGCGGGCGACCAGAAGAAGACAAATCCGCATTCAGGGCACGGATCTTGGCGTCGACCCCCGAGGCCTGCCGCGTCACGGCCTTGAGCATGGCATCACTACATAGCGCATAGAAGTCTGCACCAGTGTACGTGAAGGGCAGTTGCTGGGCCACAGCGTGAAGTGAGACTGTGGGGTGAAGTGTGAATCTGTGGAAGGTGTTAGACCAGATTGGAGTCCAACAGCAAAATTAGTAGGGGAAAGGAGACAGAAGAGAAATGTTGGAAGCTGACTGACTTTCTTGTAAGCGCCTCCATGATCGTGAGCTGCTTTTCGTGCGTGTCAGAGACACCCAAGTAAAGCATCTTATCAAAGCGTCCTGGACGTAGTAGGGCTTGATCCAGCAGGTCAGGACGGTTTGTTGCGCCGATGACGAACACTCCACCACCACCTCCGTCGTCTCCACCTGACATGCCGTCGAGCTCTGCAAGCAGCTGGGACACAATTCGGTCCATGACACCACCACTGTCCCCCTGATTGCCTCGCTTGGGAGCAACCGAGTCCAACTCGTCAAAGAATACCACGCAAGGCCTGGCATCTCGCGCGCGCTGGAACACGCGCCGAACATTGGCTTCCGACTCTCCGATGTACATATTCAGCAGCTCTGGGCCCTTGACACTGAAGAAGTTCAAGCTATACTCTGTAGCAATAGCCTTAGCAAGTAGCGTTTTTCCTGTGCCGGGCGGGCCATAGAAGAGAATGCCTGAACGCTTCTTCATGCCCTTTGCAAAGAGCTCCGGCCTCTCTAGGGGCAGCTGGATTGTCTCCATGACTGCTTCCTTGACATTGCTGAGGCCGCCCACGTCATCCCAAGTAACATTGGGAATCTTTGGAGCCCCAATTGCATCCGCGAAATTCTTACGTGCAGCCTCTACCGCAATATCAAAGTCTGCTTTCGTGAGGCTCCTTGCAGCCGAGCCACCTGCAACTTGGATATCTCTCACGGTGATGGGGCTTTCATCGGTCGAAGCTCTCGTAGACAAATCTTCTAACCGCGCTTGCCGGGCTACTACAGCTCGGCCAACAACATCCACTAGGTCACCTGCCACTAATGCCGCCGTTTTAAGGGCCACGCTGCTCAGATCAACTCCAGGCGCAAGGGACAATCCTTGGCCATCAACTATGCTTTTGAGTATACCTTCACGCTCACCCTCGTCGGGAGCGTTCATCTCCAACTCGTGTGTGAATAATCCTCGAACTCCATCAGGTACCTTATCCACCTCAGTTGTTGTGGCTATGAGTACTCGGGCATCATCTAGAATTTCTTTCATGGCTGTGACCATCCTGTCCGCGGTCAGGGCTTCCAGGTGGCGCACCACCAACGCGCAGCAAGTGGGACCGCAGCTCATGGCCCGGTCAGCCCTCGCTTTCAAGAAGCCTTCTGTCTTGACGTCGCTGCCTCCACCCCCGCCTTCGTTTACGATATCGTACGCGTCGATAGTAAAGGTATGAAGGCCGAGATCTGAACAAGCGTTCGTCGCCACAGTTGCTTTGCCGATATTCCGCTGATTGGAGACCAGTAAGATCGCCACCGGTGGCATATTGAGATGGACTGCCCGTTTGCTGGTAGCGGCAGCCATAAGCTCACGTAGTCTTCGTCTAAGGGGCGAGATGAACTTCTTCGATTGATCTGGAGCTGTGGGTACTGTTGAACCCTTCGTACCTTTTGGCGGCTCCTCCATCCCGAGGTAATATGGCCAATTGCTGTCCTTGGTTCCTGGTACCAGGCTGGTGACCGCTCCAGACTGCGCTATTTGGGTTGTTGAGGTGTCAATGCAGGCCACCCCACCCCAAACGTCTTCCTCCTCCTCGTCTGCAGCAGCTTCAGATTTTTGGCGCTGTATATGTCCAACCTTGAACCAAGCAATCCCATCTGGTTTCGTGATAGAGCCACTGACTTTGTTTGAAGCAGTCAAGGCCATCAAGTCGTCGACCCCAGAACCACTATTGACACCAGGAAGCTCATGGAGAGTTCTACCAAGCTGCGTATCGATCGGAATTCCGAGGACGTCACCAGTTCTCACAACTCGTGTGCGTCGTGCGAAGTGACTCTTGAGACCACCTAATATGACGGTCTGCAATGCCCTTTCCGATGACAAGGGTGTGCGGATCTGCTGAATGATAACGTCCCGCGCGTAGGGGGGATGGGATGCGCCTGTGATTTTGGATTGTCCTGGTTTGGGAGGATAGGCCAGTCTCTTCAAGGGAGACAGTCTAACGTAGGGGGTATTTTCCAAGTTAGCCAACAGGATGGGTGAGAGGTAGGCACCGGGGCTTGATGGCTTTTGGATTTGCGACTCGAAGAACGAGAACCTGCGACCACCATTGTCATGCTTTGAACTGGGTATCCTTGTCATGGGGCGATGTGAGTAGCCCTCTGGCAGCCCAAAGACTTTGGCTGGGCGCCATGTATTCTCTGCTGCATCAGATGGGCCAAAGCTACCGAGTCCAAATAATCCAGAGCCATTAGCCGGAGGTTCTTCGGATGCCTCCAAGCGAACCCAATCACCCGAGAAGCAGCCAATTCTTGTCAAAGAGGTAATGTCAACGTAGACTCTGGCTTCTGCGTCATCATCGGGGTTTGGCTTGGGGTGTAACAGGTCTGCTGGAATGGGACTCATCAAGCCCTGGGCCTTGAAAAGACGTCCCTTCGGGCGATCAGGCCTTGCCGTAGTAGCGGTAAAACTGGAGAAAACAGATCCAGGAGTGTTGATGCCGTTCGTCTTCCTTCCTCGCCCAATGGTCATTGGTGTTCCAGGTTGCATGGTTGACACACCACTCGCGTTGGTAGTCGGTAGCGTCGGCGCTTGAAGCGAAATCATGTCGTCCATTGAATCGTCTGATAAATCGTCCTCGTTGTCCTCATTCTCGGATGTCTCTGTTTCTGTTTCTGTGACCGAGTCCGTGACTTCTGAAGGAGCATCTGTCTTGTAACGTTCTTCGGCAGCCGAGTAGAACTGGTCGTTGGCCGTGTCTTCAGCATCATCTTGTACTGTGCCATTGAGGGCCTGGGACGAAGTCATGGATGTTCGGTCATGTTTCGACGATGTGTGTCCTCTGGTGAGTATAATCTTGGTACTCGGACCTAGTACACCTTGTGCCACCGGCTCACAAAGGGCCACCTTTCCGGGAGTAGGAGGGACGTGTGTGATAGGATGAGGAGGGAGTGGCAGTGGGAACAAGTCTCCGTCGTGTACGACTTTCAAGGTGCCCAGTGCAACGCGCAGCGCATCTGCGAGGCGCTCTGCTGCACTCTCGGCCGAGGTCACTGTCTTTCCTTTGGCGGACGGGTGGTCTCTGAAGAAAGTCCCCTCCCCATTCTCCAGACGCTTCGCTAGGTCCCCTTCCAAGCTTACGAACACTGTTTCGAGCTCCAAGGCGGCGACGTCGAGAACCAGGACCTCGATGCCACTCCTGCTGTGGCTTGACAATTTAGAGGGCGCAACTTGCTGGAGCGTCGTAGCAAAGCTCTGCAGGGCGAGCGAGGAAGGAGAGAATTGTATCGTCGAGTGTGCAAGTGCAGTAGACTTGAGAATGGGTACTATCGTCCAAGTGGTCTGCAGCGTTGTCGAAGTGGACGACCACGGCGCGATCGCGATGTGATGCAGTTCGACGTTGTGGCCGGCGCCACCTTCGCCATTCGCTTCTATAGTGAGCCAACGTCAGTGAGATCAGGCCAGAGCAAGCGCAGCCGCAGCCGCAGCTTCAGCTTCAGCGTGGCGGTTGGCACTTACGGGCACCCAGGTGCGGAAACAGGTCTGCAAAGAGGTCGTCGGAGAGGATGCCGACATCGCCCTTGACATGGTCATCGAGGACCAAGCGCGCGGGTATGGCCGACTTGTCCTGCCGTCTTCTCCTTCTCCTCTTCCTCTGGGCCAGAGGACCGCGTGCAGCCACCGCGGCCATCGCGACAATCGGCGGGTGAAAGCTCCGAGGAACCTAGCTTACGCTCGGCGGCAGTGGGAAAGGAGGTTGACACACATCTAGGTGCTGCAGAAGCGAAGGTCAGGCGCAAGACTCTGTCTACAGAGAAAATATGGTAGTTCTCCCAGCGTGTGCATGCTCGCACCGAGTATAGGGTCCGCTCGGTCTTCGCTACAAGCTTCCAAATCGTCGACTCTGGTTCAGCCGGGCGTTGCCAGCTTTGGCCGAGGCATTGGCATATGCCAATCAATCCGGGGTCGATTGGACCCGCGCGACATCCATTGGATCCATGGGTCTAACTAACTTGGGGGGACTTTAACGTGACACGGGCCCGTGCGTTGACTGCGTACAGTAAATTTACTATGTATGTGTGGACGTACCTACCGTGGGCAGGTAAGCAGGGGAATATGGAGAGAGAACCGCATCCTTACACCCGTAACGAATCCAGAGCATGAGTCCATCAGTCAACACAACAGTCCGCAAGAGTCGTCAAGCCGTCGATCGTTGTGACCACGCCCGAGAACTCGCACACTCGCGGGTGGGTGGTGGCCAATCACTATCTTCAGACCCGGCATAATGAGGTTCGGGACAATGCAGCGTGCCTCGGGGCATCAGGCACTTTGCTTCTCTTCCGTGACATGAAATAGGTAGGCCTGACGGGTCTCTCTGCTCGCTCATGACAACCACTGTTTCCTGTGCGTTGTATCTCGAACCACGAGGTACTCGCTCACCACCTCAAATACGTCAAGGCGGGTTCGAACCCAAGAATGTGTACATCGGACCTCACTTCAACGGATCCATTGTATCTACGATGTGTATCTGTAGGTATGTGGCGCTTGCCCGACATTATCTGGCGGTGGTCTGCGGCTGGGGACATCGCAATAATCTCCCCATTCCCCATTCAGCCGTGTGCGCATCGATCCGTGGGCACAATGTAGTGGTAGCGATTACATCGGCATCGACACACAGGATCGGAAAATAAAAATCTCAAAGCTCCAGACTTGGTCAGATATCTGTTGCAGATCAGGCCGCCTGGATCCTCTAGGTGCAGAGGCTGAGAGGATCCTCACATGCCAAAGTCATCGTGGTGCCGCTAATCCCCCCCACAGCCCACAATCTCAGCACTGACGTCAATGGGCTCTGCAAGATTTTGAGAGGGCGGCGCCGGCACGCAGTTCACGGATCCGGTGGCATTGGCCAATTTAACTGCAGGTGCCTCGTAGGAGCTTCTCCGGTGTTGTTTGAACGGAAAGGAGGCGACGGGGACGTCCAGACCCCTGTCTGCAACCCTGGAAGATGGGACGCGACAGGGAGAGTAAGCGGACAATTTGACAATGGGTTCCTGAGGAGTACCTGCAAAGGGCCAAGGATCTTCGTATCTTAACCATCCTGTTTCAGACATTATATAGCTCCCTACAGTTGAGCCTCCCGTTCTATGAACTCTGTTCTAGACTTGGAACTAATTACTTGTCGCAATCTCTCGTCGCTCCCAAGTTTCTCTCCACATATTTGGGTTCTGAGGTAGTTTTGGGGCCTCTCCTCTTTTCTGTCACCTTCATGTTTGGCAACCTGGAAGACGATTCATTCAACACTCCGAGAACGATCGCGAAGCGCAGCCAAGGCATCGGACGAGAGTCATGGATGGTGCTGCTGACCATCGCTCTTCGGGAGTCAAGCCGAGTGGAGCGAGCCATGCGCAGGCAGCCGTCGAGTTTACTCAGCAAGCCGAGAAGCTGTCACACCAGTCGACCCTAAGCCAAGACCATCCCGAGACGGTTGCGATCGAGGCCCAGTTTGTCACACCCCAGGATCCAGTTATTGTAACCGCAGATGGCAGTCGACTGCCTGCGGTGCCCCTCGAAGAAGCCTGGAAACTGAACGTCTTGAAGAAAGAGTTGGATGATGAAAAGCCACAAGACGCAATAGAGGAGGGGCAGGAGCTTCAGCACGCGGCTTCACAGCAAGGGCAGAATGGCTCGAGCAGCCAGCCCGTAGAACTGGCGCCTCAGACCGGCGGCAGGTCTATGCAGAAACAAACCGAGGGTTCACTCAGCAAATCGATGCCGCCTTCGCACACGAATCCATTGTTCCCACCACTGCCGTTGTATGGGCCGGCTTCATTGCTTCGAGATGCGCAGTGCTGGACATTCCGAGCCTCCTCGTTCTTCCTGAGCGCAGGGTTTCTGGGTGTAATTGTACTGGGCGCCCTATTTACAACCATACCGACGGTCGTAGCACATGGCTGGAAGCGACTGACACTCCAAGATCCGCACGCGGACCGCCCCTTCTACCAAGAAGAGCTCCGGAGGCAGCAGACACGGCGAGAAATAGAGAAGTCATGGAGACGCAGGAAGTCACAGGATAGAATCAGTGGGGACAGGGAAGATTCACAGGCCAACGACGGTTTCGTGCCTACCGAGGGCGGCCCCGATCGCGTGATTTGCGACGTCGGATACTATGCAAGGAGGGTTGGGTTGGATATGGAGAAATTTGAAGTTCAAACTGAGGATGGCTTTGTCATCGAACTATGGCACATCTACGACCCGAAGGAGTACACGAGATTGGACGATGAGAAGAGGGCACACCGCGGTCCAGAACTCTTCACGGGCGAGAGTCGGAAGAAGTTGAAGGACCCCAGCCAGAAGCGCAAGTTTCCGGTCCTACTGATGCACGGTTTACTACAAAGCTCCGGGGCATACTGCGTTAATGACGACGACTCGCTTGCTTTCTATCTTTGCAAGTCTGGATACGACGTCTGGCTGGGTAACAACCGATGCGGGTTCAACCCGAAGCACGTTCTCCTGGAATACTCAGACCCCAGAATGTGGTGCTGGAATATTCGGCAGATGGGCGTCTTCGACTTGCCTGCGCTGACCTCGAGAGTTCTCTTCGAGACTGGGTTCGAGAAGATCGGCCTGGTTTGTCACTCGCAAGGCACCACGCAAACTTTCGTGGCACTCGCCAAGGAGCAGAGACCAGAGCTGGGAGAGAAGCTCACAGTTTTCTGCGCTCTTGCACCAGCGACTCATGCGGGGCCCCTGATTGGAAAGATGTACTTCAAATTCATGAGGGTAATTACACCTGCCATGTTCCGGATCATGTTCGGCATACATGCTTTCATCCCGCTCATGATGTCGATGCATGCGATACTACCCGCTTCGATCTATGGCTGGCTAGGCTACAAGGTCTTCTCATTCCTGTTCGACTGGACTGACACGCGCTGGGATCGAGCACTGAAGGACCGCATGTTCCAGTTCGCCCCTGTGTACGTGAGTGCCGAGTCAATGCGCTGGTGGCTGGGCCGAGAATGCTTCGCGAAGCATAAGTGCATCCTGCAGACTAGGGAAGACTCGCGAGCTGAGGATAGAGAAGACGCCGAGACCGACGGACCCCTTGGGGACACGCAAGGGGAGCGGAGGGACTCTGCTGTGGCAGAGAGGCCATCCGGCGATCATCCTCACCAGAAAGGGAGGCCCACGGGTTCAACCGCTTGGTACAATGAGCAAGTCTGCCCATTTGCCTTGTGGGTAGCTGGCAGCGATGACCTGGTTGACGGGGGGAAACTCCTTCGACGCTTCAAGCGTGGGAGGGAGCCGCATGTCCAAGTCGTCCACGCCAAGACCATCCCAGAATACGAGCATCTAGACGTTATATGGGCCATGGACGCTGTAGACCAGATCTTTGGCGAACTTCGTGAAGTATTGTGGAAGACGTGCAATGTCAGAGACGAGTGTCGAGTTCCAAAGGGTTGCGAGGCCGTTGCTCCTTGGGTACCCGGAACCCCCAGGGAGAATGTTGACGATATCGAACAGTCGAGCAGCGATTCGGCGTGATTTCTTTGGCGTTTGGGATATTGGGATACCAGGATTGGGTCACGAGTATAAGCTTGACGACTCTACGATGCAATGAACGGAAAATATACACGGCACATATAGCGGGCAAATATAGTTCTAGAACAGTCACTAGCCGCACCGGCGAGTGGCCTCCTGCTTGCGCACAGCAATGAATAATAACGGAATCAGTGATGACAGCACACGATCTGCAGTCATATATAGTTGAAAACAGTGGGTGCCTCACGCGGCGCCAACCAAGGAAACTCTTTCCCTGTGAAATCATGGATCTCGGATGTATCTGGCGTCGCAGGAAGATAATGAGTTACCGAAGCGCCAACGCCCAGCAGGCCCCTAGGTCACTGCCGGCCTAACTTCCTAGTAAATGGTCTCTCGTCATGGCGAATAGAAAGTAACTAGAAGCCTGCAGGCTAGGATTGGAATTATTTCCGCCCTCTTGAGTCCCACCCCTTATTCAGAATCAAGATCATCCAAGGATCTCCTCAAAGTAGAGAGCTTGGGGGGAAAGCGAGCAAGCAAGCCTCAATATATAGGCAGGTTCCATACCTATGTAGGCATTCGAGAGAAATGTCCGGCAGCTCACTTACTCCGTAGGGAGATTTCTACTCGCGAATTATTCTGCATCTACAGTGCCTGGGTAGCTTTTCTCCAAATCATTCCTCCTCGGCCACCCGCGGATAACCGTTTGAGGAATTGGGGAAGAGCCCGCCAGTAGTTTGGGTGCAACGCACTATTTCCCCGCACCATCCGCACCAGCTGCAACAGCCAGGGCTGAATACGGTGTGCCGTCAACTAGCGAAGATGAGTAGGCACTAAAAGTCAGAGCGGGAGAGACGGTCGGCGCGATCCAGTTCCTTGCGATTCAGCAGTTCCCACATGCCTCGGTTCAGAAAACGAGAGTCCCCAGTCTGTTGTGTGCAATCAGATCAGGGCTGGATTAGCGGAACGGACCCCGGGGCCATTGGGGAATGGATGTCACCGGCACGGCACCTAGGTACCTAGGTAGTCTGTCATTGGGGCTTGTGACGTTCATGCGGCCAATTGCAGACCCCAGGTATTGGCTCGACTCCAACGGTGGGGTAACCCTGTCGGCTGGTGGGGCCTACGGCGCAATGGACAGGTCCGGCATCGTGACCTAGGTAGCCAGGGGAGGTCTGTACCGTGGGCGTGGTAGTAGCTGGTTCCGACGTCCTCCCAAGCCTTCTTGTTCCTCAACTCGGTCATTTGTACCATAGACTGCGAGTTTCTGGACGCAGCCCCTCCTGCCTAGATACCCATCCAGCACAGTATTGTACCGCAATCTCGACCTCATCTTGCAGCCATGGTTATCAAGTCGCCCCACGCTGATGTGGCCATCCCGAACGTAGATATATGGTCACTTCTCTTCGACAGAAAGAACAGGACGAGTGCCGATGATAAAGGTAACTACTGCTCAGTTCGGCTTGCACAAGCCCACCATCGCTTACACAAAGGCCAGAGATCTTCATCGACGGCGAGACTGGACGTTCGTACAACTTTGCCCAGCTCAAGACAGCCACAATTGAGTTCGGCAAGGGGCTCAAGTCGCAATGGGGCTTCAAGAAGGGTGATGTTCTTGGCGTCTTCTCTCCCAACACCATCGACTACGGTGCTGTAGTCTGGGGTGCTTTGTGGGCAGGCGGCGCCTCGTCGACCGCCAATCCCACCTACACTGTCAAGGAGCTGGCTTTCCAACTGAAAGACTCGAGGGTAAAGGGCGTGGTGACACAGCTCCCCATGCTTCCCGTAGTACTCGAGGCAGCCAAGCAGATCGGACTACCCGAGGACCGCATCCTTTTGCTCGGTGACGCCAGGGATTCCACGGGCAAGTTCAAGCACTTCACCGAGCTTCGAGACACCAGCCTCTTCGGCCAGTCCAAGACAAAGGTTGACCCACAGAAGGACCTGGCCTTCTTGGTGTACAGTTCTGGAACCACTGGTCTGCCAAAGGGAGTCATGTTGAAGCACTCGAATATCGTCGCAAACGTGATCCAGTCCACTTCGGTTGAGAAGCGCAGCGGTCTGCATTCGCTTGGAGGGCCGGATGGAAAGGGCGATAAGCAGCTAGCCGTACTACCGTTTTTCCATGTCTACGTAAGTGTCCCCAAGAGATCTGATCCGCCCTGGCAACAGTCTAACGAATATAGGGTTTAACCAACATTCTGCACTCCACGGTCTGGGACGAGTATCAAGCTATTGTTTTGCCCAAGTTTGAGCTGGAGACGGCATGCAAGCTGATACAGGACCACGGTATCACATTCGCCTACGTGCCGCCGCCCATCATTCTCGGCCTCGCAAAGCACCCTGTTGTCGACAAGTACGACCTATCCAGCCTCAAGTGGCTCAACTCGGGAGCAGCACCACTTACCCATGAGCTGATCAACGGAATCTGGGAACGCTTGACTATTCCAGTCAAGCAAGGGTATGGGTTATCCGAGGTCTCACCGGTTTCCCATCTGCAGACAGTCCTTGAATGGGCGAGATACAAGGGTGCTGTAGGCAAACTCATGCCGAACATGGAATGCAGGGTTGTCGACTTGGAAGGTAACGACGTTGCAGATGGCCAGGTAAGCTGAGACCAGCACCGATCATGGACGATCATTGGTTACTGACATGAGCCGCTTTACAGGAGGGTGAAATCTGGCTCAAGGGCCCCAATGTATTCGATGGTTATCTCAACAGGCCGGAGTTAGCCAACGATACCTTCAGTGCTGATGGTTTCTTCAAGACGGGAGATATTGGCTACGTCGATGCCAAAGGCAACTTCTACGTTACCGATCGATTGAAGGAACTGATCAAATATAGTAAGCTGCCCCTGCCCCTGCCTCGTATAACGACGCGGACCCATACTGACCCTCATGTTTCTACCCTTGTGTAGAGGGTTTCCAAGTTCCGCCGGCAGAACTTGAAGGTGTCCTTCTTGGACACTCGGACATTGTAGATGTCTGTGTGATCCCAGCGTTCGACAACGAGCGTTCTACCGAAGTTCCGCGCGCCTACGTGGTATTAGCAGCTGGCGTTGACCGTACCGAGGAGAAGGCAAAGGAGATTGTAAAATGGACAAGCACCAAGGTCGCCCCCCACAAACAGCTCCGCGGTGGAGTGAGGTTTATCGACGAGATCCCCAAGAACGCTAGTGGAAAGCTGCTGCGGAGAGTTCTCAAGGAACAGGCGAAGCAAGAAGACCGAGCCCAGGGGGCGAAGTTGTAATGTGGAGAGACATACGAGAAATCTTATGAGCCTTCAACCATTGCATTATTTGGTAGATTTGCTATGTGCAGACGGCCTCTCGAGGGGCCATTCTTCTAGTCTTTTGGTACAGTGTATAGATGATTGTACAAGGCAGTGTTGCGTTCGCCGCCGCAGATTTCTAAAAATTCCAAGTCTTGATGTACCAGAGTTCCCCGTGCGCCGAGTGTGTTTCTTTCGAGCGCCCTGAAACGTAGAACAGTTCCTCCCCAAAATATGATCAGCCGTGACGCAGACCAATCCTGCTGTCGGTCGGGTCGGCAGACTATCATCCATGATGATCTCGACTCTCGTCAGCCTGGAGACTCTTATAGCCATTACTGATGCCGTATAGCCTCAGAACGCTGCTATGCTTTAACCCAGCTTCTCGCTCTCCTCCAGAAGCTTCTCAACGCTAAACTCGCCATTGGCACCCTTTGCGAACTCCTCCAGTAGCTTCCTCTTCTCTCCGGACCCGGCTGCGCCCTCTGCGCCGTAAAATCGCTGCATCAACATGACCAGCCACTGCGCATCCTGAAGGTTAGCACCACGGCCATCAACAACGTTGCCTGCCATTAACGCCACCCCCTGGTTGTCGGCGACCTCGGGGTCCCAGTAATGCGTAACGCTGGTGTGCGGCTGAGCCCACTCGCCGCGGACCTTGTATTCTGCCAGCTGGGTGAACAGCACCGTGCTCGTCTTGGACTCTGCGTCAAACACCCACTGCAGAAAATGGATCTCGGCGCCGGCTTCCGCCCGCGGCACCGGCAGCACGAATGTCGGGTGCTGCCTCGCCGTCGCCTCCAACGCCTTGTATGTCGCCGCCGGTATCACGGCACACAGCGAGCTCGGGTTCGAGGCGTGCCGCAGCCGCCAGATGGCCGAGAGCTCCTTCACCGGCAACTCGCGGGCCTTGGGCAGGTCGAGGATCTCGGAGAGCGGCTTGATGCCCGACTTCCCGGTTGAGGAGGATGCTGCCGGGCGGGGTTGTTTCTGCTCGGGGGCGGTCGTCGTGCTCTCGGGCGAGGACTGCGATCGTGGGGGCGACTGCGCGGGAGGCTCTTCGTCAGCTATCAGGGCGTCCAGGCCCGGTACCGAGATCTTGCTCTTCTTTCTATGCTCCTCGATCTTGTCGGCGTAGGCCGCCTTTAGCGAACCAATGTCCTGGTGGCCCTCCTCCTTCGCCTTGCGGTCGAGCTTCTCCCGGTACTTCTCGGCAACATTGCGCGACGCTTGGGTTGTGGCGAGGAATCGCACATCGTGGACCTGGGCCCAGCGCCGTTGCTGAACCGGTGCGCGGAAGCTTGGGAGCTGTCGGCCCAGGAGGCTGCGTAGCGCTGGCGCTCGATGTGCAGCAGCCATGGTGTCTTTGAGCGAGGGACTGTCGAGGACCAATCCAAGAATCTATGAGCTAGGTCGTTGGATTGTCGAAGCGTCGCAGCCACAACGGTATACTTGGGGGAGACTTGGCTTGACTTGACGCAGCTGGCAGATCAGCTCTGAGCTTCAGCCAGTACCCGTTGGCGGCTGTCGGCGCCACCTGGCAAACAACTGGTTCTCTAGCCGTATAGACACACAACCAGACAAGCGACACTCAAGATGATTGGAGTAGAGAATACATCTGGACTTTCTTCTTGCCCGGAAATGTACGGAAGGTATGGTTGGGTACCTCTCTTTATCTGCTCTCCAATCATGTCAACACGCACTCACTTTCACGCCAGAAGTCTGTCGACACGGTTACTATGAACAGATGGAAGGGGTCACCAAGGGGTCGATGCTGGAGTTTGGCCTAGCTAAGAGGCGCCAAAAAGGACAGCTGAAATGCAGAGAACTATCGACATCTCACAAGGGCAGGACGAGTCGCATAAGTAGGTGAGATGCCTAAACAAGGTTGAGGTTGTAATTAGCGAACAAAGTGACAGTGGAATGGCCTATGCTAACACATTCGTCGCTTGCATCCGTAGGAACACACTCGGATCTCTCCCTCATACTGATTTTTCAATGATGCAGTTTTGCTGCGCACTATGTCCCTTTACTATTCCTCATCTATGTCGTGTTGCATTTGGATTTCTAGTCGTAATTAGTAACCCTTTCCTCCTACTATTCGAGGTGCTACTTACGCCAAAGTCGGTTTGCGGAATTCGATATGATCTCCGCCTTCGCGAAAAGCTTTTCTTCATACTTCTGCTCATCTTGTTTCTTGAGGCGTATCTTCATTGGCTGGGCCTTCACACTGTGTCAATTAAAACGTTATAATTTTGAACAGGATCAAGTGGATAACGAACCTGTATTAACACTGGAACAAGTTCAGACGGATCCGCATTAGCTACTGCGGCCACCGTTTTGAACCCATTATCATAGAAGACTCTGGCCGTCCGACTCTTGATGAATGTGATCTGAGCAAGTGCTAGCAAGTCAGCCCTGGCCCCAGCTTTCAGCCTGTCAGAGACGTGATCGAGGGCCGCTGCCATCATTCTGCCAAGTGAAACAACCCGTTAGTAACCCTTTACCGAGATAGGAAGTGTGCATATGCCTACCCCCAATCCATGTGTTCACAGAACTTTACCATTCCAGCCGCGAAACCTTGACATGTCTGGGCAAGTGTCTGCACGCTTCCTCGTGGCATATCATACTTCTGTGCAACTAGATGTATTGGAACCTCATTACAGAGATCGCGTAACTGCAGAGCGAGATAGAACCGAGTATAGATTCTTGATATCTCTCGCTCTCCCGGTGTTGATTCCTTCATGGTGCTCCCTTGAGCCCTGTCGTTTGTTAGTAGGGATTGTGCGCGTTGAAAGCGTTTCAAGGATGGAAAGGACCGACATCTTATTGATTATTGTAGGTTTAAGTCCTAGAAATGACATCACGCGGAGGTCACTGTCATCCAAGGTTTCCATCTCGTTTCGAAACACTTTCCAATTGACTGTTGTAGAAAAGTCTTGAACCGGCGTGAAGGTGTAGAGTGAATGCATTTCGCCGTCCATGACGAATGCTCTCAGCGCACGCTGCATTTCTCGATGGACAAAGGCACCATCTTCAGGCTCAAGAGCAGAGGCAACAACCGCCTTGCCAAGTTGCGTTACCTTGAAACCTGACTGCTCATCTTCTTGTATGAATTCCATCTCGATCAAGTCGCTGAGACTGGACTCGACATGCTCGCGAATGACGTCTGACTCGGCAGTGAGGCTGAGGAGCGTTTTCAGCAAGTAGTCATCCATAGAGTCCCGGCTTGTCGCCAGTCGTACCGCAATAATCTCTAGCAGGGCGCTGCAAATACAGTCAGTGTTGATAGAATAAGAAATAGGAGGGTCATACCGGCGTATCCTCTGTTTGTCTGTCATCAGACCACTAGAAAGTTGGGGCAGCTCAGCGTTCATGAGCTCAATGACGTCCTCAAGGTCATTCTTGCGACAACACAAGTAAGTTTCACCGACCTCATCCTTGCCTTTCCTTCCGGCCCGGCCGCGCATCTGTCGACTACCCAAGTCAGCTTGCGTCTTGACGCTGGATCACTATTGGACTCACAGCATGGACGGCCCAACAAGCTCGCGCCCCATCCGAGCGTTGTGGAGAATCACACGCCGGGCCTGTGTCTAATGCATAAGTTTTCAAACAAAAAGCCGTGATGCTGACTACGTACCGGGAGGTTGATCCCAGCAGCCAGACTGCAAGTAGCTACGATGACCTTCAAGATACCCTTGTCGTAGGCATCGGCGATGAGGTCTCGCTCTTCGGTGGTTAGGCCCGCCTGCTTCAATTAGCTCATGGACATGGTAAGAATCCATCTACACGGGACAGAATTACATCTAAACAATTATTAGCAGCCAACCTAGCCCCAGTCTCCGGGCAACATACGATGGAATGCTACACCCGAAGGTATTGTGTCGTCAAGCGCTGGATCTAATCCTGAAGGCAGGCTACGCAAGTCACCCATCAGGTCAGTTCTCTTTTCGAGTATGACTGGGTCGCCTCCATGAGCGTCATGTACGGCCCTAGAGACGATTCTAGCATCAAATTCGCAACCGGCGCGGCTACTACAGAAGATCAGAACGCCATAGCCGGATCTGACTGTTTCGCTAGCCAACGAAACCACCGCGTTCAAAACGGGGTCTTGTAGCTCCTTATGCGATGAGTTCGTGATCACTCTGATTGGCGGTACCATCAGTTCCCTTGGACCGGTCTGCCTATTCAATGGGGTTGCGGCAGTTAGGACTCCCTCCTTGGATGATGCCTCATAAATCTTGGAGTCGTAGACTAGATGTTCCTTGATGGGTATCGGACGGTATGCTGTCTGGTATCTGTGGGCTCCAAGCCATTGTGCGAGAACTTCGATGTTCTTGAGCTCTCATTAATATGCAGCAGTGAGGAATAGGTAGTGCTCATTAGAGCCGACTCACTGGCAATGTTGCACTCATTCCAACAATCTGTACCTTGTGTTCCAGGCTAAGGAGCTTTGTGGCACACAACTCCAACAAGTAGCCACGATGATCGTCGTCGATCATGTGCAGTTCATCGAGAACAACAGCTCTAAGATTGGCTATGGAACAGTCGTCGATGGCCGTGTTCATGAGTGTGTTGGCCTCCTTGGGCATCAGTCACGCATACTCTGTACTGGCCCTGGTGACTTACTTTTTCGAACGTGCAGACGCCAATGTCGAAGTCCGCCCAAGTTGCCCTTATTTTTCCGCCGCCAAAGAAGCCAACGACCCTGATGGTGTCTTCGTCTGCCCGTCGTCGCCATAAAGTCTCCTCCTTGCCCGGGAGAACTCCATCAGGTGCTATACGAGTAATACCTTGCACAACCTTGCGGAGCCATCGCACCTTTTCCTGGACCAGTGCAACATATGGCAAGATCAGCAGTGCTTTGGCATCGCGGCGTTCGAGAACCCTTTTCAGCATCAATACATCAGCGACTAGGGACTTTCCGCCACCCGTGGGGGCAGTATAGACCAAGTTTTTGGCCCCATTGAGCAGGCCAGGGCCCATTAAGCAGTGCTTCTGCCAGGGATAGATCTCATTGATCCCGAGGCTTCGTAGATTCTCCACAAGGCTCTCAGGAAGTGCATATCGAGGATGTGACAATGATAATGCTCTGTCCGTGCCCGCAGTGGGGGTGGCAGATACTACCTTGCGCTGCGAGTATTCAGAAACTTCTGGGGAGTTTCGAGGCCCCGACTCTGTGACCTCAATGGTGCTCGCCGCCAGTGTTGACACATTCCTGCCAAGTGAAGAAGCCCTTTGGAACGCAACTTTCTGCGATGCGTGGGTTGGAACACCGCTGTGAGTGTCAAGCCCAGGCGATGACCTCTTATTGCCGGCCAGTGGGGTAGTGCTGTAAGTTCCCTGGTGTTGTTTCGCTGTTTGTATAGTCGTTTGATGAAGGATTCCTTGACGGAGTTCCATGGCGAAGCTGATGGCCAAGCAAGTGAGCTAGCATGTCGAGCAGTGGAAAGGCTCCAGCAACGGATGACTGCACACAGACTTGAGGTTCCAGGGAGGACGGCGCCCACGACGGCCGACGGAAATTCTGGCAGTGGTGATTAGATGGTGTCTTCTGGGAGGATGGCCAAGATGATGCATCTGTAAGGCAACGCGCTGGAGCATCACGAAACACGCGCCAAATCACCTGACCTCTGTAATGGTGCCAGTGGGGTGTGGGGTTTGTGGCCTTGGCACGCCGCAACCTCTTGTCAAAGAGAGGCTTTTCGGCCTATGCATATCATTCATCCCGTTGCATATCTTGTGGACCTGGCTGCTCAATTGCTTCGCCGAGCTACAGCACCATGACGAGCTGCCCACGGCCAGTACTGTACATTGGAGTTTCTACTCAGTTGAATACCGAAATCGTTCTTTCAAGAACCTCAAGCGTCGCATGAAGTGCGTCGTGGCATTCATGTCTATCAATGAGACGAAAGAAGTGTAGTGACCGTAAGGGGGGCGAAATTACTTGTATTTAACCCTGTGCCTGGCGAGCGGCTCCGGGTGTTCTTGGTTGTGCCGACGACCTTGGAGGCTTGAAGCGAGGCTTCTGGGCGCAACCAAACAAACCCGCGTGCGGTGGCTCCCGAGGGTCGGCCTTGTCAGCGCTTCCATGGTTGAAGTCCCGCCGGCCAGTTTGAAGGTATGCTTTCAGTATCATAGTACAGTAGAACCTTCCACCTCTCGCCGAACCTCTCCCATTTAGCTGCAGAAAACTTGTGCGCGCCGCATCGTGTCATGGTTGCACTGGTGGCCACTGCCGGAGAAAAGGTGTTGTCTTCAACACTGAGCTATCCGATAAGACTCTACTGACGTCTCCTCTGGCCTGTTAAGCCTAGCACAGCCCGCACAACTCATCGTTGGAGCAATGGTCAAATAGGGCTTGGGAAAGTTGAACAACCGGATTCATCAAAGCGCAAGAGCTAGGAGCTTACAGATTGGCGATACATCGTCATACTGACATTGGCACCCAGTGATCATGCTGTGCGGCATCCATTTCTGGGGGCGGCCTTGGAATGACCAGCGCTGCTGGGCTCATGGGAGTCTGCCTAGATGAACTGCAGAAGACCATAATCTTGCAGTAGCTTCCGCTAACTGAGGTGTACGACCGTGCTCACCTTTCATGGTACCAAAGTAGCGTTGGTTATGTCAAACCTAGGCTCTTACGCAATTGAAGAGCATACGGCGGTTAGGTACATCTTTGAGAAATAGTCTGTAGCACACACGAGCGACGACTTCCATATTTTGTTGGGTGAGTATATTCATTGGTATGTGCTATATCCGGCATCGTCGCGTTACTTTCCCACTTTGATGCGGTATATGATTTTATTTCTGCAAGGGCCATACATCGCCGATAGGAGCGTTGACCATGGAATCACCTTAGAAGTAGTCTCTTTAGCGCATACCGACGCCGCCCAGTACAGTGCAGGCAACTGCGAGTGCTCGTCCGTTGTAAAAACACAGCTTCTGATGGCCACTCAACTGAACCTGCTTTTCACCAAGTACTTATTGGACCCCTTTCTTAGTGGCTCGAGCTCTCTACCTTTTCTAGCATGTAGTTAGAGATTTTGGCAGTGGATGGAAAAGTGCTGACATTCAGCATCCATGCATCCTGCCAAAGACGGGCCAGCGCGCCCGAGGTGACGTCCTTTGGGCGAAAAGGTGGGGGCATGGCCTCCCAGTCGTTTCGGCTTCTTCCACGTTGTCTCAAAAAGTCTGAGGCAGCGCTGGGTTGCCGGTTAGACCTCCAAAGGAACAGATGCCAATAATGGACCAATTCCCGTCTTGGGTCCCAAGGGGGGATCGGTTTTTCTCTGCGGAGAACGATCCAATACTGTAGAGTAAAGCTACCTAGTCGGACACAGCTGTCCCTACTGGCACCAGAAGAGTGTCCCCAATCATATGCGCAGGTTTCGTTTCCGCAGTGGAGTAATGATTTAATGGGTTACGATGTATTGGCCGTGGCACAGCTGTTGCCATCGCCGCTCTGTCTGCCCTATTGGATGCCATTCCACCGCAGAGAGCTTGCTTTAGTTGCGCGATCAGAATCACTCACTGGTGCTTCCACCCCAAGACCTCAACGTGGTAATGGGCGCCAAACATCGATTAGAGCACAGCAGCAGGCATAGTTAGTACGTGGAGTCTGCAGCCTCCTTTGTGCCCCGATCAATCAATGACTGCAAGTGTCATGTGGGATAGTACAGGGTAAGAAGCCTGCCGCTGACCAACCTAGACAGCTCCCGCCCAATTCGCACCTCGTGGTAAGTGCAGCGATCCCTAGTTTTCGTGTTCTGTTTGTACGCATCTCCTGTGCGGACCCTTCGCTCTTCGCGATACAAAAGAACGTATAGCCCTCCAGCTCTTATGCCGACCACAGCCAGGACAGGGTTTGCTTCCAATATGATGCGGCAGGGTGCAACATAGCATAGCAGTACAGTCGTCATGCCAGGTTCCGTGTGTCTGTATAGATGTGTGTGCGATATGTCGTCTGACAGAGTTGAGATCAAGTCGAGACTGTCGAACTGGGGAATTGTTGCTCGGCCGGGGAATCCAACGGTTGTACTTCAACCCCCGTCCCCAGCTTCTTCGCCTCGGTCAGATCCACGGATGGCCACGAGAGGCTGGTGTTATTTCCCGACGGAGGAGGCACCGCACCATGGAGAGGGGCTCATTGCTATCTACAGCCTGGATGGCCTACACATATGCGCGACGGTATGTTCTTCCCTCCATCCATGGACACAGCGGAAGAACGGGTTGGCCTGCAAGACAACAACCGAGACTAGCAAATGTGAAGATCTACTGTGAAGGCAGCTTGGGGCGCGCTAGGATAACATGAAGTCAAAAATGAGGGTGCAGCGACTGTCTGGTAGTCTGGCAGGGCGACAGGGGGGGCCAGAAACTTGGCCGGCGCCTCTTGTCGTGGTACACGCAGGGAGGCCCCGTGGCGCCAAAGCCACCTCCCGCGTCCCTGGATAGCTGGTATCGGTACCAGGCCGAGTCCCCTTCCCCCAAATCGACATATCCACCGACATCCACCTCGAATCGCCCATCCTCTTTCCCACCTGGTGTGGAGCTGGCAAATCGCTGCTCTGTACTGTACACCTGCATTACCCAGATACGTAACAGTCCTTGTTCTGCAGCCCTCCCCTTGGCTCGCGTTATTAGCAAAAGCCGTGCAAATCAAATGGAGGCTGGACCTACGTCCTGTCTAGAGTACTAGTCTAGCCTAGTCATTCGTTCATTCATTCAGTCCTTCAGTCACTCAGTGTCACCAGGTCCGCTGGCCGACCGACCTTATTTCCTGGCCTTTCGATTCCTTCGTCCTATTCGGGATCTGCCACTCTGGTCTGCTCTGCTCTGGTCTGCCCTGCCCAGCCCTGCATACCAGACCAGACCGGACCAGGCCATACCTCACCTAAGTTAGGCGGTGGTGCTGGTGCTGGTGCTGGTGCTGGTGCTGGTGCTGGTGACTGTCGGCCTTGCGAATGTGGGATGGGGATCTGATGCGTTGCCGTCGCCTCAGACCTCGCCGTGTCTAAGTTTCTACCTGCCCTCCCAATATCTCCCATCTCTCTCCTCTGACCCACACCCTTTCCCTTCTACACATTCAACCCGATTTCCTCTCTTTTGTGATATCTGGGGGTTTCGTCCCGTTTCCCCTCGAGACTTCGGTCCATTCTTCCTTCTTCACACCCTCCCCGTCCTCCGACCCATTCTTGTCCTTTGATACCCCCACACGGCGCACTGCCCCAGGCTTCTCTTCAAGGTCTGGTGTTCGTCGTGACCGGCCGCGGTGCCACCAGCGAAGCGCTCGTATGTGGAATTCGCAGCGGCCAGCACCGATTGTGTATGAGAGCATCAAACCTGCTTCACGTGCAACCCGGTCGGGTGTCTCATGGATATTTGCTCCCAAGACTTGACTTGTCACCGCGCCATACTTTTTTGGTGTTCCGCCTCGTTGAGTTGCATGCGCCGCCATCGCTAAACGACCAGTATGGCCCCGAAATCCCACGCTGCGAGCGGCGCCGACGATCAGCCAAATCCTGCGTCATCCTCGTCAAAGGACACCCCAGATGCAGGCACGCCAAACCCCAAGCCAGACTCCCGCAGCGACAGCCCTTCGACAGCGCAACTCGCCACCCAGGACACGCCTGAAGATGCATCGGGATCAGAGCAACTGACCAAGGCCACGTCTGCCGGTGGCAACGCTCTCGCGAAAGACGCCATGTCGGGGCCCTCGCCCTACGGCACGCGCTCGCGGAATCGCGGCCAACCCCGGCCCAATTACGCAGAGGACAAGGACGCAGACACGGACATGTTTGACGCTCCCGCCGAACGGAAAGCCGAGGAGCCCAAGAAATCATCACGACAGTCTACCAACGGGGTCACAGAGTCGCCACGAGCCGGGGGCCCGGTTCCACGCAAGGCTGCATCTACGGAGGACAGCAAGGGAGGCAATGCACCTGTCTCGAGCGCGAATCAATCGGGAGCAGCCACTCCCGCCGCTTCGACGACGTCCACGTCGACCACATCAAAGAAGCGCAAAGCGACTGCACAACCGTCTACAAATGGTGCCCAGCCCTACTCGACTGCCGCAAGTGGTCAGGTTTCAGCTAGCACGCGACGAAGTGCTGCGCAGACGTCGGTGACGGGCACCCCAGGCTCCGGTTACAAGGAAACCAACATGCTCACTTTCGACCTGTGTGGTGCAAGACCTAAAGATGGCAAGATGGTCGCAGATGACGGAACTGTAATTGAGAAGAACGGTAAGTGCGGACGTTGCGTTGTAATGCGTTGCGCGCCGTGCGCTCCATGTCGAGCGAAGCAACGATTGAGTGTCGGGCGGTTGCTGACGTCCTCCGACAGACCATGTGTACTTGGTGTGTGAGCCGCCTGGGGAGCCATACTACTTGGGGCGCATCATGGAATTCCTCCACGTGCAGAACAACAGCTCCAAACCGGTCGATGCATTGCGGATCAATTGGTATTATCGGCCCAAGGACATTGGCAAAAAGGTCAACGACACAAGGCTCGTTTTTGCGACAATGCACTCAGACGTAAGTCCTCTGACGGCGTTGCGCGGCAAGTGCCAGATCCGTCACAAGGCCGAGATCCCCAACATGGACCAATATCGGAAAAGCCCCGACTGCTTCTGGTTCGAAAAACTCTACGATCGCTACATCCAGAAGAACTACGAGGTCATCCCGTGTTCTCAGATTGTGAACGTGCCCGAAAAGGTCAAGAAGGTGCTCGATGAGAGATGGAAATATATCTTGGTGGAACAGGGCCGCTCCAAGGAGTTCACCAGTGCGGTCAAACTGTGCAAACGGTGTAGTGGATACTGTGCCAAGTAAGTGACGCCAAGCAACCCCTTCTCTGCCCTGTGACCTGTGACTCGTCGAGAGCTTCCCGCCAGACCCTCTGGATCGTAACTGGACACTGACCGTGGCCAGCAATGACTCCGTTGACTGTGCAGTCTGCCAGCACACCTACCATATGAACTGTGTACGGCCGCCTCTGGCGAAGAAGCCGTCACGTGGTTTCGCATGGGCTTGCGCGGCCTGCAGTCGCGCACAAGAGAGGAAACTCGAAGCCCGCCACACACCCAGCCTCCTTGACCCCCACCATGACGCCGAAGAGGAGGAGTATTGGGACGAGGAAGAAGAGGATCGTCATGCCGATACCAATCGCACCAGCCCTGCCGATGGGATAGACGACACCCACCAGCCTGCAACCGCAGAGCAGATACACCATGCAAGTCTATGGCCGTACCGCTACTTGGGCCAGCACTGCAAGCCCGAGGATGCATTGGACTACGATGACCGCATATATCCGAGGGCTGGTTCCCGCCTAGGTCCTAAACATCAAGCACCGGTTCTGTCCTGGCCAGGTCGTCCTGTGAAGCTGGTCAAGCCACTTGATCTCAAGAGTGCGCGCAAGGATGCAAAAAACAACAAAGAACTTCAAGCCGCCATAGAAGCCGAAAAACTGGCTCGAGAAACCCGTCCCAAGTGGGTTCAAGATGAACCTCTTGGATATGTTGCCCGTGGGGAGGACTTTGACGACGATGACCCCAGGAACACTGCACAGCTCCTCTGGAAACCGACCAACACCGTCGACAGCTCCATTACCGACTCAGATATTGACAAGTATATGGACACCGCTTTGGCCCTTGCACCCACACTCGGCGTGCCTACCAGGTCCACCAATCTCCTGGATGTAGCGCGCGACGTATTATTCCAGACGAATTTTGATACGGTCAAAGCTCTGAAAAAGATTCCCAAGGTAGACCGCGCCGAGTTCAAGGAACCCCAACTGTCTGCCACGGAGTTGAAAAAGTTCGAAGAGGGCGTGGCCAAATTCGGATCCGAGCTGTACCTTGTGAAGAGATACGTGAAAACACTCGATTACAGAACCGTTGTTCGGTTCTACTATACCTGGAAGAAGACCGAGCGCGGAGTGCAGGTGTGGGGGACATATTCTGGAAGGAAGGGCAAGAAGGAAGCTAAGAAAATCGAGGCTTCCGCGAGTAAATTCCAGGACGACGTTGCCGACGACCACGATGACTCTGCCTTCGATGCTGACAAGGCTGTGGACCGGAAGCGGAACTTTACATGCAAGTTTTGCAACACTAAGAACTCGCGGCAATGGAGAAGGGCACCTCACGTTTCTTCGCCCTTGGTATCAGAAGCGTCTGGGAAAAACAAGGACAAAGGCACGCAATACATTGTTGCGCTATGTCGGCGGTGTGCGGAACTGTGGCGGAGATATGCGATACAGTGGGAAGACGTGGAAGAACTCGCAAAGAAGGTTGCTTCTGCCGGTCGAACCTGGAGGCGCCGGGTTGACGAGGAACTACTCAAGGAGCTGGCAGCTGCTGATGAAATGATGAGTGCCACGGTCTACAGCTCGCCCAGTCCATCTGCACAGGCTGCCGCATCGGTCTCCCAGCCTACCACTTCAGATCCACCTCGGAAGAAACTCAAGGCACTTGCGGACAGGGACGCTGAGAATAATGCCTCAGATTCCGGCAGTGTTTCCGGGGTTACCACCGCGAAGAAAAAGGAGAAGGCAGTCGAGAAGCCTGCGCCTCCACCGGTGCCAGAGATCCCGAAGCCTCGCGTGCTACCTTGTGCAATTTGCACCCAGATGGATCCGGCTGGCGAACAAAATCTCCTGTCTTGCAAAGAGTGTCGACTTAGTGTACACCGCAAGTGCTACGGAGTCGTTGACAACCGTCATCCCGGTAAATGGATCTGCGACATGTGTCTCAATGACAAAAACCCCCAAGTATCTCTGGTAAGTACAGAACTACTCTTATGTGCCTTGAGGTCCCCGCACAACTGACACTGTCCTGCAGGAATACAAATGCGTTTTGTGTCCCATTGAGCATACAGAGCACGACTTCGTTGAACCGCCGAAGATGACGACCAACAAGAAGAAGACAGAGAAGGACAAGGAAAAGGAGCGCACCGACCGCGAAGTTGCGCAGAAAGCTGCAGATTACTATCGCAAGAAGCAAGAAGATATGAACCGGCCTATCAATCCGCGGGAACCCCTGAAGAGAACAGCCGACAACAACTGGGTCCATGTCACCTGTGCCATTTGGACTCCTGAAGTAAAGTTCGGCAGTGCCAAAGCCTTGGCTCCTTCAGAAGGCATACCATCGATTCCTCGAGCGAGGTATGATGAAGAGTGTAAGGCTTGTAGACGGAAGGGAGGTGCGTGTGTGGCTTGCCATCAATGCAAGGCCTCTGTTCACGTCGAGTGTGCCCGCCAAAGTGGCCACCTTCTCGGATTCGAGGTAACCCCTGTCAAAGGATCTCGTCGCGATCAGTTCAACATTGTTTCGATCAACGGGGAGACGGGTGTAATGTCCGCTGCGGTATGGTGCAAAGAACACATCCCTACCAAGACGGTCGTTCACCGCATGCACGACATTGTCAACCCACTCGAGTTTGAAGGCAAAGATTCGCCTGCTCCCAATGCACTGCAATTCTACGTGCAGAATTTTAAGCAGGCAGATCTGGCACTTACAGGCACTGTCCGCAAGGCTAATCTCATCGCAATGGCAACAAAGACGCCTGTCGTCACAATGGCACCAAGCTCTCACAGGCGCGCTTCGACCGCTGCCACCGCCACCACGAATGGAGCCGGTGGCCCGAGAGCTTCTTCGGTCGAGAATACATCAGAGGGATCAGCAGCCTCCCCACAGAGTGGAGACAAAGTATGTATAACTTGTGGTGTCGATGTCAGCCCGAAGTGGTGGCCCATCGAGAAGAGCCAGGAGAAGGCTCTTGTCAACGGACACCTAGGGAGCCTCGGGAGCGAAGCGCAGAAGTTTGTCGAGCAGAGGAATTTCCAGTGTCACAAATGTAAAAAGGCCAACAAGAAGCCTGTGGCCCACGTTCCGCCGCCGACCGAAGTAGCACCTCCGGTTGACCCGGTCAAGCCTGCGCCTGTGCTGGCAGCGGCCCTGAGAAGTCCCCCGTCAGCCGCGCCGGAACCTAGGGCAACTCCTACGCCATATTCGTCGTGGCCACCTCCGAGCCAGACAGCGGCGCCTCCTCCAGCGCCCTCTGCTGCCGTCGCTTCTGCTGTCGTCGCACCCACCTTGCAGGCGCCGTTGGCTGGACCTCCGCCTCCGCCGCTCCCTTTGAACGCTCCCCACCCCGGACCGAGCCCCATAGCCGCACCTATCACGCAGCCAGCGCCTCATCACTATCCTCCATCGAGCGCAGCTTATAGTGATTGGCATCGCAACACAACTCAACGCTCCCCACCGATTCATCAGATGAACGGGGGCCCTGGAGGCCACAACGCTCTTCACCCGAATCATCTTCGCGATCTCCGGCCACCGCCGATCGCCACCATTTCTCACCACCAGGCACCACCCCTCCAGCATGGGCCTGTAGTGCAGCCCCTGGTGAATGGCATTCCTCCTTCTTCGCCTCGTCGTGCGCCTCCGGTGCAGAACGGTACAGCGCCGTATTTGCCGTCATACCATCATCCGACCCACCATCCGCTTCAGAATCTCACCAATGGCGGACCCCCGCCTCGAGCTGGAGAGCGCTCTTTCTCTCAGGGGCTGCTGGGCCAACGGTCGCCCTTCTCAACTCCTCACGGCAGCCCACCCATCTCCAGAGAAGGGCTGTCTATGACGCGGGAACCGAGTCTGTCGGCTAATCCGCCTGCACGGCCGAGCGATGGTCGACCAGCTAGCGGTGCAAGCGCAAGCCCCTCGCTACGTAACCTTCTATCATAAGCAGTTTACAATCGATTTGCAGTGTCAGAACTGTTGAGGGGCGATTGGGAACACGTCCCCGAAATGGAAATTTGGCGTTAAGGGCATTGGGCAAGGATAGCATGGAAACCTGTCGTCGATACCGAACCGGGAAAGGAGTTTCGTGGAGCGTTGTTATTTCTTCGTTGTACAACAAGCACTTCGCCTACTTACCCGGATACGTTGTCAGTTCTACGTCAGGAAGCAAGACCTTGTGGGGGAATAGATCTAGCAAGGGATACGCGATTATGTAGGCGCTACAATAGATAAAAGGGGGTTTAAGAACCCTGATGAAAATAACTTCTTAAAGGCGACTGTGTTTTAAACTTTGTCCAGATCGTGATACGGGCGAAGTAAAAGAAGAATCAAAAGGCAGGCAAATACTCGCCACGAGGACCCCAGAGTCAATCGGCTGTCCTCACCAGCCACCTAAGTATGTTGCAGATAAACAGGGTGGGGCGCGGAGGCTCGATATAACTAATGGTGGTTAGAAACCTCCGACTTCATATCTCCTCAGCCGTAGGCAATAGTGGAGATCTATTCGAAAGCCTGTCATTTGGCCATCTTCTTGCGGCCTGGAGCATCACGAAAACATCATCACTACTGCAGGACTGGAAGACAATAAATACCCTTATTATACACCATGAACGACTCCAAATTTATTGCGATAGCCCTCGAAGAAGCCCGGCTAGGGTTCGAAGAGGGCGGCATCCCCGTATGTTACTGTTACCACATTCCGTGAATTATCCACCAGCACCACAGCCGCGGACCATATCATGTGCTGAGTGACGCTGCTTTCAGATTGGAGCGGTCCTTGTGTCCAGTGAGGGAAAGATCCTCGGACGCGGACGCAACCAAAGGGTCCAGGAAGGGGTCCCGATCCTGCATGTGAGCTACGCCACCCACACATCTTCGACTCTCCCAACTCACCTCAAGAAAACTGTCTACCCTGGAGACACGCGCAACTAATGTTGTTCAAATGGCCAGGGCGAAACCTCGGCGCTCGCAAATGCGGGCAACCTGCACCATTCGTTGTACAAGGGCGCCACCATGTACACGACTCTGTCGCCCTGTGATATGTGTGCGTAGTGGTCCGGTGGAGAGCTCTACCTGGAGATGACCAGTTCCCGGCTGACCGCGTTTGAACCTACAGGCACCGGAGCTTGCCTGCTCTTTGGCATCTCCCGCGTCGTCATTGCCGAGAACAAGAACTTCGTCGGCGGGGAGGCGTACCTCAAGCAGCGGGGCGTCGAGGTGGTCGTGCTCGACCACGCCGAATGCACCGAGTTGATGGAGAGGTTCATCCGGGAGAGGCCGGAGCTCTGGTATGTGTAGGATGGCTCTGCCGGCGCTTTTACGAGGCCGGTTCCCCTTCTGCGCGCGTGAGTGCTGACGAACGCCTAGGAGCGACGATGTTGGTGGTAAGCCGAAGAAATGAGAGGGCTAGGGAGAGCCGCCTATCGATCTCAACAGGGTCGCGCGGTTTATTCCGTTCGAGCCTCGAGGTCTATCAAAGGGGGGATGGTAAACGTGAAAAGCCTGTGCGTGTAGTTGAAAGGTGTCAAGCAGGTATCTTGAATATCCATAGATAAGAACGATAAATGGGAGAAAGTGTGTTTGTCGAAAACTATTCATACAAGGCGATACATGATTATATCGACAGGCTCACGTCTTGTTGATACGCTGTTTACAATACTGAATCAGGTATCGAATCTCGTCTTCCGCTTTCCCGTACTGGCCGCAGGCGGCTGGACACTGGGTGTTGCATCTCGACTACTTGGACCACTAGCTCCCACAAATTCAACTGGACCTCCTTTCGCCCTCGCCTTGGCCTTCCCAACTTCAGTCTGGCTCTGGCGCAGCTGCTCCTTATACGCTGCTTTGGGAAACACGTTTGGCTCCCACAGATCAGGTGCCAAGGTCGTGCTGTACTGACCCTTCTGGTCGACCTCGGCAAAGTTCAGTAGCTTGTCCATGAGGCCGGGGTTCTTCAGCGCCGAGGACTGCGCAATCTTGGAGTTGAAGTGCACGCCTTTCTTCTTGAGTTCGAGGAACTGCTCGAACTTCTTGTTCGTTCCGGGAGGAGGGGACCCCGGAGGGGAGGGTGGAATGTCCATGTTGGGCACGCTTGGGAGGGTGAGGTTGCGTAGCAGAGCGCGGTTTGCTGAGTAGGGCGACCCGGGAGGCAGCGCTGGTGCTTCGTCCTCCATGGGTGCATCCTCCAGGGGAGGGAAGCTGGGATTTGATTCTTCTGCCGGGTGTAGCACGGGCCCAATCATGCCGGACTGCTCAGCAGAGGGAGGCGCAGCGTGAGCTGGCCCACGCGGTGGTTTGACATCTGCCTCGCATGAGCTGAGATGCTGCTCAGAGATGGTGGGTTGATACTTACCCGGGCCTGTGGTGGGTTCGGCCGGGACATGGACTATCGGCTCGGACGACTGGCCTCATTCGAATCAGTGCTGCCCGCTGCTCTACGCTGGTGCGGGATGAGGTCTGCTTCCAATTCCAAAAGGGCACTCGTACCTCTTGAACGGGCTGGGACACAATCTCGTCGGTCTCTTCGTCACTGCTCTCATAGCCTACCAGCCCGGCCATCGTCAGCGAGGACGAGGATGCCCTCGGTATGCGAGCGCGAGACGTCGGTAGACTGGCAGCTACAGATGCGATTACAGCTACAGCTATTGTTTGTGGCCTTGACCACGTGTGTTGGAGGAACGTATCGTATCGTATGTAGCTATGGCCCAGACCAAGCAAATCGAGTCGGTGGTTGGCGATTAGCTGTTGAGATCCTGTCCTGTCTCTCAGCGTCTCTCTTTGCACCTCTCCAACTTTAGCTGGCTGAGATCTACCGTAAGTTAGCTGCTGTACCTCGCTCAATCGCAGCGGCGACGACCCGCACTGTGAGGCGGCACTTGGCACTTGGCTTCCATGGGCTTCAGGCCCAGGCATAGGGGTTAGGGCGGATCGGGATTGGCCCGGGGGAGCTCCGACCCACTCTGCAAGGCAACGGACAAGCTGCATCAGCGCCAGAGCACCACCAGAGAGCGCCAGCAGCACCAGCACCAGCACCCGACAGCTTCGGGCCAGCCTCACCTCACTCCAGTCACTGCCACTGCCGCTGCCGCTGTCCAAGCTCCCGTTTGGAACCTCATAGAGACAGACCCTCACCCTGCCACAAACCCATCTCGGCACCTTGTACCTCTAGCGACCACCTACCCATCCACCACCACCACCACCAGAAGCCGCCCGACCCACGCTCAAACCGCAACCTCATCCGACTGCCGCCACAGTCATCATCATCCTCCCTCCCCGCCGATCGACGAGCCGGGCTCCCCTCCATCCGTCCATTCCCACACATCCGCCATGGCCTCCGACCAAGAGCGGGATCATGCGCTCCAGTCCCTTCGGACCAAGCTCATCGAGTCGCGCGAGTGGGAGGCAAAGCTCAAGGCCTTGCGCTTAGAGATCAAGGGCCTGGCCAAGGACTTTGACCAGACCGAGGAGAACATCAAGGCCCTGCAGAGCGTGGGCCAGATCATTGGCGAGGTGTTGAAGCAGCTGGATGATGAGAGATGTCAGTACATCCTGTCCCCCCTCCTCTCTCCCCCGTCACGGTGACCTCGCCCCGGCTTCGTTTCCCAACTCCCATACCCCTACGAACGGTGATACTGACCCGGTTTCGTGTGGCGCACAGTTATCGTCAAGGCCTCATCAGGCCCCCGATACGTTGTCGGCTGCCGGTCAAAGGTCGACAAGGTCAAGCTGAAGCAGGGAACGCGTGTGGCGCTCGACATGACAACACTGACCATCATGCGCATGCTGCCGCGCGAGGTCGACCCTCTCGTCTACAACATGTCACTGGAGGATCCGGGCCAGGTCAGCTTCGCTGGTATTGGTGGCTTGAACGACCAGATTCGAGAGCTGAGAGAAGTCATCGAGCTGCCGCTGAAGAACCCGGAGCTCTTCCTCAGAGTCGGCATCAAGCCGCCCAAGGGTGTCTTGCTTTACGGACCCCCCGGCACCGGAAAGACACTTCTGGCGAGAGCCGTCGCCAGCAGCCTCGAGACCAACTTCCTGAAGGGTACGCTCCTCCTTTGCTCATGGCTACCGCCTGCTTCGTATTCACTAACGCTGAAACTTCTCTTCTAGTTGTCTCGTCGGCCATCGTGGACAAGTACATCGGAGAGTCGGCCAGGCTGATACGAGAAATGTTCGGCTACGCCAAGGAACACGAGCCCTGTATCATCTTCATGGACGAGATCGACGCCATCGGTGGACGAAGATTCTCCGAGGGCACCAGTGCAGATCGAGAGATTCAGCGCACGCTGATGGAGCTCCTCAACCAACTCGACGGGTTTGACTACCTGGGCAAGACCAAAATCATCATGGCGACCAACCGACCCGACACCCTGGACCCCGCCTTACTCCGTGCTGGACGTCTAGACCGTAAACTCGAAATCCCGTTGCCCAACGAGGTCGGACGCTTGGAGATCCTGAAGATCCACGCCTCTGGCGTGGTCACGGATGGAGACATCGATTTCGAGAGTGTGGTCAAGATGAGCGACGGCTTGAACGGTGCAGACTTGCGGAATATCGTCACAGAAGCGTATGGTCCCCTTGACTGCCCACGAACACACGAAGAAAGTAAATGACTAACACGTGACTTAAGTGGCTTGTTCGCCATCAAGGACTACCGCGACTCGATCAACCAAGATGATTTCAACAAGGCCGTAAGAAAGCTGGCAGAGGCAAAGAAGCTCGAGGGTAAGCTTGAGTATCAGAAATTGTAGGAGGGGGGTATCACCAGGAGTCAGGGACGAGCTGATATTCAGGGTTACGGACGGCAGCCAGATATGACAGTTAGGGAGGCATGGCTACGCATAATGAAACCTCGATGTAATACTAAGTGTAAACTACGAGGTCAGGTTGCGCCTTCCCCTCTTTCCGCTGTACAAGTGTAAACTACCAACACAGGTTACGCTTCCATTCCGCTGTGCTATTTTGGCCGCCTCGAGAGACCTTGGGACTGTCAGTGCTGTCAGTGCTGTCTCGGGCGAATTTCTGAATGCTGTTAATATAGAGCAGGTGATTTGGACAGCTTCTGACGTAGACTCTCTCTTTTTAAGTTGTGATAGAAGTTGAACAAATGTTTCAGATAGGCTCCGACTTATCTTACCATTCTTTACCTCTTCTTTTTATGGCTGGTGTGACGGTGAGTCTTCGGTGAGGGCTGGCCAAGTGAATACTGTGGCCAAGTATATACTAGCGCCGGCTGCTGCAATTAGAGCCAGCTGTCCTCAGCTGTCTCCACTTTCAACTATATATGCAGAAGCGCGTGAGCATGGCTTTCTATAGCTCGCAAGACCGCGACAGCTGGTAATAGTGCTTTGTATCTTTCCCCGTTGACACTCTTCACTCTGTAGTTGTCTCGAAAATATCGTGTGGACCTTTTCGCAGAAGAGTGACCGCCTGCTGATGATGACCGCTATTACTCCATCGCTACTGAGTATACGATTCAAAGTAAGCCTGTTACATTCTCTCAACTAGGCACAACAAAGGGCTGGGCTGCTTATTGGTCTTCGCAGCCTACCATGGGCGGCGACAAGGCTTTCTATAAGAAGGGTCGATCAACTGGTTTCGATAGTCTAGCATGGGTGTTTGTGTCAAACACCGTCGCAATTGTGGATACTTCTGGAGCTGGTAGCGGTGAGGTAGAGAACCTCAACGCGAGTGGGCACTAACGACAACAACAAAAACAACACTCTCGAGCCCCCAATGGTGATCCTAAGAGTACAGCACCGGTCGCGAACATGATTCCTTACGACGCATGAAAGGACAGGACCATGAGTAGATGGGTTGGGCGCCGTACACTATACTGTCCCAATATAGCACATGTGGACGTCAGTTTGTTTGGTGTGAACATCCCTGAGGACATCAATGAGAGCCCGAGTGGTTTTGATCGTGGCAACTGGTTGCTGTGGCGCCTGGCTGCCTGCACAGCTGAGGCCGTATCGTGAGTTTACTGATGGCGGACCAGTTCAACAATTGTGTCGGCGAGCTAAGGCCTAGAAGGGTAAGGCCGGTCTTTCGGCAGGACGTTATCGCCAGACAAGCCACCGCCTTCTGTTCCAGCCCTGCCACCCCTAGACCCTAGTTTGCCTAGCTGTGCAATACCTGTACGGCGGTAGTCAAGCTGACGAACAGGATCGACAAGCTTTTGTGCGGTAGCCATGCAGGTCCTCGGATTGGCCAGGCAGGAATACATGAGTGACGCCGGCATCGTCATGAGATGAAAGATGAGAGGTGATACTGTACACTTCACAAACATGATCTGAGCAAAGAGGAAATGAGAGTGGTCAGATTTCACGTGCGGCCCTGCGTGTAGTCACACAGTCCCCCAAAGGAGTGTTGTTGGTCCCTGTTCCCTCCCCGGAGGAACCTGCATTGATGTCGTGATGAAACTTCGGGGGATGTTTTGGTGACGATAGGGCACGCCGATGGCCACCCTTGCCATCTGACATCAGAATTGTTCCCGAAGCATGCAGGGTCGGTGCTAAGGCAACTAGGGGTGCTATTCTTAGGGCGCTAGCACTCAGAACTAGCTGCGTGTGCCCCCTATGTTTGAGGCTGTACCAGGGAATTCTCGCATTGCGAAGGGTGAGCCGAGAGCGCTGCAGGCAGGATGCACCTGGTCGCGCGGGCGATCCCCACGAATGGAGCCTCCTTTTTCTCGTGGTGGGCAAGGTGGGAGAGTGCGCTAAAGCAAGGCACCGGGGGCAGTGAACACGACGTAGGGAAGACGGGAACGACGTCAACATGGCCGGATGGATAGGGGTTAGCATCGGAAGCATTGCCTAGCAGAGCACACAGGTGCCACCGCGGACCTCGTATGACCTACCCTGGGGGCCTGGGGACGGGAGCTTGTCCTGTATCTGCTGTAGACAGGCGTCGCGCGGTGCGCATGGGAAGAATTATGAGATCTCAGCCGGCACGGCGTTAGCCCACGAGATCTGCACGCGGATACGGGAACAACATTGGGGACCGGGTCCCCCCTTCTGCTCGTAATAATTAAGCGTTGGGACAACAGACTTTTCTGGAGCCAGCAGTGGCCAACTAGCTAAGGTAAGTGTCCTCCAGGCGGGATGCCCACCAGCCACCGTCCCACGTTGGACTTTAGAAGCCTTTGGAGGGAAAACCTATGCTAATGGAATCCGATTAGTGAGACTAGAATCAGCTGATGCAAGAGACGGGCCGGATGCTGCAAAGTAGGCAATTCCTTCTGCCGGCGGCTCGAACCCAGTCACTGTCGGTGGCATGGCATTGTTGGTATCCAGTTGGCGGCGAGCGGCTACCGGAACGCTGAACGAACTACCAGGTTACCACGGTACAGCCATGAGATTTCCGAGCATGTGCATGCCGTTGGTCGTTGTTCAGAGTTCGGATGGATGACGATGATCCACAGCGTCTGATGCTACCTGGGTACCTATGCGGACCAGGGTTGCTGCCCAGCTCCGGCAGCGCCACGATGTGCAGCGCCCCCATCCTGGAAACATCCCATCGCTGGCGAAGTACCGGCGTGTACGGCCCCCAGGAGCTAGCCCGTCTGTCGCTGGCCCTGCCATGGTCAACAACAGGGCGTGAGCGGTATTCGGAGTTGTCTTGAATCTCCATTGGCGCGAATACCAGACCGGGAAACCCAAGGGTTTCTACACAAAGACATCATCGTCTTTGAATTAGAGGATTAAAGTAAAACTACCCTTGTCCTTATTGGCATGGCACCGTTAGGTACCCCTGTGCTTGAGATAGGTATCCGTGTCTAGGTACCTGTATCTAGGTAGTTATGCTCTCAGCGCCGACGTCAGCTCCTGAGCTGAATGGAGGAGGGCTGGCTGCGGTGGAGGCGGTAACGAGGCGGCCTTGTGAGTTAGGGCAGCATGTGAAGGGGGCCCAAGAAAAAAAAATGAAAGCCCAAGAAGTGTCACTAGGACAAAGAGTTGAATAATAACACGAGTCAATTGCAGCCGCGCAGTGGATATCAAGCCGCGTAGACTCTTTGAAGGGTCAAAGTCTAATGAGAATAGCCCGTGGACTGTGTAAGCTGGTGTCGGTAGGGGAGAAAAACAGCTCTCTGGTGTTGGTTTTCTCAACGTCCAATGGCAGGCCTAGATTCGCACCACAGTTACCGGGGTCACCGCCCTTCTCTACATAGTACACAACACGACAGTATGTACGGTAGGTAAGTAACTCAACTCGTACCCTTTCTTCACCTGGGCGTGCTTGTGAGAGACAGAGTTAGGTCCTCTGCTCGGGCCCTGTTGTTTCCAACAAGATGGCCCGTCATTGATCCGGACGTACCAGATGACGGGTTTGCACTTGGTCTAGAAGACAAACCGTGCAGGCCACTGGGAGGCCCGAAAAGCCAGCCTCAACCTGAAGCACTCAGCAGAGGAGGAGAAGGAAAAGAGCGTCGGGTACGAGCCAGGTACATGGGGGCTTGCAGGGATGCATGGGATGGGCGGGGGGCCAAGCCTGGCCATCACCCACCTTGAAACCCCATCAGCGAGCTCGTTGGCGGGCTGCTAAAGGGGAGCGAGCCATGAGCGTCGACACAAAGAGACTCTGGCAATGGCACGGCTCCCCGCCATTGGAGACGAGATTCATCAAGGCTCAAGACTCCGCGCTCAAAGCCCATTAAATACGCCCGCCGCCCGCCCCCGTCCAGCTTTGTGCGAACTTTGATCTATTCTGCTCCCTCTTCTACTGCTGTCATCCGAACTCAATCCGCCCTACTTTCGTTTTCTCTTGATACCCTTCCTTGCCCCGAGGAAACAGCAGTGGATTAGACTGCGCTGAGCAAAACACTCCCACCTCGCCGACTCTTTTCCACCCGTCCACCCGCCCATACCCAATTTGCAGCCAAAGCTCACTTGCCAGACCGCCGACAACATGTGGTACGTAGAACAAGAGCAGCAACAGCCTCCAATTGGTGCCCCCTCCCCCCATCCCGCCGTTTCTGCTCGACGGCAGTCTTGACCTCTTGACCTCTGCTCGAGCCTTCTGTGGCCGCCCGCCGCGACGAGTGGACGAGTCTGATCGCTCCCTCCCACGTCGAGCAACCCCCCCGGATCCCACTCCGTTCCAAGAAGGGAGCTGCCATGCTAACAGATTCGCCATAGTGGCATCTTTGGTTACGTGAACTACCTGGTGGAGAAGGACCGCAAGTTCATCCTCGACACCCTCGTCAATGGTGAGTTCTACACCTGACGCCCTACCCCTTCTGAATTCCCTTCGCGGGGTCCTCTTTGGAGTCGACGGTCGGTAGCTAACCCGATCGCCCACCCCCCAGGCCTGTCCCGTCTCGAGTACCGTGGCTACGACTCCGCTGGTCTGGCCGTCGACGGTGACAAGAAGAACACAGTATTCGCCTTCAAGGAGGTTGGCAAGGTCGCTAAGCTCAAGGCTCTCATCGAGGAGGAAAAGCCAGATCTCACCAAGGTCTTCGACTCACATGCCGGCATTGCCCACACTCGATGGGCCACCCACGGTCCCCCCTCCCGGCTGAACTGCCATCCCCACCGGTAAATGAGCCTTCTTTGATTCCCTTTTCCGCATTTTCTTTATGTGACGCGGCCTCTCAATGGGGGAGCGCTGTCCTCCACAAAGCTTACGCGAACGCACCTGTTTTCTAACCGCACTGTGGTGAACAGATCCGACCCCACCTGGGAGTTCTCGGTCGTGCACAACGGTATCATCACCAACTACAAGGAGCTCAAGACTCTGCTCAACGCCAAGGGCCTGAAGTTCGAGACCGAGACCGACACTGAGTGCATTGCCAAGCTCCTCAAGTACATCTACGACCAGCACCCGACCATTGGCCTCGTCGACCTCGCAAAAGCCGTCATCAACGAGCTTGAGGGTGCCTACGGTCTGTTGATCAAGTCGGTTCACTACCCCCACGAGGTGGTTGCCGCCCGCAAGGGTTCTCCCCTTGTCATCGGTGTCAAGACCCAGAAGCGCATGAAGGTCGATTTCGTCGATGTTGAGTACTCGGAGGAGGGTGCCCTCCCCGCTGAGGCCGCCTCCCAGAATGCTGCTCTCCAGAAGACCTCGGGCAACTTCTTGTCCCCCAACAACGCCATGCTGACGGCCCCTGACAAGTCGCTCCTCCACCGCTCGCAATCCCGCGCCTTCATGACCGACGACGGCATGCCCATGCCCGCCGAGTTCTTCCTCTCCTCCGACCCCGCTGCCATCATTGAGCACACCAAGAAGGTCATGTACCTGGAGGACGACGACATTGCCCACATCCACGAGGGCTCCCTGAACATCCACCGTCTCAAGAAGGCCGACGGCAGCTCCAACGTCCGAACCATCCAGACCCTCGAGCTGGAGCTTCAGGAGATCATGAAGGGCAAGTTCGACCACTTCATGCAGAAGGAGATCTTCGAGCAGCCCGAGTCCGTCGTCAACACCATGCGAGGACGTCTGGACACGGACAACAAGACCGTCACCCTCGGTGGCCTCAAGTCGTACATTGCCACCATCCGGCGATGCCGACGCATCATCTTCATTGCCTGCGGTACGAGTTACCACTCTTGCATGGCCGTCCGCGGTATCTTCGAGGAGCTCGCCGAGATCCCCATTGCCGTCGAGCTGGCGTCGGACTTCCTTGACCGACAGGCCCCTGTCTTCCGTGACGACACCTGTGTGTTCGTCTCGCAGTCTGGTGAGACTGCCGACTCGTTGATGGCCCTCCGATACTGCCTGGAGCGCGGTGCCCTGACTGTCGGTATCGTCAACGTTGTCGGTTCCTCCATCTCGCTCCTCACCCACTGCGGTGTCCACGTCAACGCTGGTCCCGAGATTGGTGTTGCCTCCACCAAGGCCTACACCTCCCAGTTTATCGCCATGGTCATGTTTGCCCTGTCGCTTAGCGAGGACCGCGCATCCAAGGCCCAGAGGCGGGTCGAGATCATGGAGGGTCTCGGCAAGATCTCGCAGCAGATCAAGCAGATCCTCGAGCTTGACCAGCCCATCAAGGAGCTTTGCGCCAAGACCTTCAAGAACCAAAAGTCGCTGCTGCTGCTCGGCCGTGGCAGCCAGTTCTCCACCGCTCTTGAGGGTGCCCTGAAGATCAAGGAAATTTCCTACCTTCACTGCGAGGCTGTCATGTCTGGTGAGCTGAAGCACGGTGTCTTGGCTCTTGTCGATGAGGAGCTTCCCATCATCATGATCTTGACCCGTGACGATCTCTTCAAGAAATCGCTCAACGCTTATCAGCAAGGTATGTCCCCCTCCTAAAAGATAGCACTGTTGCCGTAGAAGCTTAGGTTCTAACACAAATTACAGTCACTGCTCGTGGCGGCAAGCCCATTGTCATCTGCAACCCCAGCGACGAGGAGTTCCAGGCCAACCAGGCCGAGAAGATCGAGGTCCCCAAGACCGTCGACTGCTTGCAGGGTCTTCTGAACGTCATCCCTCTGCAGCTGATTGCCTACTGGCTGGCTGTCATGGAGGGCCTGAACGTCGACTTCCCCCGTAACTTGGCCAAGTCGGTCACTGTCGAGTAAGACGGGCATTGCTTGTACAAATATAAAACTGGGTGCCTTTTTCGCAATGGAGTTGGCCGTAAAAGGAATAAAGAAATGTTGGTTCAGTCGGCACGACTCAGCCGTCGCACCAGCGTAAGAGCGCTGAGCTAGACAAGACAAAAAGGGAAGCAAGGCCGAGAGAAGCATACACCTGTCACTGGCGCATCTGTTATTAATTCGAGTTCACGGGTTCATGATGAATGAAAAGCGTGGACATGGCCAATGGCGAGGGGTAGATAAGACCTACGATATAGTTGGGGTCCATGATCATGTAGTAGAGACATGGCTCAAGTTCATGCAATGAGAAGATGTTTTTTTGATATGAAATTACATGTCCTATGGTATCCGGTTTTTTTTTTTTTAAATGGTTTTTCTTCTTCAATGTGTAACACGATGCTGCCAAGGAACTGCCCAAGAACAACGAGGAGCAGTACGTTCCGTTCAATGTTGTGAGGGGACGATAGGTCGCGTGAAACCAACTGCTGGGTTCCGCCGTTCTGGCTTCCGCTTGGCCCGAGATCGCAAACCTGTCGGCCCCCCTTGATGCGGCACTACATACATGATACAATTACTCAAGTTGTGCAACTGGATCGATAACTCCTTCGTATGTAGATAGCGGGTATCTAATAGCCAGTCTCAACCCAACCACCTCGGCCTGACGACGATATTGTGACAAGCTGTAGGGAGCTAGCTCTCCCGACGCAGTCACACAAAGCCCTACGCATGAGCTGGCAACGAGACACACCCCTCTACCTGGTCCCCTTGAGCACGCTATCTGCAGTCAGGTCAGCATTAGACAAGGCGCCACAACGAGCCCATGTCGGCACGGGAGAAGGCATGCTGCGAACTCGGTCGTTTGTATTCGCTCTATTGGTACACGTCATGCCATGAACGCCATGCCTGTTTACGAGGTCATTATCCCAGCCGCTGCCCAGAGGGATGATCTAACACAAACCCCGCGGTTTATTCCTGCCATCTTGACGGGGGGCGCCGTTCCTCTCGCCCATGCCGCATCATCCACCATCCACCATCCGCCAACCGCCATCCGCCGTCCACAATCGACTCTTGGAGGGTTTCTGCCTTCTCTAGACCGTCTGCGTGCCGTAGCCCTTGATCCTATCTGCAAAGGCCCAGCTCTGGTTCTCGAGCTTGACGTCCTCCTTCAGGTCGATGCCCTGCTTGGTGACGACGGCGATGCTGTAGGTGTCGAGGGAGCGTGCGTCGCGGTAGAAGAGGACCTTCATGCACTCCTTGACGATGTCGACGGCCTGGTCGCGGGTCAGCTGGGCGGCGGCCTCCTCGTCCTTGGCGTAGCGGCGCATGATGGGCTGGGCGAGCATCTCGCCGTAGCCGGTGGCCAGACTGGGGCTGGTGAAGGTGGTGCCGAGCAGGTCGGCGGCGGCGAGGAAGGGCTTGTCGTCCTCGTCGAGGCCGGCGACCAGCAGGTGGTTCCACAGGGGGTCGAACTTGGAGCGGCGGTGGTAGAGCAGGTTGGCCAGGTACTTGTGCAGGTTGCGGGCGTTGAGGGTGTGGCCCTTCTCGGACGTGTAGTTCTCGTCGATGGCCAGCTCCTGCAGGTGGCGGTCGAGGTACTGCATGTCCGAGACGTCGCCGCCGAAGCCGACGACCGAGGTGCCGGCAAAGGTGCGCAGGCGCTTGACGTCGGGGAAGCGCGCGAGGGAGCCGTAGGATGCTGGTGGGAGAGGAAGAGGGGCAAAAGTCAGCAGCCGTGTTCCCCAAGAACTTGTGTGTGTGTGTGTGAGAGAGAGAGAGAGAGAGTGCTCGCAACGCATATATATTGTATGTGTGTATATGCGTGTGCCACGAGGTTTTGCATACCCAGGTTATCGGCGGCAATGACGACGCCGTCCTTGAACTTCAGAGCGACGACGGACGTGCCTGTGACGACCGGGGACTGTGTGTGCGTGGTCGGGCCGTTGGGCCGCATGTAGGAGGCATCGTAGGCGCCGTAGACGTCGTCTCTGGGCTGGGGAGGAGGAGGGGAGAAAGGTCAGCTTCTTCTCGGTGCAGCATGGGGTGGGCAGGGCGGCGGGAGAGCTTACACGGCCCCAGTGTTGCGGTCGGTGATCCATGGTCTGCGGTGCGGCGGCGGCGGCGGCAACGCGACGAGCTGAACAGCAGTGGGCCAGGGGGGTTATGGGACAAGGAATCGGATGTGTCGCGAGATGGTGCAGCGCAGTGAGGGCAATCCGGGGAATGGGATGGGGAGTCGTCGACTGCTGGGAGGACGGATAGATGGATGGATGGATGTTGGATAGATGGGTAGGTGGGAGCTGGCGCTGTAGTTTAGTGGTTGGGTGCTGCCAGTAACGTACTTAGCTTCAGCTGGACGGGGGGTCCCTTTGGGTGAGCTCCAGGTCCACAGGCCGCCCCAGCCGTCGTCACGGGTGTCTGCCTTCCTGCCTTCCTGCCTTCCTGCCTAGTGCCTTGCCGTCCAGCCTTCCAAGGCCGCGCCATGCACGAGCTTGGGCCAAGGGGCCGAGGGGGCCGATGAACACTCCAGCCGCAGGTGGTGCACAGTGCCAACAGCTCTTATGTTACACTGTCGGTCCACCTCCCCAACCCCCATGCTCGTTGCAATTCATGAATGGCTTGTCGTACAATGAGAACGGGGCTTTTCTCACGGCAATTCTACAAACGTGGTTTTCGATGTATTCAAAGTCCCCTGGATAGGGACGAGAGAACCTGGAAGGGGTTTCGAAGGTTTTGCTGAGCAACGACCGCTTCTCAATACTCCCCGGGATGTGTCGCGTGCAATCAGCCTAGGAGGAGGAGGAGGAGGAGGGGGGGGTTGACTGGTTCATTTATACTGTGCCTAGTTATCAACATGTTACTCAGTATCGCAGTGCTAGAAATCTCGATCGAGTATTACATCGGAGTAAGTCATCATCTTGTGGGTTTCTCATTCTTTCTTTCTGCATATTCTCTCCCTTTCAAAACACTGGTCATTCCACTCCTCTCTCTATCTACCGTCAGCATTGACAAGTTTCTCACATGCCGCTGACCACCACCCAATCTGCTGCTGTACAGGACTCGAAGGAGAAGGATGAGTCCAACCACCTTTCTTCACGCTAGATCAAATGCCCTTGACGGCTTCCAGCTTGTACCAGGCTCTTGAGGTCGACGGCAAGCCTATTGGCCAGCCGACCCGGGAAACCTGCACACTTTTTCGAGATATAAAATATACCCACCAGTCACTTTCGCATCGTTTCAGTTTGTTATATTCTCCCTTTTCCCATGTGTAGTTCGAGACTAGTGTGTACTGTACAATCGGACGAGGGGCAAAAGCACACCATACGTCTGGGTTGTGTCTTGATCTACGTAATATATCTCGGGCATCTAGACTCTCCCCATTTCAGCGGGAAGCAAACTTCAAAGAAGCTGCCCGCGATTAATCAGCCTGGCTAGCCCGATGAATAGACCATGATTGTATATACTAACATCCACCTCGAGGTATACGGCATCCGTGTTTACGTCAGCCGCAGCGAGTCCGCCGGACTCGGCAAGGAAAGCAGCATTAGTCAATATTAGCCAACATACATGCCAGAACTTGCCCAGCGCCACCATCTGGAGTTGGACAGCTTCAAGAATAGCTTGTTTCCAACCAGCACAAGAAATAGATAACGTAGGTCAATGTGGGCTGGGGTGAGAACAAGCAGATGGATACCAAAAGCGAATGGCCTATCTCGGGAACTCCGGACACCGATGGAGCAATGCGTATGGGAGGTGATGTTGATGATTTACTTTCGGCGCCGCCTTTATCTTGTAATATTTCGTTTCGATGTTCACGTTGTAAATAGTCGCGAAATCATATACCGATCCGTGCATTTGCCCCTCGTATGATTGCTGTCTTACCAATCGGGTAATGATAGTGTCAAGGCAACGGGGCAATGGTAGCCGCCCGTAGTGGTCCACCTTTCCACTGCTCTCGCGAGTGACCGGAACATTAGTTCCAGAGCGGTCCTTGACAAGACTGCCAGTGACCGAGGTGGTAACCTCACCGGTGGCACTGATTACTTCTCCTGGCACTTGAGAGCCTGAGGCTGAACCACGTCTGGACTTTATTGAGTTTTGAATCAGGTGATCCTCTCTCCGTTAAATACAACTCGCCCGGAGATGAAGACAGTGTTGGGGCTCACAGACGAGACGAGGATGGAGTTGAAAGACGAGCCTAGTATGAGCAGGCCAACGGTTTCACGTGAGCAGATTTATCGGTTTTGTACAGTGGCATCTTAATTTGGGGCATGCTCTCTTTCGCATTGGCTTGTAAGGTCGTTGTAGTATAATATGATAATGGACGAATGTAAAAGTAGTGCATGATAAAGATCAAAAGAAGGGCGGAGGGCAATTATTAACACTTGGTTGTGGCTGGAATCAGGGTTGGGCAGGCTTTTAATGTTAAAAGTTTGAATATAATCATTTCTCTCAGCAGCCGTAATACACTTTTACCTTTTACATGTCATATGAGCAGAAACTGTCTCTAAACCTTGTAGAGTACATTTTGCTTTCTGTAGATGGATTACCCGAGTATTAATACCAGTTCCCCCTCCTAGTCAGCTCTGGAAACATTACCAAACGCAAAATACTTAAGATCACGGAACCGACCATTGAATGGGTCGGCCACACATCGCGGGTCTTCACAGTTCGAAGAATCGCCCTTGAGAGCTCATCAACATTCAACCAAATCCTATAAAAAAAAATTTTTTAACC